ACCGGAAAAAATTGAAAAAAAAAAACTCACAATAACCGGTCACCGGAAGTATATAAGTATATGGGAACAACACTAGCTCGGCATATACCCAATTATATTCATCTGTCTCCATATTTTGCTGCATCTCAGAATATTACACAGCACCAAAAATGTAAAAATATATATATACTGAATATATTTAATATATTTTTGTGTACGGCAGACGGCAACTCGCCGTGACGCAGATTCCCGAGTCTGTGCTCCAATCAGGTGAGCCCTCTTCAGCGCTAGCCATGACAACGAGATAGCAGTGACGTGCCTTGTAAAAATTTGCATCTGCATTCCTATAAAGCTCGTGTGCTCTCTGTCAGCGTTGTCAGTTCGCTCGGTGTTGCTGTTTGTACTTGACCAAGGTGAGTTCAATACCGACGGTACGAGTGGAGCCACGCCAATCTCACGAAGTCCGCTTCGTGAAGCTTCACTCGGGCCCGTCTGTGCTGTAGTTCCTTGTGGTTTGCGTACATAAACGCAATATCGCAAGGAAGATTACGTGTTTGTTGCTCGAAATGTGCCGCCGAGCAACATCCAGTGAATACTGGCACGGCCTGGCGCCCGGTTTTCTCGTGCACTCCCTGGGGCGAGGCGGCCTTTGAGCCCTAGGCAGGGAACAAACAACCCCCGAGGACCCTCAGGGAAACACGGGGGGCCGGTAGTGGGACCTCGCTGCGAGGGTTATGGTGGGTGGGAGTAGCGAGGCCCACTCATCGTCTATTTTAAACTATAGTTTCAAACTTTAGTTTACTATAGTTTGAAATAGACACCATGGTAACTGTTATGATTAAACTTTATGCAAAGAGCTTAGAATGACCAAGAGCAACAGCCCCGGATTCCGCCTTTTTGAAGTGAAAGCGATCGGCCGTGCATTGGATCTCATTGCTGTCGCGATGGACAGCAGCTGCTTTGTTTATATTTAATTTATTCAAAAAGCGCGTTATTGTTTCCCAAATTGTAGAGTGTCGCCTCTTGGTGATTCTATGCTCTTTGCACTTTGTCAGACTGTTGTAATGTTTTGCTTTGTTTTTCAGCTAAGCTGTTGAGCAAAGAAGGACTATTGAAGACAACAGTTGAAGACAACCGCGGGTTATATTCACGAGCGCGTGCGTTATAATGTTTCCGGGTTGTTTTCTGAAAGTTTGTCTTGTTTGCATGTCAAACTAAATAAACGATACTCTTTCTAAACAGCTGTCTCGTGTTTTATTTGTCCTCTAAAGCCATGCACTGTCATGTAAGTCTGTTGAATGCATTTGTATGCAACATGGTTTGACAATACAGTCTAACAAATAAATGGTTGTTATAAATGTACCTTCATTAGTCAACAATTTATGTAGGTAATAAAAAGTTAATCAAACATATCCTAAGACATAAGGGTTATGTTACGGTTATTTCATAACTATATTTAATATTATTCTGTATGATTAAAACCAGCAAATTATACTATATATTTAACATGTCATGAACTTACTGTTATTTTAAAATATGCTTAATAAAATGTCCTAAGACAAGAATGGGTGTTGTTTTGGTTTTATGGCAACCTACAGTAGGATTAAGGTTGACTACAGCACGTATAGGCTACATACATCATAGGGAGTTTTTTAATGACTTTTAATGCAAAAGTCTAATTTAAGTACATAAAATGCAGTTTCCAGCAACAAAATTTTGTCTTGTGAAAAAGAACAGTGTTGTGGTGAAAAGAAAAGTAATATCAAGTTATATATATTTATAAAAGAAGTTGAACAAGTTGTCATAATATTTAATCATTAGATTATGTGACCGCTAGATGACGCTCAATTAAAAGGAGCGTTCATTTCAAACGAGCGCTACTCTGTACTGAAATGGCGGCTCTATTGACGCATTCCTTCGAATAGACAACATCAGGGTAGGCGACATCCAATGTATATTTCTATGGTAGCTAACTAGTATTCACGTCACATCATGCTCAACTCTTATTACTCTTTTACGCTCTTTGAGAGTCTTGCTGGGATTTCAGAATCATATTTAGGCAACTATGATGTAGCAGTACCGTCTGTGTACCTGTACCATTGTTACACAATGCAGCATTTAGCAGCATTTTGGGGGGGGGGCTTTGCCCCTTCAGAAAGAGTGAGTTTGTGCCCCAGTTTTTATAAAGGATTGTTCACTCAAACTGAAAATTCTTTCTGTCATTAATTATTAACACCCACGTCGTTCCAACCTTCAGAACACACATTTAAATATTTTTAAATATATGACACAGCAATTGAATTATGAGAATGGTGAGATTAAAGCTAGTCCTATAGTCCAGAGACCCCGTTCTATTCGGGAAGATGTAGCCTAATAAAAATGTTTTAATAAAAATAAATAGTTTACGGCACAGTCCCACAGTAGGCTACACTATAAATAATACTTTAATTTATTTATTAATATTATTATTAATATTATTATAATTAAGCGAAAATTGACAAAACGCAGAACCCTTTGAATGTTTGCTTTCATTTTGCTAAAAAGCGCACTTTTACAGTTGTGTAGAGAAACATCCCATTATGCAGCAGCAGTCAAGGTATAAACAAAATAAATGCCTTTTGCGTTTAAAGATGATCAGCCTGCGAAGTCAAGTTTGCAGTGTTATAAATGGAATAGGTGTAGTGCTTAATTTGCTCATGCAAAATTAAACAACATAAAATATATTGTAGATCTATTTTAGGAGCTAAATACAACATATCGAGTTTGTTTTGACTTGTAGCTCATGGCCCTAAAATGAAAATAACCTGAAAACAAGCTATTAAAAAAAGGCTTAATAAATAAAATAATTAATAATTTAATAAAATGACGGGTAGGCCTAGTAACCTAATGGTTTATGATGGTTTACAATATCACGAAAAAAGCACACTTATAGCCTAAGATAAATCTTTGTTTTTAAATTTTAAATGATGAAAAAAAAGTTCTATAGCATATTGAGTTGCGTGTTATCCGTGCCAAAATTTAACCAATTTTCACGGTAATAACATGGGAATTTTGGTATCTTTTTTAGGTATTTTTCTGGCTACAGTAATGCCTCAAAAATTAACTAAATAATTATTTTAAATGACATTAGATTAGCTTTTCCCTAACACTGATGTTGGTTGGGTAATAGGCTACGTGAAGCGGGATGACTCGGTTAAGCTGATTTCACTATATTTATTTACCGGTTAAATGAAATGTCTGATCGTGCGTCAGCTTGCATGTGTGGGCATAATTTGACGTCTTTACCTAAAACTTTAAGCATTCATAGGTCTGTTATTTGAAATAAAACGGAAACAAGGAGAACAACATATGATTTAAAGCACTCGTTTGGCACTGAATCCATGATCCGTCTGCATTAATAAGCGGTATGCATTACCCTCGTTAATAAAATTCTTAATATCGAAACTGCATATTGTTATTACTATTAAAACGTAGCCTATATTACTGCCTTAGGTCTATCTATCCTTTTTCCATTATTGATTCTGTTTATTTACTTGCGTATATGTGTGTAAATTTATATTTATTCAGTTTTTAAATTAATTTCAGTAATATTATTGACTAATATGAAAATGTTGATGTAATTTATGTACAATATAGTTTGTGAGGTAATATTTTCTTTCTTTTAGTAGATGTATTATATAAGAGACTGCCTTTGATTTCCAAATAAATTGGATCTAATTGGATTTGCATTGTACACATTCACTAAAAGTTTAAAATGTGTTATTTTTTATTTCATATATAAAGTTTTAGTTATAATTCTTTCAAAATAATTCCGCATGAATCCATTTTTTTTTTTTTACAAAATTCTCTGCAGAAATAGCAAAAAATGTCTGCAGATTCTGTCTGGCCCTACGCATTACCTTTAAAAAATGAGTAATAATATTTGACTTAGTTTTTAGTTGAATTCGTTTTTTAAAAATAAATTGCTGAATTAAAATTAAAGAATTCACAATGAATTACGCAGTCGATTATAGAACGTGTTCATTATTTTGAATGCTTGGAAGAAAAGGAAAAGGGAATTGTCCCAATAGAAAGGGATTTTATTTAAGACAAACAATGCTGAAGTAGCAAGGACATAAGCTAAACTTTCAATAATCAGTACAGCATGTAGAGCTCTGAGGTCATGAAATTCTAAGATAACATTATCCTAAAATATTTTTTTGATGTTTATTTAAAGGTAAATGGAGGTGTAAGTTATATAGTGTGCGTTTTATACAATAATAATAATACAAAACCTTATTGTCAGACTTGCATAGCAGCATGATAAATACCTTAAAAACATACAAAAAAAAATAATATTAATTTTACACAGACATTATTCTGCTCCAAGACAGCCTGATGTGCAAATGACTTTTTAAATTTCACTTTATTAAAACTTGGCACTCTAAATCGACGGTTCGACTTTAATGGTATGAATTTAAAATTTAACACAGGACTAGGATTCGAAATTTTGTTACTTCCCTTGTGAGGTTCTTGTAATATGAACAGTTATTTAATTTCTCAAGAGGCTTTTCTACTATCTTTGAAAGATTTTTATAAATGTGTATTTTTATAATTGCAGAACTCCTGTATTAAAAAAGAGAAAGTTCTAGGTAATAAAAAGTATCACAAAAGTAATGCAATGAGGTAACTTTCTCCATCACTTATTGTTCAGTTAACCAAATACAACAACAATAGTTACCACAATAAAAAACTACAGAAAAATAACCGTAATCATCATTTAAGACAGGGGTGGCCAGCCCTGTTCCTGGAGAGCCACCTTCCAGCAGATTTCAGTTGCTACCCATATCAAACACACCTGAATCAATTAATTAGGACCTGAACACCACGTGATAATTACAGGCAGGTGTGTTTGATATGAGTTGCAACTGAAATCTGCAGGAAGGTGGCTCTCCAGGAACAGGGCTGGCCACCCCTGCTTTAAGATATCATTCATAATCACCAAGGTTTCCGCACATATTTGATCAAATAAACAAGAAGAATAGTTTGAATATTTCCACATTTTATTTACATCGTTGACTACATTGAGAGTATTCATATTTGCTGTATACATTAAAAACAATAAAAACAAACGCAACAACACAAACTTTAATAAATTTTACTATGCTTTTCGTATTCACTGGGTTCATGTGACGAGGACGCTCCTATGAACAGCGCCGTTACTATTTCAGATTGGCTGGTGAAGCAGTCTATAACAAACGAGTTAAAGTGTTTGATTTTCAGAGCAGTCTTCCAGTGCAGCGCAATGAGCCACAGCAGCAGAGCAGCACCTTTCCCTCCACACTGCCCACTTCATAGTTATAATCCCACGTCAACTCTGTACCTGCCTTTATGCGCCTGGTAAAGAGAGATGGAACAAAAAATGCATTTAAAACACGTCAAATAATCCTCTATATGACCAATAATATATGGCTAACAATTCAGATCATTAATACTTTATACATTAGATTGTGCTATACGCTTTATTTATTGTTTGTTTTAATGCCTTATTAGTGACATCGGCTAAATGCATCGAAACATTGATATTAACAGTCAATACATCATTTACAAACATAACAGTTTCTTAATTAACAAGAATTATTTAAATATAAAGAAAATGTACAAATGACAATAATACTGATAAACAATCATATACGATCTTTCAATGGAGTCCGTGATATTCTACAGCTGTTCCTGAAAACATTTCCCTTAAGATAATTTCCAAACAAAACATTCTCTATAATAGCTACACAAATACACTTTAAAAACAAAGAAATATAATAGAATATATATAATAGAAATAAATATACACTATTAAAAAGTTAATATAAATAGTTATTTTTACACAAGTCACAAATTGGTGTCTCTTGCTCTTTCTATAAACACGAGTGGCCAATTCTACATCTAACCCTACACTCTTCACAAATCTCTCTTTTAAATTAATATTTTCCATAGGATGCTTTACAGCAGGGATCACTAAACTTGTTCCTGGAGGGCCGGTGTCCTGCAGATTTTAGCTCCAACCCTAATCAAACACACCTGAACAAGCTAATCAAGGTCTTACTAGGTATACTTGAAACACCCAGGCAGGTGTGTTGAGACAAGTTGGAGCTAAACCCTGCAGCGCACCGGACCTCCAGGAACAAGATTGGTGACCCCTAATTTACAACAATATATTTGTATATATACATTAGATTAGTCAGTACTGAAGCTAAATCTGGAGTTTATCAAACAAAATAACTTATGAAAATGGTCTAAAAATAGGTAGTTCAAATTGATGTTATAAGAAAAAGAGCAAAAATCAAAAAGAAACAAAAACATATGGAAATTGTTGACATTTTGTAGTTTGTAATTAGCAATATTTCACATTAATTTAAATAATTTTTCTATTTCTAAAGATGTTCGGTGACAAAAATATTAATTTGAATAAATATATCCGTTTTAAAAAATCAGCTTTGTTCAAAAGTACCATAATATATGACCTATTTTCACTGAGAAATGGATAAAAACATTCATTTTCAAAATGGGGTGTAATCATTTACACCGAGCACTGTACATCCTAGGGTGCGTTTCAGAAAATCATCAATAGCCAACTAAGGTCGCAAGATCCATCATTACAAACATAGTTTGCTGATTTGGTTTTCCCAAATCCATCGTTCACACATACATTTGCAAACTGCGTCACAAACTTGTACATTTGCAAATACACCTCTCGAGCTGTAGTTAGAAGCATAGTTCCGGTTGTGTTCTACTCCCAGTTCCACCACTAAGCCCTATTCATTTAGAACATTCCAACATATAAACGTGAAATGATTAAATAAAGCGATCTTCATACTGTCATTTGTGTTCCTTTTGTAGTGCACTTTAAAATCATTTATGCCATTTTGAACACAGAATATATTATTGTTATCATTATTAATATTAAGTAGGATATTGTTTTTTTATTTCTTAATAAATAACCTACTATAAATTAAAGCCTTTAACGTGATTATTTATATATGAGATTATAATATGTTAGCTTTTGTAAATGATTTTATGTTTAAGAATAGAATATGTGATGTTCTCAATTATCTTTGTAAAGGAAACATGCGCCCTGTATGTGCCATTTACATACATTTCAATTATTATGGAAAACGAGTGTATGTTTTTACTAAAACTAATACTGGATATTATTTTATGCCTGTGTGTGTAAAAGACACAAAACATTTATTGGGATTTTCTCCAAAGAAGTTGTTCCTCCACCCAGGCAAGGATTGGCTAATCGAGAGGACCGGGAGAATTCCTGGTGGGCCGGGCCAATTTTTGACCGCGAGGGCCAGTGTCCCTAGCTGCTTGCACTGTCAGCAGTCGCACTTTTTCATTTATTTATTTGACCATAGCCACACTCTTTTTTTTCATTACTTTGCCACATCTTTGCTCTTTTTATTTATTTTCTCGTAGTTCGTGGGCAAAATGCAGCCTGCAGGTTACTGATGATGTATCATGTATTATTCAACCCTAAACTGCGGCACCTTGGTGAATAGAAGAATTCGAATAATTAATATTAATGAATATTACACCTGCTCAATGAAAATCAGATGATTCACTACACTAATAAATCTGACATAACTTGATCAGAAATATTAAAAGGGGAGAAAGATTAAACCATCAATAGAAAGTAATACTGTGGTTAAAAGAGTCTTGCAGATGACGGTGCAATACTTATTTTTTCTTCCAAATGCACTTGAGTAACAGCGCCATTGTGGTCCAGTGTTCAGTGCTGCCGATCCCAATTTGATCCTCACCCAAGTTTTTTTTTTTTTTCTATGTTTAGAGTTAAGACATAGGTGTACATATTTTATTTGAATTTTTTGTGTGATCACCGTTACAAAGGACTGGATATCTAAAAAAATTCTGCACAGAATATATATTCAGATATTGCAGGAGAGAACAGTATTGGAGTGTTGGAGATTTAGCTACCCTTTAATGTTCTCATATTTATGAAAAACATTTAAGTTCTAAAGCAGCTGTGTCCTTGAAAAAAGACGTGACAGTGTCATAAGAAATGAATTGGAAATGCTGTTATTTTAATATAGTCAGTGGTGAACTGAGGTGGGCCGGTCTAAGGCTTAAAACTCCAGGGCTGAAAAGGATTCCCACTCCGGCCCTGACTCCGCCCCGTTTAAAGCGTCTTTTTGGACGTTTTACCTTATAACTAACGTGGTTCAAACGATGGACCAGCAACAGAGAAACTATGATTTTGTCAAACACACTAAAGTCTTTGTTTGGGAAACGCACCCCTGATTGTGTCAAAATTTCTTTAACTTACTAATGTTATATGAAATGCTGTTCTCAAATCAAACACTCATTTTTAAGGACGGCTGATTTATCTACACCCTTTTCACATGAAAATCAGATTGGTGAGAATTAAGACACTGACTTGCTAGCAAAGAAAGCCACCCATGGAAAGCGGAGGTCGTGTGTGTCCACAAAGACGTTCTGGACAAATAAATTGGGGCTGCAGCTATGCTGTTGAGAGAAATTGTAAAAATGTTAAAATTAAAGTACCATTAAAGCATTGTTCAATTTTGATAACAATTCCGGCTTTTGCTTACGTTTATATAACGGCCGAGGTTTCCCTCTTGCCGAGCATCAATGATGTAACAAGCGTCCTCATCGTTGAACAGTCCGCGTGTGTTTTTGGGAGTTTTAGTTTTTTCTTTCTGTGCTTCAGTGCTTTCTAGTGGTTTTACTCTTCTCTGGAATGACTTTATGGCAAAGCATCGCTTCGGGCCTGAGCTCTCTTGTCCTGATGACACAAATTACAGACTGAGCAAATGTAGTGAATGCTAAAAGCAGAAGAAGAGAGAGACAAAAAAAAAAGAAAAAGAAAAAACTGACCGTCATTTTTCCTTAGTTCACTAATTTTCTTCTGAGTATCTTTCGGTGTTTCATGTGGTTTATTTGGCAGTTTTCTCTCACCTAAAGGTTTGTCATGGACTAAACAAACAAAAATGAGGCAAAAAAAGTTAGCTGCTAGATGTCATTTAGGATAAGTCTATACATCAAACCTATCAATGTTGAAATGTTGCTGGTTTAAGTAATAACAACTTTAGAAAATGTACACCTGTAATTCAAAGAGTAGAGACGAATGATATTAGTAATAACAATAATAAGTAATTTCATTAACAGAGCTAATGAAAACTGACAAAACTTACAAATAAATATATTCATGGATAAAATTGCAATATCACATTTAAATTCCCAAACAAAATGTATATGCATAACATTCACTGTTACAAGGTTTATGCATAACAAAGCATTCACATCATTAATGTAGTAAATTACTACTCTGCTGCTGCTGCAGTGGAACAGCTCTAATGTGTACTATGATATTAAACATCATAGCATAAACAGCACATGTAATAGAAGTTTTTTAAAGACAACTTTTAATCATTTCAGACAAAATAAAGAAATGATTAAGTGTAAAAAAATAGCCTAAAGAAATATTCAATTGCTAAATAAATTAACCCTTGTGTACTGTTTAGATTGACTTCCTTTTCAGTATGTTGGGGGTTGTTTTTGGCTCATTGACTTCCATTATAAATTACATTTGTTGATTGCAATGCCATGACAGCATATAATCATGCATTCTTGATTGTTTGTGTTTTTCCTTGTTAGGAAGAGGTAAAACCTTTAATTTTTACTGTCGATCATCAGGTGGCAGCATTAACCCTTTAGATAGACCTGTGCAAAACAGTTTCTAGCTTTTATAAGGAGCCCAATTAAGTAAAATTATTGTTCGCGTGAATAAATACACTTACTGTGTTTACTATGTTCTGAGAGCTGGCTTATTTTGATTTTCTCTGACACATCAATGTAAGTGTGCCATGATCTCTCTTACACTTTCAATTTTTTTTTCAATTTCAAAGCATTTTTTTCCAAAATATGTGTACAAATACGATTCATCACCAAAAAAATCATTCTATTTGCTGAAACAGAGAAAGTTATGGCTAAATTAAGACTCAAAGTGGATGAAAACATCCCCAACAGCACAAAAATGTTAAGTAAACCATTTTTTTATATTCTGTTGCCATTGCTATATATCAGCATCAGTGAAAACCTTTTTAAAAAACTTGTAATCCTAGTAAAGAAATTCCATTTTATATATATTTTTTGCATGAAGACTGAATCACTGTTGCTGTTATTTAAAATTAATAAAAAATGTGATCAAAATATTGCTTAAAAATACAAAAGGCATCAAAGCAAATAACTAAAATAAGTTTACATTGAAGTATTAAAATGACAAAATTTTAAAATATGTAAGCTTAAACAGTTTATATATTACCTTTATATATTACCGAAAATAAAAACTACAAAAATAAAATAGAAAAAGATATCTTACCTTTCACTTTATCTTTTGCTGTGTCCACCTCCATGGGCTCTATAAAAAGAAAGCAACAAAAAGAATGAAACCTCATTGATTTACAAATAAAATCACATGACCATAAAGTTGAATCTTCACACAAACACACCTTCACCGCTGCTAGAGTCCTCCTTGTATAGGGAATTTTTTAACAATGGCCCCGTTTTCATGGTTATGGTCTTCTTGCTGCTTTCCACCTCAGTATCAGAGCAGTAGGCCTCGCTCTCATAACCCTCTTTCAGTTTCTCCACACCTTCGATGAAGTCGAGATTGGCCAAATACTCATTGCCGGACATGGTGTCATCTTCATTCATTTTGTCTTCATTCACTATTTTACCTGAGAAAGAGACAGAATTGGTCAATTCTTTATCATTAAAACAATTAAAACAGATGCTTTGTTGGCAACACGGTGGCTAAGTAGTTAGCACTGTTGCCTCAAAGCAAGAAGGTCACTGGTTCGAGTCCCAGCTGGGTTACTAGGCATTTCTGTGTGGAGTTTGCATGTTCTCCCCATGTTCGTGTGGGTTTCCTCTGGGTGCTCCGGTCCCAGAGAAAAAAAAAAAGCAGACAAAATATCCTGGACTCCTAAAAAAAAACAGACACGCACTTCCTTCTTTTCTGCCACAAATACACCACAACTACAGAAATATTTACCCCAAACATGAATTAATTCCTATTTTAAAAGAAATATGTATACAAAATATGTATATATATACTAGTGGTGGGCAGTACTGGCGTGAACATGCTGCGTTAACGCGAGACTCTTATCGCGCGCTAAAAGAAATATTGCCGTTAATCTATTCTCACAGTTGGGTTGGGAGCTGGGTCTATTCTCATTTATGGCTCCTAAACTCTGGAATAGGCTTCCTGAAAATGTCTGAGGCTCAGACACACTCTCCCAATTCAAAACTAGATTAAAGACCTATCTTTTTAGAAAAGCATACACTCAGTGCATCACTTAGCGTTATGATACATGAATGTGCTCCACACAGGTTTCTGCATCTCGTTTATATACACTATGAACAGGAGCTATGCTAATTTTTCTCTTTATTCTCTATTTCCACTCTGGGGATACTCATCTCGAGGCCCTCAGACTATGCAGTGCCACTGATTCGATTTAAGACCAGCGACGAGATGATCCCAAGGTTTCTATTTCCTGGACCTGGCCGTGTCCTGGGCAGCTGCTGTGGTGGTCAAAGAGGAGTGGAGAGCATGAGACTGATTCCTGTGACACTCCAGAGACAGACAAGTCTTCACTGAAGTCCAGCTTCCTTGAATGCAGCTCTGCACAAGACGTTTGGCCATAGGAGAAATGATCGTGCCCAACTGAGCCTGGTTTCTCTCAAGGTTTTTTAATTCTTCACTTTCGCCAATTGGTGAAGTTTTTTCCTCGCTGCTGTCGCCACTGGCTTGTATGGTTCGGGATCTGTAGAGCTATGCATCGATGGATTGCTCTTCTGTGTTTGGACTCTCAGTAGTGATTATTAAACCACACTGAACTGAGCTAAACTGAACCACTAAAAACTGAACTACACTGTTTCAATTTACTATAATCTATGTGAAGCTGCTTTGACATAATCTACATTGTAAAAGCGCTATACAAATAAATGGGAATTTTCTACGCTAGCTATGATGACTTTCATTTTAGCGCGGATGTATACCTGATCGGTGAGTCTTCTGATCAGTGAGTCTTCTGTGTGTGTGGTCCTTTAATGACCACCGCGTGTGTGGATCTTGTCGGAAAATATAGTTTGATTGCGGTGTTTACTTCAATAATGCCACTAATGTATGCATACTCCACATCTTAATTCTACTTCTGTTTAGTTCAATTATGACTTTAGTCGGATTAAGGTAATCAAAATTCGCTGTTTTGAGCTTATGTAGGCCTACAGTTCAAAATTCATGTTTAACTGAATAAACAGTTAGTAAACACAAGTACATCTTATTGAACATCATTCATTTTCATCACCAATTATCATAGTAGAACAGTTTCTCAAGCAGTTTGTGATGCATTTTGGAAACAGGAGATGAGCACCTGGTCTAATGCGCCACCTGGCTTGAGAAACCCGTTCTCAAAGAAAAATGAGCCATGTTAATCTAGATTAATTTCAAGATCACAGTGAGATTAATCTAGATCAGGGGTGTCAAACTCAATTCCTGAAGGGCCGAAGCTCTGCACAGTTTAGTTCCAACCCTGCTCCAACACTCTTACCTGTAGGTTTCAAACAAGCCTGAAGGACTCAATGAGTTTGATCAGGTGTGTTTAATTAGGGTTGGAACTAAACTGTGCAGAGCTGCAGCCCTTTTGGAACTGAGTTTGACACCTGTGATCTAGATTTCAAAAATTATCTATGCCCATCAATAATATATACACAATCCAGAATTGGTTAATCTAAATTTGTGTCATATTTAAATAATCTACACTTATTTAAATTCTAGATACTATTTTTTTTCTCTGTGATTTTTTTATTAACTGTACTTTTTATTAATTTGATGATGTTATTATATTACATATTTTATACATTTTGTTGAAATGTTTTACCTAAATTCCATGCAAGTTCAATAAAAAGTTGAGAGAGGGTTTTCTTCGATGCATAAGTATTAGCAATTTATTACATGCAAATGAATAATTCAGTTACAGAGCTTTGGGTTGGTATAGCTAAACCCCATCTATTACACAACACATACTTCATAGACTGAAGAGATGGGCTGCTCGAACTCATCAAATATCAGCTTCTGTGCATGCATTCTGTTATTGCACTAGAAATCTGCTTCCTCTTTTCTGCAAACTCTCTGCACAAAGTTAAAAAGCAAAGGACCTTTCAAATGCCCTGCAAATATTCTGTGTTCAGCTTCAGCACATGGAACCCTTAAGTGAGAAGTTAAAAGTTATTTTTAGATCTTTCCAGCCAGCGGCATCTACTATCTGCTTATTAGCATTCAAGCATGTCACAGAGAAGTTTGGTTAATATATCACTAAGCAATACATATATTTAATAAAAAGTAAAATACATTTTTTTTCCCCCACAATTTGCTTTGGCAATACTGTACAAAATGTCATACCAATAAAGCAACTTGATATGAATGAGTTGACGTTTTTTCTAAAATGGTTCGTATTTAAAGGTGTGATGGCTTACCAGTGAAAACGCACACAAAGGTGCCCTTGGGCACGTCATCTTTGCAGCGGATGCCCCATCCCTTATGTTGTGTCATGAAGAGCTCCAGGCGCAGCTGCATACCGTGCTGGACCAGCCTGTTGCTGCACATTCTCGGGTCACAGCGGCAGAGAGGGTTACACTCATACACCCTATATGGAGAGAGATGGAGAGCGAGAGAAAGAGGGAGAGAGAATTTTGAATTTTCAACACAGCTTTAAAACAATTATCACCTAAAACATTATACCATGGTTTCTGCAACATCAAACATCCATCCGTCATGGGACGCCAGACCAAAGTTCATTCCTGCCATGGCTACATTACAGCTTCTCATTGCTGTTTTTTTATAGCGTTTGTTTTTTATATACTTTAACATCTCTTTAATAATGAGAATGTAAAGTATCAGATAACTTAAAAATAGCACTCTTTTAACAATATGTAATCTAAAGGTCTGAAAACCCTGTTAGCTTGGATATTTTAACATCTCATTTAATAATAAATTAATTTATTTATCTGTTTATTAGACTTAAAAAATAGCCTAAGAGATTAACATAATTTCTAAAGTCAAATTTGTGAATAGTAGTGTATAGACAGTAATGACAATATAATAAACAACGTAACAAAGATGTGCTTCATCTTATTTTGGAATGGTTAGTCTGCTGTAACTGAATGAGAAACAAGGATGTTACCAACCCTGTTGGTAAGCTTGTTGGCAGCCTCTTATGTGTGTATCCAGCACTAACATCCACTGGACCTCCTGTGCATAGGGATGTGGCCTCAATGGTCAGCTTGTGGCAAGCACATTTCGACCTGTCACATACAAAAAGACCAGATGATCAGGGAAGGTTGCATGCATTTAATCAAATTTATATATTTAAATAATATTTTTTAACAATGATTTTATTTTTAAGCCCCCTGAAGTGTGATTTATTACATCTAAATGAAAAAAGTACAGTTAATTGCACAGAATAATAATAATAATACAATTCTGTCAAATAAAATCCATCCATCCATCCATCAATATTCTTTTTAAAACTACTTCTTTGGAAACATAACCTGAATGATGAGCCTAATAAATATTCTAGAGATGCACTGAATATTCAGACGCTAAAAGAATTGGAATTTTGGGTTTTGCGGAAAGTACGGAAGTAGATGAAAAAAAAGAAAAAAAAAAAAAACTATGCTATGCTAGGCCGCACTGCAGAGCAATGTTAAGCACGCTGTTTTACTCTCCCTCCAGCTTTAGTCTCTGCATGATGTGAAGAGGCTTTCACACTGGACACGGAAATGCAATATGAAATGCATGTAGTAATTTTGCCTTAGTTAAATTTTAAAAAGTTTTACAAAAATACTTAATTTATAAACAAAAATTATTAAACAGCATTTTCAGTTTCAACACAATTTTCATTTCTAGTGTTTTCTGTAGAGATTTGCAACATCTCACATATTGAAAGCTGGTAAGAAAGCTTAACCTGTTCTGAACACTCCATTACCTTCACATTTTTCTCATACAAATGGAAAATGTCAAAAGTTGTACCTGTCTCGACAGCCATCTGTGCAGTCACAGCCGACCATAAAGTCTGAGCTTGTGTTGATGAAAACCCCTCGAGCTGGAACCCTGTCTTTAGTGTAAGTGACATTAGGCGCGAGGGTATTGTCCACTTCATTCACACAGGGCACTGGCATCACCTCTTTACCCTCAGAAATGTCCGGCAAGTACAGGTGAGGTTGTCCTGTGGTAGTGGAAGGGGGTCGCGCACGGTTCACAAGAACAAACGGATCCATACAGAACATTTCCAGGAAGAGGAAGTCACAACGCGTTTCAAACAAGTAGTCTTGCACTTCCTGCATGTCACACAGGCTCCGCCCACAAGGAGAACGATAGAAAATGTGGAAAAATAGCTAAAAAGAGAAAGAAAAAACATTGTGAATAAAGATAATATAACAAAACCACCATTTGAAAAGAGGCTTTCACCCAGTAGGAACATTTTCATAGTTCATATAACTATTGGAAAAAGAACCCACTTTTTGGCATGTTTGCATAGCAGGAATTAAGAATGATTCAATGAATGCTAGGGATGTAACGGTATCAGAATTTAACGGTACGGTAATACCTCGGTATGAATGTCACGATACGGTATTTATTGAATCATTTACAGGAAAAACAAAACTTATGAAAATACTCCAAAAAAGTGCCAAAAGTGTCAATGACATACAAATTAGCCATCTATCTCTAAGCTTTGAAACAGGAACTTCAATTTTAATAACAAAAAAAATATTAAACCATGTAAAAAAATAAAGTTTCAATTTAGTATTGTTGAAAACTCATCACATTCAACATTTAATCACTCACTCACTTAGATAGAGATGGCTTTAAAGGACAATTATCATATAAATATAATCTGGTAAAAGCTGGTATCTCTGGGTATTTACAATGTCCCCTGCAACAGAAAAAAACCCTCTCATTTGGGACTGAGGTTTCTGGGACAAGAGAGATATGACTTGGCCCAGGTTGACAGCAGTGGGTAACGTTGTACATTGTCTTTCCCCCACTTGAGAGGACAAACCATGAGTGAGATAGAGATCTCATGTCTGCATCAATCTGAACAGTGTGCTGACAACACCGCTATTCAGTACGCGCGCGACAACACAGCTGATAAGAACTCGCGCGACAACACAGCTGATAAGAACTCGCGCGACAACACAGCTGATAAGAACTCGCGCGACAACACCGCTATTCAGTACGCGCGCGACAACACCGCTGATAAGAACTCGCGCAACAACACCGCTATTCAGTACGCGCGCGCCGACAACACCCGCTTTAGAGTTTTCCAGCTCTTTTTCATCCCCGCTTCTAGCAGCACACTCCATTTCCGCATTACTGGATCTGTAGCGACAACATTGGGAATTGTAGTTTTCGCTACCTCCCGTTCGCTTCATTCGCCTGAGCAAATTTTCTCAGAAGACCTATAGTTTTACCGAGTCATGCGACTTCGGTAATATCGAAAAAAATTAATATTGCGGTATGACGGTATTTACAATACCGTTACATCCCTAATGAATGCCATTTGCAAATCATTTTTAAGCAAAACACCAACAAAGTATTTAAAAGACAACACATTCTTAGGGTGCTTTACAGTTGGGTCAATTGCCTGGTCAGAACCCAAAATCGATTGTCCCCTTTACCACCTTTTCGGCTGGTTTGTGTTTACATTGTCCTTTTTTTCTTCTGAACCCTGGTACGCTTGCGTCATCAAGCTGCTGCTGAGTTTGCACGAACAGTACCCCAGACAACCTCTTTCAGTAGGACTCTGGTACAGTTCATAGGTGCACACCCGAATTTAGAAGACATTGTTTACACTAGCTAAACGTATCGAACTCTGATGTCAAACGAACCCTGGTGCGGACCAAAAGTGCTAGTGTAAAAGCACCTTTAATGTGTATGTGAACTCTAATGTTAGTGTTATTTGTCTAGTATTGTGTTCTTTCTTCACCCCTGAACAACACTACAAGTTATAGCTGATTTAGTTTCAGTAACTACTGTTGGATTATCTAGCCAATTCCACGCATGTTCAATAAAAAAGGTAAGGTGAGGGTTTCCTTCAATGTCAAAAAATTTGTAATTTATTAGATACAAATGAATGATTGGATGGCAGAGCTCCAGTTGGCGTTACCCAAATCCAATACAAGAATTTCATTCAGGAGGTTCGCAACACATCTACATTTCCCTGACTCCAGAATATATACACAACTGATAATGAAAGGTGGAGTTTCGGGAGAATTTGTCACTTGTCAATCATTCTGCAGTCTTTTGGCGGTCGCACCCAAACATACTTTCTCTTTCTGCAACCCTTCTCTGCATACCAGCACTGAACAGTAAAGTGCACCTTCAATATATTGATGCAAAACTTCTACAAGCATCCAGCTCCATCTTGTTACAGAAAGTCTGGAGCAAAGCACCCCACACCATTTTTATACTCTATTTCCCTCCTGCCAGCAGTACCGTCTAAGAACTGTTGCATTAGTATGCAGCACAGTAAGAAAGAAGTATGTTTGGTTAATATATTGTATCATACAAAAGAAGAAGATTGGTTAATCTGTTACTAGTCAAAACATTTAACTAATAAAAAAATAAGAGACAAAAAGCAACAAAAATAAATTCCTTTTTTCCATCACTACCTGGTGCAAAAGCGCCTAAAGTATTTTTTAAAAAGAAACTAATACTTTCATTAAGCAATGATACATAAAATTGTTTAAAAGTGACTGTAAAAACAAGATAAAAGATTTAAATTCAAATTATTCTGTTTTATCTATACCTTAAAGAATCTTACAAAATGTTTCTAGAGCAACGAATCAGCACTAAAGGATCCCTAAAGACTGAAGTGGTAGCTTTGCCATTACAGGAGTAAAATACATACATTATAAAATACATGAACAAGTAACTATTTGTTAACCTGTAATAATAATTTACATTTTATAGTATTTTTTGAACAAAGAAATTCAACCTTGATCGCTTTAAGACATTATTTTAAAATCATACCAACTCCAAACCTTTGAACAGTAGTATACATTTAGGGTGCTCTCACACTATGCACATGCTATCTGAACAGTGCCCAGGCGCCTTTCCCGGTTCGTTTGACAAGTGTGAATGCTCCAAATCTGGTCAAAGCGCTGTTCAGTTGCCCGGCCTTGGCCCAGTTGGAAGACGTGTGCCAGAGCATGGTTCGGTTGGGCGTTTGGTATGGTATGCTTGTAGTGTGAGTGCAAAGCATGCCTGAGCCCATACCTTTAATCATCATTCTTACTTTTCAATGAACGCAAACTGTCATAGTTTATTAAAGACACAAATGCACCTTCAGCTAACCTCCTAACACCATGCAGCACAATGACTTTTATGATTATTTACGAGCATCAAAAGTTGTGGATCTGTTCGGCAGAATATCTGACTGCGAGTCACTACATCCCAAACGACTTAAATGAAATAAAGCAATCACCACTCTCTGAGCGAGAGCACTACTACTCTGTTAAACTGAACAGTCACATCATCGATGACATAAGTGTGCTCAAGTTCGGAAGGCTAAATGCAGTGCGAGTACAGACCATTGTGAGAGAGGGGAAAGTCACACTTCGGCATGGTTCAAGGCAACTGTACCTAGTGTGAGCATGCCCTTAAATAGTTAAGTAGCTAACAAAACAACTTCCTTAAAGACCACCCACCTTTCCATCAATGCGCCTCCGGGCAGTCATTCGCCGAAACTTAAAAAGCAGTGGGATAAGAAGTGGATTTTTCCCATGGTGTATGTCAACTTGATGCGGCCTCACCTCCTCCAGACATGCAGGGCAACAACGCTGATGTAAATATACAGACTTATTCTGCTCTTGCTCTAAAACCTCCACTTCATCTTCAGAAAAATACTCATCTTCTTCTTCATCAGGGGCAGGTCGTTTTGCACTTCTGGAATACAGAACCAGATAGAAGCTATTAGCATGACAAAAGACAGCATTTTTAACCAATACAAGCTCAGTACTCACATTAAGCTTGAGTTAGTGTTGCTATTTGATACCCTGGCAGCTGGTGAGATAGACGAGGGCAAAGATATTTTCTGGAGAACAACCTTTGGCTGAAAAGCAGGCGACATGATTTTTTGAGGGCTAATAGATGTTTTGGTCTTATCGCTCTGTCTGGTCACACGTGCAGGAGACACACTATCTGAAGAGACGGGTGAAACATTGGCTGATGATGTCGAGGTGGAAGCTGTGTTTGAAAGCAGTAAAATACAAAAACAAAAAGTTAAGCATGTCATGGTGATATTTTTGTGGCATATACACTGTTAAAACCTTCATGAACAGGTTGAAAAAATGATTAGTCATATTTCTTAAATGTAGTGAAAAAATTGACAACAAAAAAGGAATAAACATTTTAATACAGTAAAACCATTAAAAAACATCTCTCAAGTAAATAGACTACAGGGCCTATCATACGCCCGGCGCAATAAGTGTTTGGTGTGCTTTTTTGCTAATTTCAGACCAGCACAACCCTTATTTTCACATTTTGCACCACAATAGCAAATCCATTTGCACTACTTTGTGGACTCATCATGGGTGAGCCGGTCTATAAAGGAGGTGTGTTAAGGAGCATTGTTGGGGTTGTTATTCTGAGAAACTGAAATAGACTGCACCATTGACCATGTAAACGCAGATCTAGAGTCCATTGCATAGTTAGTTATGCGCTTATGCAGGTTCAAACACTTGATAGACACAGCAATACTCAAATCTCTTTACATATGAAAAAATTAAAGGATTAAAATGTTCTAAAAAATAATTACTACATTGATCTAAAACAAACATTTGTATAATGTTTTTATTATTAGCTGTATTATTTATTATTTGAATATTTATATTAGTTTTAATAAAAACTAGTTTAGATTTGTCCACCTGTCGAGTTTTGGAGATGTATGCGTCACTATATGGGGCATAAGAATAGGATGTGTGTTTGGATATAACTTTGACCACACTTTGCTATTATTGTTCAAATATTAGTTTGCTGGAAATTTAGAAATAGTTTTAAAACAAATCTTTGTGCTTAAACTAAATTAAATATGTAGGCTAATGGATGTCTTCAGTTGAGTGCACACAACACCGTTTCCTTCATGGAAGTAAAGGAGTAAAGAAGCCGAATGAGGAAGGCTCGTTCTTTATCCTCATGCTGCAGATGGCCTGTTTAACTGTTTTTTCTCGCTAGAAGCGTTCAGTTTTTCCACTTACAAAGTCTGCCATGTAAATAGCAAATGCACCATGGCACGACGCAACAGACTCTTAAAGGGAATGGGAGACGAGACTTTGATTGGTTTAATGCACCTCATGCTCAAAACACACCCATAACTCATTAAGAGACTAAGCACAACCCTGTTAGTTCATGTGCCATGGTGCAGAGCATATTTTTCCATCCTTAAAATAGTAAAAGTGAATTCGGACACGGTCCTTAAAGCTTTTGCGCCATGTGTACAGTACAAAAGAAAGAAAGCTGAAACTTTCAATCCTTATCTGGCATGTTTAAAAGTAAAATGTATGTGTAGAGTTTTAAATTTAAAGTTAAAGTGTTTATATCATGTTCATTCCCTTGTGAAGCTAATGCAGAAGCAACTGAAATTGCAATTCACGACTGGCCTTTGGAGGCTGGCTCCAAAAACTATGGATGTTCACTGACTCCCATGCTAAATTGGCAATTTTTACAGCTGAAAAAAAAAACATATTTACACCTTGGTACAAATTATGGTTTTGGTATTTATAGCTTATAATACCCCTCATGACAACTTTGAGAAGGGTGAATGTTTTATAGTCTATTTGTTTCATTTATATTAATTCTGCATAATTAAGGGCACGGCCACTTGAGTGACAGCTATGTCTCTGCTTACTTCAGCTGATTCCATCTGACTAGCCCTTGAACTTGGCATATATATCATATTTTAGTTTTTTTTATGTGGCTTTACACGGTCAATTGCCTTTTAGGATTATTTCCTACAATTTTCAGATAATATGGCATGCTGTGCACTTAGTAGTGCTCACAAACCATTCAAGTGACCTCCATTTCCCAGGTGAGTGAAATTCTTAAACAGCCATTTAAAATGTTGTCATACAGTGTTATGTGTGGATTTCATAAATAGCGTAGCATTTACTAACACAGACTATATTTGAAGTATTTAGAAGTAATTACATTTTTCCTCTGTAGAAAAACATCATAAGAACAATGCTTTGTGGCTCAATGAATTACAACAGTGTTTTTAAAAGATTAATCACAATGAACACTTTATTGATAAGGTATACAGCAAAGCATATGTGGTCAGAACACAAACGTATCTCTGGCAATAGTGTTAAAAGTTTCTCCCAAAGGAAAGCCCATCAAACCAAAATGCTAGTAGGCATCTGTATCTCCGCTCACACTCCACCTCTTGGTATTTTATTTATTTCCCAGAATATACTTCATCTTTTAAATCAACTTAAATGTGGTATATTTAGGTCACTTATAGTGCACATATCAAAGAAAAAAATACACAAAGTTTGTATTGGAGCAAAATTAGATATGAAGAGTTCAAATGCAAAGGCCGCTAAACACCACTTCCATCAAAAATGAGAAATGATATTGAGTGAATGCTTCAGGCACGTAGTACACCATCAACAAATAGATTTGCAAAAGTCACTATATCCCGAGAACCAATCAGAAGGTGTAAATCAAATAGTATGTTTTCAATGTAGCAGCACGCTGATACGCCGGCTTTTATGAGGAGACTTTGGCTACATTCACTGCAGGCAAATGTGGCCCAAATCTGATTTTTTCCCCCCTCATGTGACTCAGGTGAAGACAGTGTGAACAGCCCAAACCGTATGGAATCTGATCTTTTGAGGTCAGATCTGTGCCACTTTCATATTTAGTCTTATACAGACACCGATCAGATGTTTTGCAATGGGGCCGCAGTGTTAACAGTTATGTCGGATTTCATGTGACTTTTACATGAACTTCGAGCGACATGCGGCATCATTCTGTGTTACAAACATCATCTACTCCTCAGCAGCACAGTAGAATGGGACACAGGGCGATTACTGTACCACAGAAAGTTGGTTGTTCATGTTGAAAAGGATTTTGAAAGCAAAACTGGTGCTTATTAACTAATCTGGTTAACGATTGAGACACGGGTTGATCGTGAAGCTGAAGAGCATCGTGGGAGTTGCGGATAAAGGATCCGTGTGCAAAGGAAGGGGAAATTTCTCTCAGAGAGAAAAAAAGGCAGGTGCTCGACCTCCCGAACCTCCCTTCTGCACGTGTCTGTTGTTTAAAACGAAGTTAAATTAAATAACTCTGCAAATGGAGATAAACCAACTCCGACTTCACAGCTCAGTCTGCAGCTGCTCAATAACCCTTGATGAGTTCAATACACCATTGGTCAGAGCGCCACGCGCCGCGGTTGTCATGAATCACAAATGATCAGTGTTTTTAATCACAAGAGACTTGGTCTCAAATGCCGAAATACACATTCGTAACTCTTTACAGTTCATGAAATACACCACGGTTGTCTGTAAAAAGAGTATATATATTGTGTGCATAATTAGACATTTTTTGCTGTCCGTATCTGTACTTTTGCGTATGCGGGTCAGTTTAGGAACAGGATCTGTTCACACTGCAAATCTAATATTGGCCACATTTATTAGAGCAGTGTGAACAGCCGTGCAAAAAAATCAGATCTGAGAAAAAAAAAAACTGATTTGAGCACTTAGCCTGGCAGTGTGAGCGTAGCCTTTTTAATTCCGCTTTTGATTTTAAAAAGATGGAGGTTTATGAACTGGATAAGCCTGGCCGACTGTCAGTGAATGGCAAATGAAAACGTCCCTTACCTCAAAACTCTGTGCATTTAAAGAAATAGAAAACACAATGTGCAGTCAGAAGTGTAGCATGCATTCATAACAATTTTTTGCATCGCGATGCTACTTTTAATGAGTCCAGTTTACTACACGTTAAATGGCAACTGCATTTCACGAAAGTCAGAGTTAAGATCCCGTTCTTTAATCCCATGTGAATGCTATGAGGATAAACAAGAGACCAAGACCTTAAGTATGGTGAGAATGAATGAATGACAGCTTCTAAAATTGTCTGAGAGGCATCCCCCTTTTGCCCAGTTGGTCTACCTTGTGTTTTATTCACTAATTTAAGCTATTTTTAAAAAGATAAATATAATGTATAAAACTATACATTATTTATATTACTTCATAATACCTATACGTCTGATAAGCTTTTTATATTAATGAACAATGCACAGATATTGAGGTTTCATAATGTTTTACACTACATTATTTGAATCTACCAAGCTTAGTTTACAATGTTTGCAATGTTTACATAGCTCTACTTGCATTAAATCTAAATCCCAAATATCAGAAGTGACATCAGATTGTTAAGATTTGATTAATGTCAATTTTAATGTTATTGATTGATGCACTTACTTGACAGATTTCATTCGTTCATTTTCCTTCTGCTTTGTCCCTGGTTTATCACAGTGGAATGACCCACCACTTACATGACACATTTATATATTTTTATATTATTTAGGTGTTTAATATTTGGTAAAAAAAACTTCTAATTGCATCCGTCTTGTCCCAATCGGTGGATTTAGAAGGTTTTGCAAAATAAGCAAAAGTGGATTTAGCTGGTTTTGACTCAAAGGACAATCTACGTTGTTAAAAACAAAACACGTTGACAAAAACGTTTAGACACGTTGTCTAAAGTGACATTTTTGAAAAAAAAAAAAAAAAGTTTTTGTTTATTTACCAGCTAATAATCTTATCATTACATATAAAAATGTAACTTCTAAACCTAATTACAGGAGCCTGATAGAAAATGCTCATTTACAAGTGGTCTGATGGATTTAGAGGGATTTGCATCTGAACTCTTTATATACACTTTTTATATCTGATGTACTTTTATACTGCATTTCCATATAACTGCTTCAATAAATTTGTTTAAGCTTAACATTTATAACACATAATGCTAAAAAATGAATAAAAAATCTTTTTTTTTTTTTTTTTTTTTTTTTTTTTTAAAGCAGGAAAATTGCATGACTCTCCAAAAAAGAGCTAAGAGCTACCTGATTTAGAGGAATGCAGTGTTTTGGGTTGAGAAGATTGCGTTTTCCCTTCAGGTGAATGGTGTTTTTTGTGAGAGTGTTGTTTGTGACGATTCTTGATAGTTAAAATATGCTCCAACTTGTCTGATCCTTTATAAATCCACTCCTTCTGCTTGTCATTCTGAGGGAAAAAAACACAACAAATAAAACAAATAATCAGCGTCAAAATGGCCAACCTGAAAACGAAACATAAAATTTTTATATTTTTGAATAAATTGAAAATAGTGTAAGTAATATATTGGGGATTCAAACCTACATATGTGACGACACTTTTACGATCTCAAGGCCTATAAACCAAACAGCTGAAATATCCGATAAAAGGTCATTTTAAAAGCATGTTTCCTGCTGAGCTGAGTAAACGCAAAATGTTTTTTTTCTTGCAATTTCTATTAGGTACTCTCTCACAAACGGATCTTTAAGGCCATGTTTACACAAATACATTTTCATTTTTAAGGTTTTGCAACAGTAACTCCTTCAATCCAGAGTTCTCGAACCCTGAAAATGGAGCATTTCGGAAATGCTGAAGAAGCCATTTTTATTTTAAAACACTGCTGGTCCGTGTCAGTGTGGATGGGGGAAACAAACACCTGAAAATGGAGGTATGGCTGCAGAGTCACCTTTCTGATCTGGGCTTTTCCCTCAATATTAGGTACACAAAGTTCAGTCTTGCACCCTTTCCCTAAGTTCAGACTTCGCAAGAATGATATGAAAAACAAACTCCCGAGGACACATCAGGTAAATCTTCAAAGGGAAGAGTGTAGGCTACTTTATAACCTCATTCACATCACCCTGGCTACATTATTTCACTATTCCTAACAATAAAAAGAAAATGTTGAGGCATCGTGTAGCTACATATTTATATGACTGTCATATTCACTGTTTTCATATTTATAACAAAACGAAGCCTACAATACAACTGCCTCCTTTCATTTTCTTTGAAATATATTAAACATACTCTCTCTTTTGCTGGATATCAATATTAATAATCAATAGTGGCTATTATAAACGTATAACGTACAATGTTTATATATTTTAAGAAATAAAGGCAAGCAATCAGTCAAATGTGCAAAATCAGTCTACGTGGTTACATTAATGAATATGCTCACTTATCTTTGCAATCAAAACATATTAACTGAAAACAAGTAATAGATAAGTCTGGGAATAAGTCATTAAGATTGTCACTTCCGTCTAAATTGATCAACGTTTTTTTTTCACGTCCCCCCATACTTCAGTTTCTCATCAAATCATAACCAATCAAAAGCTCTCAAGTATCTGACATGCCCCGCCCCTTTCAATATGCTTCGCTTTTGATGCGCTTGAGCTCAACCACTCTCACTGGCAGAGCCGTTATAAAAAAGGGGAGGAGCTACTCTATGACTCACCCTCCCTTCATGTTTCGGTTGAGATTGTCAAACATCAAATAAAAATGCACATTTCAAAGAACTTCACGGACCTTGAAATAAACTTCACAACAAAAAACAACCCAATTTTATTGTTAATTAGTTCATTAGTAGTGTAAATTTGCCCTTAGAATAAAGCTGAGAATCCCATATTGACAGAAAAAAAACTAAAGTTTCACCTTATAGCAGATCTGGACCAGGCTGCCATCTAGCTGAAGCACCGTACAGTCCTCAAATTGGCCATTTCGCACTGCCTTGGTCTCTTGACCCAAGCGAAGCACCACAGCAATAGGGTTGGGATAGACTTGAAGGTAATCCTTAACCTGCTTGCGAGATGACTCATCCTTGATTTCCCTCCATACTTTTTTTGCTGAAAAAATGATAAATAAATTATTAAACCAAATAAACATTGAGAAATAAGTAGATTTTAGAGGGTCCTAAAGAGATTGTTCACCCACAAGTTTTCCCACCCTTCACTTGTTCAAAACTTGAGCTCTTTCTTCTGTTGAACACAAAATAATTGAAGAAGGCTGGTATCTGGCACCCATTGACTTCTATAGCAGCTTTTTTCCTCTATGGAAGTCAATGGTGACAGCAACCAGCATTCTTCAAAATATTTTCTTTTACATTCAACAATAAAAAGAAACTCATAAATATTTAAAACCATACAAGAGAGACCAAATAATGAGGTCATTTTTCATTTTTGGATGAGCTTTCCCTTTAAGAAAAGAGTAAATAGAGAATTTCTTACTTTGTTTGCAGACAAAATAAAGGTCTGGAAGGGCCAAATAGGTTGCCAGGCCATCATCAAAAAACACCAAGAACCTAATTTTAGAGAAAAGTAAAAACACTTTTACTAAAGACACAATAACTATACACTACCTGACAAAAGTCTTGTTGTTGATCCCAGTTGTAAGAGCAACCCGTAATAATTTGATTTCTAGTTGATCATTTGGAAAAGTGGCAGAAGGTAGATTTTTTTAGATGAATCATCTGCATTCCAATCATCACAAATACTGCACAAGACATATAGACCAATTACCATGTTTGTAAACATTCAGCACGCGCACGCAGGGAGGTGGCAGAAAGAAACCGGAAGCGCTAGCTTTTACAAAGTGGGAATGACATCCGATGCGGTACAGAGTTTGTTGTTGTCTTAGAAATAAGATATATTGATTACATATTAATTACATAATGCTTTCAGCATATTATATCAGCTCGTCACAATGCTCCATGATGACCAGATTCAACACTATGTAGTGCGAAAAATCGAGGTTCGGCTAAGACAAAGACAAGGAAAAGACGAAGTTATATGAGGCCTGGGTTATTAATCACCAACATGCAAAACAACTGCATTCTGAGAGCGAACTACACCTGTAAGCAGGGCCGGAGTAAGCTGAAGTGCCGCTCTAGTCAAAGGACAGTCATGCCGCAATCAACCATAAATGGTGGTAGAAGGGGGGGCTGAGGGTAGTGTCGCGGACGCCGCTCTCTCTATTTTGCCGCCCTAGACGCGGCTATAACTGAGGGTGCGGGTGGCGAGGGTAGTTTCGGGGATGGCGCTCTCTATTCTGCAGCCCTAGACGCGGATATAACTGAGGGCGCGGGTGGCGAGGGTAGTTTCGGGGATGCCTCTCTCTATTCTGCAGCCCTAGACGCGGATATAACTGAGGGCGCGGGTGGCGAGGGTAGTTTCGGGGATGCCTCTCTCTATTCTGCAGCCCTAGAAGCGGATATAACTGAGGGCGCGGGTGGCGAGGGTAGTTTCGGGGATGCCGCTCTCTATTCTGCAGCCCTAGGCTATAACTGAGGGCGCTGGTGGCGAGGGGAGTTTTGGGGACGCCGCCCTCTCTATTCTGCCGCCATAGGCTGCCTAGGTCGCCTCTATGGACGCGCCGGCCCTTGCCTGTAAGGCAGGGTGTATGAACTTACACATAGAGGTAAAGTTGGTTTTATATTTGCACATTCAGACTTTCTCCTTAATAATGTAATTTCATAAAAGTATTATTTGCAAACTCTAAACAGCAAAATCATATTAGCAGCCAATGACTTTCAAAGTACAACATTGTTCACAGTCAAATAAATGTTTATGTTGTTTTCAAGTCACACTTGCAGGTTATTTCATTGCGCATATTCAAAGTGCCTGGGTAAACAATATAGGGAGTGTGTCACAAGTTGTCACTGAAGGAATGTGTGAAAATAAAACCAAGCTTACCTTAATAACTTACATTTTCATGTTTCATTTTTAGCATTTAGTGTCAAGTTTAATTAACCACATGTAACTGTTTTTGCTGAAATAATTTCTGCAATCAAAAACGAGTAATGTGTATGATTCAGCATAGATTGAGCTTACCTTTTATAACATGAGAACTGCAGAGTCAGGGATTTCTAATTAGGTTATCACTTCATTCAGCTCCCTTTTAGTCAAAGATGTCTGCAGTTAGCATTTAAGCAGTGTGGTGTATGGTAAAATTAAGTTTTCTATTTTTAGACTTTCAAATTTGGCATCCTACCACTCAACACGACATCTTTACTATTGCACCCTGTCTTTTTATTGCAACCGGGGACCCGCGTGACGTCATGTATGATGTAGGTTGGTAATTGGTCAATTGAAACCCGCATGGACACAAGATTCTCACAGAAATCAGTCAAGTTTGGTGAAGGAAAAATCATGGTTTGGGGTTGAACATTATGAGATGAACATTATTGAGCATGTATGGGGTAAGATGAAGGAGAAGGCATTGAAGATGAATCCAAAGAATCTTGATGAACTCTGGGAGTCCTGCAAGAATGCTTTCTTTGCTATTCCAGATGACTGTATTAGGTTGAGTGATTGCAGGGATGTATGGATGCAGTCATCCAGGCTCATTGGAGTCAAACACAATATTAATTCTTTTTCCACTTCAGCATGACTTTATATTCTATTCTGGATATTATTTCTGTTAAGTGACAAGACTCTTGTCTAAGCAAAGTCAGACCTTCCTGTCCTAATTAAATAATTTGAATCAAAGGCAATATTATATTTTTATTTTGGTAAAATTAGCGTAATCTAGAGGTATCACTTTTGATACCAAATGATCAACTAGAAGTCAAATTATTATTTGTTGTTCCTAAAACTTAGATAGGCGACAAGACTTTCGTCAGGTAATGCATTGCAAAATGATGTATATATCCAAGATAAGCAAAATGCACACAGATTTGGACTCAAGCTGAGCAATGACTCACATTAGGGTTTTAATAGTGTTTTCCCTCACGCTGCTATTTCTATTGCACTTCTACATAAATCTGTTTGGGCTTGTTGTATAAAAAAATGTTGTATGACAGTAAATTTCCCCTATCAGTTCTGCTTTTATACTTCCATTTCCTCTTACATCTATCCTGAAACAGTTAAATATAAATAATTGTATTGAGCGAGAAGAACTAAAAGTTTTGATCATGTTCATAAAAGTTTTGTTGGATTTTTTACATTTTATATGAATGAAACTTTAATAACTTGCATACTAAAGCAATTTATCTGGGTTTTATCTTTCAACAATGCAGTTCCACAGCCACATGCAGCCAGGTGCAAATTATAATCCAGAAAACATAGGATATACTGCAGTCATATAGAAGACTAAAAACAAAATGAGGCACTGTTTAAAAAAAAAAATATATATATATATATATATAAATTTACAAATAATAAATTAAATAAAAGGACACTAAACTCATTTAAAAACATTACACTGAAATCCAAAAGACACGAGTGAATAACAGAACAATTTACCTCATGCGATTCTTGCGCTCGGGAAGCTCAACCATCACACCAGCATTATACAAGCTCTTTCCATTTTCAGATTTGGCGCTGGCCACGACACGACAGCCGATATACAAATCCTTGAGAGAAGGAGGCTTGTAGGCGGCCACATGATTAGCAGACAGCACAATGGTTTTACCCTTCTTGAACTCCACCTTATACGTATTGCCATCATCTAAAAGGAAAAAGACATAAAATAGCGTTAAATATAAGGGATAATATCGGCTCTTTGCCTTCATTTTGACCATTAAAAGGCCCTGTGAAGTGCATTTTTATTCATAGTGACTGAACTGAAAAATAAAGAGAGGGTGGGGCATAGTGTAGCTCCTCCCCTTTAAAAAAATCTGCCAACAGTATTTTGTTTTTATTACAGCTCTGCCAGTGAGTGTTGTCAAGCTCAAGCGCATTAAATGGTAAGTGTCTTGACGAGGGTGGGGCATGTCAGATCCTAGAGAGCATTTGATTGGTCAAGATATCAACAAGATGATTTAATTTAGGCGTAAATTCCAAACTGCATGCTTTGAGATATGATTTACTTTGTTTACTATATATTTTCTGAGCATATTTAAAAATTGGTTGATCAACATTGGCATCTGATGAAGTCAGTGTCCAGAGTGTCAAGATTTGACAGAGAAAAGCTCTATTGTCTTGTCATTGAATTACTATAGTTACTGCTAACGATTTGAGGCAGGGTTTCTGCAGGTTTCACCAAGTTAAATTTAAGACTTTTGGACCTTTAGAGTGCTGAATGCTAAGTTAATACCCAAGTTGGAAAAACATTTCACTTGCCCTATCAATTTTTTTTTAACTTAATACATTTAATGCAACAATAATAATTTATTATTAAAAATCCCGCGGATACCCTGTGAGGGAAGCACATTTGATTTGAACTGTGATCAAATCTGACTAGAACTACCTTTGCAGTAAATGTTCCATGAAGTGCTGTAAAATGTGCATTAGTTATTTGTTGTTTGACAATCTCAACTGAAAAATGAAGAGATGGTGGGACAGAGCTCTGGTTGAGAATAAAGCACATCAAATAAAAAGCTATTGAAAAGTGTCTTGAAGGGGGCGGAGCAGGTCAGATACTAGAGAGCATTTGATTGGTCAAGATATGATGAGAAACTGAAGAATGAAGTGACGTGAATAAAACCATTGATCCATTTGGGTGGAAGTGATAAACTACAAACTTTAGATGTTTGTAACAGTTTTACATTTTCTAAATGCGAACTGTCACTGTTTTTGAGCACACTAGCTAATAAATATTGTTAAAACTAACAGACCTTCACCGGACCTTTAAATGGCTTTTCAACCATTCCGAATCAAGAATTCCAACAGACCAAGGAATAATACAAAATATAAAAACCACAAAGAATAACAATTTCAAAAAATAATAAATAACTGGAAGTAAATCCATTAGATTTCCCGCCGTATTATATTTCATGCTGATTTGTAAAAAAAAGCTCAGTCTTGCCTTCGGTCTCAACTTCTTGCACTGTTCCCCGACTCCAATGGTTGTGTCTCTTTTTTCCTAAAACTGCCGCCCCGACCTTAAGTTTGATCTCTTTAAGTGTTTTAGAGGACTCGCTGGATGAATGCTTGGAACCTAAGATCAGCAGCAGAAGATAAATACAGTTAACGGACTTAAGAATGAATGACTGTGGTGGAGTATAGTACTTCTGTCATACAACATGGCAAACAGTAAAAAATAACTTACTTTTCTTAGCTTTGGAAGGTTTAGCAGGAGCATCATTCCTGGTGGTCTTGTCTGGAGTTTTTGTAGGTGACTCCGTAGGTGAATTAGATGGTTCATCAGGCGAATCTTCCATGTCAGCGGATTCATCAATGCTGTCTGACGGCGATTGAGCCCTTGCGGTTTCCTTTTGGGTGCTGGACGTCTTCGTTACAGGTGGGCTTTTTGAAGACGTCAGCCTGCTTTCGGGACTTGTTGTGGTCACAGAGGGTTTGCTAGATTTTTTCCTTGTTTGTGGCTTTTCGGTTTTGTCTGTGGATTCTGCATCACTCATAATCACAGCTTCTTTAGGATTGCTTGGCAAAGTCGACTCCTCAACAGGAGTTTCTGTAGGCAATTCGGAATCAGTCTGATTTGTTTCTACGGATGCTGTATTGTCAACAGCAGGAGGACTTTTTGAGGGTGGAGGAGTTCCTGAAGGGGTCACCGGCCTTACTTTAGGATCAGTCCGATTTAAAGATGCAGATGCTGAATTATGATCCCCACTAGATTTTAGCTTTGAGCTGGCAGTGACTTCCGAGGGTTTAAATCTAGTTTTTGTAGCTGCGTTGTCTGACTGTTCTGAATCGCTTTCAAGTAAATCCACTTCAGAAACCGATGCCTTTAGCTGAGACTCATTCTTAATTGCTGCAATGGACAGTGAATTGTGATTTTCTAATAGTTTTGAATTGCTTGGCGGTGAAGACAGTTCTGTATTTGCTTGTGTCGACTGAGGCTCGGGCTTTATTTTTGTTGTGGACTGAAAACTGAGAAGTTCTGGTTGTTTGTTTGGAGTCATTACTGAAGGGGTCACATCTGTCGACTGGGATTCAGTCTTAATTAATTTCTCGAATGGAGATGACTCACTATCTTCCCAAGGTGTTAAAGGTGTCCATTCAGGTTCTGTCTTAATCGTTGGTTTAAAATATGAATCATGATCGGCGATAGATTTGCATTGTTCTGAGCTGTTGAAAAGTGAGGATATTTTAGGAACACTTGATAAAGACTCGGTCTTGACTATGGTGATAGAGTTAGTTATTTCCAGTTTTGGCGTGACAGACTCAGGACGGACGATTTCAGGGGTTGAAGATGATGAGGGTCTGTTGATGTCAGATGATGATGTCGACAATGGTGAAGTGGCACCCATAGAGGTTTTGCTCACCATCTGCACCAAGTCTTGAACAAGTTTGGATGACTTCTGAATGGCCACGGTCACCTTTTCAAGCTGAGAGAGGTGTAAGAGTGACGTAATGAACAAAAGAGAAAAATAAAACAGTGAAAATAAAATAAAAGGAACATTTTTAAAAAGGCAAAATCGAAAAAAGCAAGATAAAAAAAGTAGATAGAAAGAAAATGTAGTTCGGGAAGTAGCATTTGTTTTTGGTTCACATCCTCACCATTGGTTCCAAGGTTTCTTTGGTGGCTAAAAAAGTAAAAGATAGCATAATTTTATACCTAATGGCTTAATTTACTAAATTATTTCCAAGCATTTTCAATTAAATTAAATGCGTCTCACCGCCCAGATCAATAACAACAAGATCATCATTATCATCATCCTCTCCATTACAGATAACATTTCCACGTCGTTCTGCCTCATCATCTGCGATCTGGATGACGTCATGTGGTTGTCCCCCTCCTCCTTCCTCTTCCGAGTCCTCATCTCGGTAATCCAATCCCAGCAACGCATAAAGACCCTTCATCACTGACTCACACTCCAGGACGGATCTGATACAGACACAAAACAGCAGGAATCAACGACAAGGACTGGCCAGAATAAAAAAAAGATCGGTCTCTTGCACAGTCAGTTTTTATTATTCATAAATTAGTATTTAATGATCTAAATGTGTGTAAACATATTCAGTTTTTAACTAATTTCAGTAATATAATTGACAAATATGAAAATGTTTGTGATTCAAGTTCAATGCAGTTCGTAATGTAATATTTTGGTAACACTAAAATAATGGTCCATTAGTTATTGCATTTACCAACCTCAACAAACAATTAGCAACATTTATTAAGGTGTTAATTCATCTTTGTGAATGCCAAGTTAAATAACATTAGTTCATGCTAACGTAAACAAGAACAACTTTAGATTTTAAATATAATTAATAAATGCTTTGCAAGATTATTCATACTTAGTTAATGTTGATAAATACACTAACTACTAGACCATTATTATAAAGTGTTAACATTATTAAATGAAAATGTAAAAATTTTTAGTTACTATTTTCTTTTTTAACAAAATTCTGCGCAGAAATTGTAAAAAAATGTCTGCAGATCACGTCTGGCCCTTGCAATAGCACATGAAAAAAGTAAACAGATGTGTATAATTCAGGGCTTTCGCACCCAAGTTAACTTCAAATTCAAGTACCTTTGAAGGACTTTCCCAGTTAAATACTCAAAAAAAAAAAAAAAAAAAATTCAAGGACTTAATGAGGGAGAACGTTTTAAGAGAGAGGAAGGTTACATTGTGTTACCTTGTAAGACACATTGTTGCACTTCATGTGTCAAACAGAATGCTTTTTTTGGGAGGTTTTGGCTAAAAGACTATTAAAAGATTATTTCTGTTTTGCACATCTAATACTATAATCTAAAATGATTTGATATTACTTTTGTATGGATTTTATTTAAAGTAAAAAGATGTGTATAATTTAGGGCTCCCACACTCAAGTTAACTTCAAATTCAAGTGCCTTTTAAGGACTCATTCATTCATTCATTCATCTTCTTGTTGGCTTAGTCCCTTTATTAATCCGGGGTCGCCACAGGGGAATGAACCGCCAACTTATCCAGCAAGTTTTTACGCAGCGGATGCCCTTCCAGCGGCAACCCATCTCTGGGAAGCATCCACACACACATTCGCACACACACTCATACACTACAGACAATTTAGTCTACCCAATTCACCTGTACCGCATGTCTTTGGACTGTGGGGGAAACCGGAGCACCCGGAGGAAACCCACGCGAACGCAGGGAGAACATGCAAACTCCACACAAAAACGCCAACTGAGGACTTTCCCGCTTTTTTTGCCCCCTTTTAAGGACTTTCCTAGTTAATTACTCTCAAATTCAAGGACTTGATGAGGGGGACGTCTTAAGTAATAGGTTACATTGTGTTACCTTGTAAGACACATTGTTGCACTTTAGGTGTCAAACAGAATGCTTTTTTGGGGAGGTTTTGGCCTAAAGACAGAGATTATTTCTGTTTTGCACATCTAATACTATAATCTAAAATGATCTGATATTAACTTTTGCATGAATTTTATTGAAAATAGCTTAAAAGGTATAAGATATATTGTTTTTCTTGCCTCCTGGGTAATACAAAATACATCATGTGGAAAACACTAAATTTGTAAAGAGCGATAAATAAAATGTAAATCAATCAAGTTGGTATGAACAGGCCACAAAGTGTTGGTGGAATAACACATAAGCAGGCCAGAGGGAACAATATGGATTTCCCGACCCCAAGAAAACTTAAAAAAAAATTCAAGCACCTTCAAGGACCTGTATCTATGTATGTTGTTTTTCAAAAACATTTCAGAGCCTTGAGGTTTTTTCACATTGCCAAGCTTTCAAAGATTTTAGGGACACATGGAAATATTGGTATTTTGTCTTGAAAAGATGGTTCACCCAAAAAAATTACAATTCTGTCACCATTTACTCATCCTCAACTTCTTCCAAACCTGTTTTTTTTCTCAAATATTTTGGAAACCAAAAGCCATTGACGACACAAAGTGTTCCCGAAGCTTCATTTGATTAAACCACTGAAGTTACATAAGTTTTGACAATCTTTTTGGCTCCATTTCTGCACTTTGAACATCCCAGGATCATTGCTGTGTATGGGAGCTCTCGAATTTCATTCAAAATATCTTAATTTGTGTCTTGATGACAAACAAAGGAGTAATGGGATTGGAACGATAGCATGCACAAAAACAATTTTTTTGTGGAAGAAAGAAAAGGAAACAACCATTTAAAAAAACACACAATTGGACAAAAGTGATGTAGAAAAACATTGAAAAGTATAAAAAAAAAAAAAAACACATTTGCATATGAACAAGTGGCCTGAACAGTCCAGATACAATCATCGGTCACTAATAAACAACTTACTCGCAGGCGTTGCTGTACAGAAGGCGTGTGCAAGTGCTATCTCTCTCCTTCTGCTTCACCCACTCCTCCACCTGCGCCAGCTGCTCGCGTCTCTGCATTAAATGAGGGTTTCGTTCCACCTCCGCCTGGATCCACCTCTGCAGGTCATCCTTCGTCATCCTCAGGAGGTTTTCATCATCCTTTTCCCGACTCATGGCTTTACTGTTGGAACAATTTGATGAAAAACGTCATACATGCGAATGATCTGCATTAGAGCCAGGGTAGCACTGCTCTAATATGATTGATGGCAAAAAGTTCTTGCATTGTTGAACATATGAAGCAAAAAGTATCAAGTTCCTAATGGACGAGTCCCAGTCTTTTAGTTTCTTTAGCATTTCTTTTGTATTCCAAATTAGTCACGATCACCTCACAGCAAGAAGGTCGCTGGTTCGAGCCCCGGCTGGGTCAGTTGGCATTCCTGTGTTAAGTTTGCATGTTCTCCCCATGTTCGCATGGGTTTCCCCAAAAACATGTGGTACAGGTGAATTGGGTGAAATAAATTGTCTGTAGTGTGTGTGTGTGAATGAGTGTGTATGGATGTTTTCTAGTGATGGATTGCAGCTGCAAGGGCATCTGCTGAATTAAACATATGCTGGATAAGTTGCCGGTTCATTACGCTGTGGTGTTCCCTAATGAATAAAGGGACTAAGCCGAAAAGAAAATGAACCAATTAATAGTTGCGACCTTTTCTACGACATGATACAAGGCTAACTGTTATGTATGATTACTAAAATATCACTTTTTTATTAAAACACGCATTATCATTTCAGAATTTTGATCTTTCTCTCAGTCAGAACAGCTATCAGCTTTTGATATTAGCATCTATTATTTGGCCAGGTATTGTAAAGTCCACTCACCTAAAATGTCAAGTTCACTAATGCTGCTTGTAGTAGAATCTGTCCATTCAATAATATTATTACGATAGAGGTTAAACCAAACCAACTCTTTTCTTGAGTATTTGTACTATTTTTAGACATAATAAACGGTTTAGGATCTTATTTTTGTTACTCTGTCATTATTGTAAAAAAAGAAGTTAAAATTGCTTATTTCTATAGATTTTAACATTCCTCGAAACTATTGGGATCATCCAAGTACAGCAATAATGTAGTGGTGGTTATAGTGGTTTTAGATATATTTTAAAGAAAAAAAAATTACATATTGCGCCGACAAATTTGTGCTATATTATATGTTAATGTCTGATGAAGCAACCCAACAAAATTGGTTGATGACATACAGGATACTTAACATCAGGGTACGAATTACAGGGATGTTTGGGGGAGATTGGGCCATCTAATTAATGCTTATCCCCCTGGAAGGACATCATAAATATACGTTTCCCAGTGTTGGGTTGCTGCATAAAACATGTGCTGGACAAGTTGGTGGTTCAATCCGCTGTGGCAAACCCTGATTAATAAAGGGACCAAGCCAAAAAGAAAATGAACAAATGAATGAATGAATGGATATAAATTTACACTTGTTCCCCCTATAAAAGATAACACCAATGTGAATGCATAATCGCACCAATCAATGGCAGGAAAAATATCATTTAGCAATCTGAAAACTGGCAATTTTCAAACTTAAGTATTCACAAAACGTGCTTCTTGTAAAATAGGTGTTTATATCTGCATGTAGCCTAAAAAATGGAAAAAAAAAAACATAATTTGCATAGTTTAACCAACAGTAACCTCTAAAAACTAAATGTCCCTCGAAACAATAAAACGTATGTTATATTAATAAATACAATGTATACCTCCTGGAATTGTGGATTTATGAACTGTGCTGTGCATTTATGAATGCAAATGTATTTTTATTGAAACTGATCTGGCTCCATAGATATCAGCTTTTGATACTGGCATCTATTATTTTGTCAGGTAAGTAACGTTATTGTAAAGTCCACTCACCTTAAAATGTCTAGTTCATTAATGCTGCTTGTAGTAGTTTTACATTTAATAATCTAACAATTGGAATCTAATCAAACTAACTCTATAATTGAGTATTTGTAATATTTTTAGACATAATAAAGGTTTTAGAGCAGATGTCCAATATTCAACGCCAATACTCTGGCCTGACAGTTCAAACTGATGATTGACAGATCAAGTAAAAGGATAAATATATGAAGTCAATCATTAGATACATACCACAAACACCGTTGTACCCTTTATTACATTTAGCAAAACTAAGGCCTATTACAACCATAACTGGCTACCATATGCTATGGTATTATGGCTTATAGTTAGAAAACCACAAAAGGTGACTTACATACTGTCCGGTCTTCCCAATGTGTCGCTGCTGTTGTATGTTTGAATCCTGAAAACGCTCACATAGCAAAATCAAACTAACGTAACGTAAAAAACACCAACAGCGTCAGGAGTATACGGCGCACAATATCCCGTATGTTTAACGTTATATGTCGAAAAAATGCACGGTTGTTGCTTTACAACCCCATACAACCCCCAAAGCACATGGAAAAGTAAAACGGGCGCAATAAAAGAAGTAAAAACGCATGGAGGGAAAGCATTGCTAGTGTTATCTATAGGAGCGGATGCAGAGTCTACAAGAAGCGTTGTGATTGGTGCAGTGTATGTTGACGCGGGAGTATTAGACACTCCCCGAAAAAACACCAATCACTTACAACACGATGGAAAACAAAACCTAAAATAGTTAGAGCTGGCGGAGGTTGTTAGACGCAATGTGTGTAAGTATAAACAATAGTCATTTATTATACCAACGTGTATTTTCTGTGAAATGTATGTTGATGGTTATTATTGAATTTATGAAGTGTAATTCATCAAGGTTGCCTGTAAGACGAGACAGCGTCACGTGACATCTGTTACTTTTCTCTGCGCGGTAAAACACAGACCAATCACATTTGTTTTGTTAACCCTTTAACTGCCCCACCACCAAAAACAAAACAAAAAATATTGCATTTTTCAACTCCTAATCAGGGGCGGATTTAACCAATAAACGAGGTAATAAAGCGGCCGCTAAGGGCCTCAGGAAATCTGGTGGCACTCAATAAATACCTAGAAGTAAAAATTATAACATTGTTCTCTCTACCATACTTTAAATAATCAAATACAATTTCAAAGTAATTAAATATTATTTAGTATATAATCAAATATTTTATTATTATAATCGTGTAATGTTATGTAATAATAATAATATTACCAAATAAAATATCCATCATGGAGCAGTCCAGCAGTCAAAAATTTATTATTTTTAGTTGTAAATTCATTTTAGGAAAAAAATAATCTCTTAAAATGTAAAGATTGCATTCATTTAAAATGTCGAAAAGATGATTGTGTGATATAAAAGAAACAGCAATAAATAAAAATTAAATAAAAGTAGAAAGAGTGAATTTCAGGACTCAGGGCCCCAAAATCACAAAATCCGCACCTGCTCCTGTTGATGCTAATTATCACACTCAATGCATTTTTAACACATCCCATAAATTCTAAAATATCAACCTCAACCAAATGTCAATATGTCGATTAATAAATCTACTATAAAAAATCAGAAAATATTAAGTGTAAGACCAATTTATTTAAAAACAATCAAAATAAAACATTTTTGAATACTAAATCATCTTTATTTGTGTTGTATTACGTGGCAAAAAAATCAAAAGCCTCAAGTCGTAGAGGAAATCATTTAAATCTGGCGTCTGGTGTAGATCTGAGACTACTGTAGGGAAAATAGATAAAACTGTAAAGTTCGCACTTTCAAACATCCAATCACTTAACAGTAACTTCTAGTCAATGATTGTATCAACACAAATTGCCTGGATTTTATGCTTTTAAATAAAACTTGGCAAGATGATAGTTGTAGTGCAGCAGTCCTGAATGAAACTAATTTGATTTCATGAGTGTTTGCAGAGCTAATAAGACTCTAAAAGTCATTATTGAAAACAGTCAAAATATGGTGAAACATTTGGTAGAGCAGCAGTAAACTCTCTGCTCTACCAAACGTCGACCATGTTTTTACTGTTTTGAATAATGTCTGTTAAAGTCATTAAAACAGTGCTTGAAATAATGGTTTACACACAGCATTGTTGGTTTACAATATAATCAAACAAACATAATCCTGTTGCACTGCTACACTTGATTTTGGTTTTATCCCTTTAACTGCCCCACCAACTCCTTATGTCACTAGTTAACACACTCAGTGCAATTTTTTCAGCAGATCCCATAATTTCTAAAATATCAACCTCTACTAAATGGTTAATGTTGGTTTTTGGTAAAAGTATCGGAATTAATACATCTACTATGAAAAATCAGAAAATATGAAGTGTAAGACCAATTTATTTAAAAACATAATCAAAATAAAACATTTTGAATACTAAATCATCTTTATTTTTACTAAATCATCTTTATTTTTTTGAAGCATGCCATAAAATATTTCAGATTCTCATTTAACGTTTTCTTGTTTTTTATAATAAACTAAAATCAAGTGTAGTAGTGCTACTGTCACAACCTGTCTTCCTCATGTGTGTGTTTTCTTCATGTGATCCTCACCATGTGTTCCTGTGTTGCCGTTCCCGCCATGCCATTATGTTCATCACCTTCACCTGTGTTTCATCTCCTGTATGTAATTAGTGTCATCATCTCCTGTGTATTTAAGTCCCTGAATTCTGTTAGCTCCTCGTAGAAGTTCATGTCTGATATCAATAAATAAACGTGTTTTGATAATCCTGAGATCCGGTGCCTTCCTGTTATGAACCCAGGCGTCACAGCTACAGAATTATGTTTGTTTGATTTTTTTTTTTAAACCAACAATGCTGTGTGTAAACCATTATTTAAAACAGTCATTCTTTAATGACTTTCATTTCATTTTCATCTGCTTTTCAGGGCCGGGTTGCGGGGGCAGCAGTCTTAGGAGTTAAACCCCAGACCTCCCTCTCCCCAGACACTTCCTTCAGCTCCTCCAGGGGGATCCAGAGGCGTTCCTAGGACAGCCGAGAGACTTAATCCCTCCAACATGTCCTGGGTCTTCCTCAAGGCCTCCTCCTGGTGGGACATGCCTGAAACACCACCCTAAGTAGGCGTCCAGGAGGCATCCGAAACAGATGCCCGAGCCACCTCAGCTGACTTCTCTCAATGTGGAGGAGCAGAGGCTCTACTCGGAGCTCCTCCTGGGTGACAGAGCTCCTTATCCTATCTATAAGAGTGCACCCTGTTAGCCTGCGAAGGAAACTAATTTCGGCCGCTTGTATCCGAGATCTTGTCCTTTTACCCAAAGCGCATGACCATAGGTGAGAGTAGGAACGTAGATTGACCAGTAATTCGAGAGTTTTCCTTTCGGCTCAGCTCCTTCTTTAACACAACAGACAGATACACCAACAGCATTACTGCTGCACCGATCCACCAGTCAATCTCACATTCCATCCTTCCCTCACTCATGAACAAAACCCCATGAGACTTGAACTCCTCCACCTGGGGTAAGGACTTTCCTCCAACCCAGAGATGTCAAACCACCTTTATCCAGTGGAGCACCATGGCCTCGGACTTGGAGTTGCTGATTCTCATCCCAGATTCTCATCCTTAACAGAGATTATAAAAAACAGTCAAAATATTCTCAACGATTTGGTAGAGCAGGCAGTTAAAGGGATAGTTCGCCTAAAACTAAAAATTCTTTCATAATTTACTCAACCTTCACTTATTGTCACAAATCTGTTTGAGCTTCTTTTTTATGTTCATCACAAAAGAAGATATTTATAGAAATGTTAGTAACTTATAATAACTATTGACATCTGTAGCATTTGTTTTGTTAAAGAGTGTCAACTGTTACAGGTTACTAACATGTTTTAAAATATCTTTTGTGTTTAACACAAAAAGAAAACGCATGAAAGTTTAAAACCACTTGAGGGTGAGTAAATGTTCATAATTGGGAAAAATATCATTTTCTCTCGATTTTCATTCATACGCAGAGCTCCTTCATTAAACATATACATGATTTGACTACTTTATTTTAATGCTTAAGTGTCACAAATCCATGTGCTGAAATACAAACAGAACATACACAATATTAAGTTTTTCAGTAATATTTTGCCTTAAAAACACACATTAATTTACTTTAGCTGTATAACTATTTAAAGGAAAAAGTAAAATGGTTTTTAACTCATGAACTGTCTGCGCTGCCAAACGTTTGACTATATTTTGACTGTTTTAAATAATAGCTATTAAAGTCTTTTAAAGAATGACAATTTTAAATAATGCTCAGCATTGTTGGTTTACAGAATAATCAAGCAAACATAATCCTGTAGCACTACTTCCCTTGATTTTGGTTTTATTGAAAAAAAAAAAAACATGTTAAATGAGAATCGGAAATTTTTTATGACATACTTAAAAAAAATAAAGATGATTTAGAATTCAAATATGTTTTATTTTGATTGTTTTTATATAAATTGGTTGAACACTTTACATTTTGATTTTTCATAGTAAATTTATTTAGCTACTTTTACCATGAACTGACATATCAACTGTTTGGTAGAGGTTGATATTGGATGTGTTGAATAAAAAATGCATTGAGTGAACTTGAGGGTGAATAAACCGTTGTTTTGGGGGGAAATAGCCTTTTAAGTATATTCTCTCATTTTTTACTCATACGCAGAGCTCGTTCATTAATGGCCCATTTACATGGGGCTTCAGTGTCAATGCTTGACTTAAGGCGTGTCTGAAGTTGGGGCTGCCGCGATCAGCCAATGAAATTCAGTCAGCAATAGGCCACTGTCTAGCTGGTGTATTTGCATACAGCGATCTGATTGGCTGACACTTTCATCAAAGCTTGAAAAGTTGAACTAGTCCTAACTTCTGCAGCGATCAACGCCTCTGAAGCGGTGCCGACGGATCTACAATGCAGTTCTGCAACACCTGACGTCACCCATTCAAAGTGAATGGGAAGCGTTGACACTGAAGCCCCGTGTGTATGGGGCGTAAACATATACATGCTTTGTACACTTTATTTGCTTTAGTGTCACAAATCCATGTGCTGAAATACAAACAGAACATACACAATATTGAGTTTTTCAGTAATATTTTGCTTTAAAAGCACACATTAATTTACTTTAGTTGTATAACTATTTAAAGGAAAAAGTAAAATGTTTTTTAAATGGACAACAAATGCCTTTTTTTCCCATGTTTTAGAATACTAGACAATCAAAACAATGAAAAAGCACATGGTGACAAGTAAAACAAAACTATTTTATCATTTGGCAAGAGCTTAATGCTCTGTGGATGTCCGTCTATAAAAAGTACAATATAGCAAAGATATTAATAATAACAACAATAATATTAATAATAAAGGATGATTTACCAAAAGATTGACTTATAATGGTAACATGATTGAATTGAAACAGTAAATGCTCATGTTCATTTGTCTTTTCTTATCATTTACAGTGTTAGGCTGGACTGCTGGTCTTGGCTTCACCATATTCGTCCTCCATCTGACTAGTGCTGTTTTTGCTTAGAGGGTGCTTTTGAGACATCATTTCTTGTATCTTCAGGAAGGTGTCACAATCTGAAGGAAAACGATTCTTCTGAAAAACATAGCTCAAATTAAAAGACTCTTTTAAAATGAGCTCTTTCAAAAATAAGAGAAATGATACTCACACTCAGAGAAAGGCGCAGGAGTCCACCTTCACACTGGCTCTCTAGAGATGAGAGAAACACCTTGAGCGATTGCTCGCTCAATTCATTTCCTGAATGAAGAGCAAAGTTACAGTTATGTTTGACTCTCATTGAGAAATAAAATTAAATCTGAAATGAAATCACCTGAAAGATTTAAAGATGTAAGGCATGTGTTTCCAGGATGAATTACTTTTCCACCAGTGTGCACAATTCCAGGATCCAACAGAGGAATCACGGTGTCAACTGTCACCTCCACAGCCTGACTTGGAGATGTTCCCTTGGTTAATAAAAAATATTTTAATTGAAAATTTTTATTGAAAAATTAAAAAGAGTTTAATTGCCAAGAACAATCCTTGTCTTCTCATCTTTGGAAATGCTATCATTAATATTGGCAAAAGGATAATGTAAATCAGCATTTGAATTAAAGGTGCCTTATAATAAAAATCAGGACATGTCTATGCATAGTTATGCACAGTGATAAGATTCCCTCCAACAACTGTAAAAGCACTTTGAGCACCCAGAAAATGGATTTAACTACAATATATTTACAATGTAATTACAATGTAAGTGCACACAAGATAAAAGTTTGTAGTTACATTTGTACTGTGGATATTTACGTACATCTCAGATGTAAGTACAATGTTATATGTAACTACAAAGGTAATAAAAGTTTGTAATTACATATGACATGTGTACTGTGTATATGTATACAACTATAACACATAAATACTGTACATGAAATGTACAAAAACACATGTACAATACTGTCACATATATAATTACGTTATAACATTGTTATACCAATGTAATTACAATGTTATTACTCTGCAACTATAATGTTATTACAATGCTATAACAATGCAATTACAGTGTTGTTACATTGTAATTATAATGTTATAACACTGTAATTACAATGTTATTGTATAGAAATTATAATGTTATTACAATGTTATTACATAGTAGTTATAATGTAATGACAATGTAATTACATCTAAAATAAAAGTTTGCAACAACAAATGTACTGTATATATTTACGTATAAGTACACAAAAACTACATGAAAGTTATTAAGAAACATTTGAGTTTATAAATATCGTGGTCATTATTACAATGTAATAGCAATGTATTTACAATGTAACGACACAGTAATTGCATACAAGATAAAAGTTTGTAATTACATCTGACGTGTACTGTGTATATGTATAAAACTATAACACAAATACTGGACATAAAATATGCAAAACACATTTACAATGCTATTATAGATGTAATTACAATGTTAATACATAGCAATTATTGTACATGCTATAACAATGTAAATATAATGTTATAACAATTTAATTACAATGTTATTACAAATTAAGTATAATGTAATGACAATGTGATTACATCCAAAATAAAAGTTTGTAATTACACATGACATGTGTAGTGTGTATATGTATTAGGGATGTGCGGAGCAGCCGGTATTTGTATTTGTATTTGTATTTGTTGAGGGGGAAAAGTATTTGTATTTGTATTTGTATTCGAGTAAAATTCAAAATGGCGCAGAAATATATATTTTTTCTATTACACTTCTAATTTACGTTATAGTGAAAGTATTGTTTAATTATACCCATTATATAAATTATAGATATGCAATATTGGCTGTTGTTTTTGAACACGTGATAAGAAATGTCATTGAAAAGAAAATAACATAGAAGCCATTATCTCATCCATGGTTAAACCAACGACTAATAAAATACCATTGTGAATATTATGAACCCCACCACCACCGTTCTTGTTTAAGGACACTGAATAGACAGAATAAAAACAAATAATACTTCAAAAAACTGTTCTTCTTCTGAAAGAACTTTTTTCCAATGGACAGAATTCCAAAAATAAGCTAAATAAATCTAAATAAAACCCTGCCTGGGAGATCTGGCAGAACAAAAGTATTCTATATAATACTAAAAGATACAGCCCTGCTATTATCATCTGCCAGCCACAAAAAAGACACAAAGTTTGTTTGTTTGTTTATTTAGAGATATCTGCAAATATTTTTCAATGGAAGTCAATGGAGGAATATGACTAGTCAGACATAATATATTTGCAGATATTTCCAATCTGAATTATAATTATGACAAGTCAAAATATAATTAGAGATATCTCTGAATATATTTATGGATAGTCTGAACAAGGTTTAAATGCTAAAACGGCTTGCCATACGCACAGTGGCACAGTGGAGATTTCTCTAGTTATATCGTTTCAGTCGTTTGTTATGCAGTGACATGCAGTCAAATATTTCGCCAAACAGTCCTTAGGGATGCGGTGACACGCAGTCAGATATTTTACCGGACAGATCCGCCACTTTTGGCGCGCATAAACAATCATAAAGCTCTCGTGCTGCAGGAATGAGGAGGTCTGCTGAAGGCGCACAGCTGACGTGCAGTGAGAGGTTTGCGTCTTTAATAAACTACGGCAGTTTGCGATCACTGAACAGTAAGAATGATTAATAAATCCATATGAAACAGTCCCTTAACAGTCACGTCTCGCTTTCAGTTTCGGGCTTTGGCGCGTTTTGCACTGAGCGTGTGTCTTTCTCTCTCTCTCTCTCTCTCTCTCTCTCTCTCTCTCTCACTCACTCACTCACTCACGCGGGCATGCACTGTGGTCTCATGAGGAAACGCTGCTTTTTGATATAGTGTTTTTCTTGCTCCCGAATACAAATAATTTTTCAAGTATTTGTTCGAATCAAGTATTCGTAAAAACACGCTATTCGTGCCTTTCCGAATACCGTATTCGGGTTCGGCTCCACCCTTAATATGTATACAACTATAACACAAATACTGTACATGAAATACACAAAAACACAATTACAAGACTCATACTTTTGCATAGCAATTATGTTATTACAATATTATTACATAATAACTACAATGTTACAACAAGGAAATTACAACGTTAATACATGGTAATTATAATGTAATGACAATGTAATTACATCCAAAAATAAATGTTTGTAATTATATATGTACTGAGTATGTTTACGTATAAATACACAAATACTGTACATGAAATATACAAAGAACATTTACGTTTAAAAAAATTTTCTTGGACTTTACATTGTTATTACATAGAACTTATTATGTAATGGCAGTGTAATTACATCCAAAATAAAAGTAAGCATATCTGACATGTGTATTGTGTATGTATATAACTATAACACAAATACTGTACATGAAATATACAAAAACAAATTTACAGGACTATCATAAGCCGCTTTTCCACTGTTGTGCCAAACCGTTCTAAGGACAATTCGGTGCGATTAGGCTTGTTTCTCCAATAAGCCTGGAATGGCGCAGCACGATTACAAACCGTTCAAGGCCCAGAATTTTCGGCATGATTAGAAAACTGTGCTAAACTGTGCCAACAGATTCTGTGTGTTGATGTCGCGGCTCTGTTGCCAAGCTACCACAGCTGGCTCAGCGGAAGAGGTTTAGTCATCAGACATAATTGAACAAAGGGAGCCGTTTACATTGCGTTACCAATGCAACTACTGATGTTTTTTGTGTAATGTTTTAAAGAGCTTCGTCGCAGCACGACAGTGGAAAATGAAACCGTATCCGTGTTGTCTGTCCCGGTTTAGCACGGAATGGAACGGTTCTGCTTAAAGAACAATTCCGCACGAAAAGCATAGTGGAAAAGCGGCTATAGATGTAATTACAATGTTATAACAAGGCAATTACAATGTTCTTGCATAACAACTAAAATTTTATTACAATATTAACAAAATAATTACAATGTTATTTTAATGTTATAACAATGTAATTACAATATTATTACATGGTAGTTATACAATAACTACAATGTTATTACATAGCAATTAATAACGTTGTTACAACATTATAACAATGTTATTACATAGTTATTACACTGTTATAACAATGTAATTGCAATGTGAATGCATAGTAATAATAATGTAATGACAATGTAATTACATCCAAAGTAAAAGTTTGTAATTACGTATGTGCTGAGTATATTTATATACAAATACACAAATACTGTACATTAAATATACAAAGAAACATTTAACCCTCTACTGGACATATCTTGATGGTACATGATAAAAAATGATTCTACATCATTTCTTGGTTCTTTTGGGAATATTTTATTGTTAAAAGTTATTTTTTTGTTTTTTGGTAGCTATGCATTACATACATGTGTACTATGCATATTTAAGTATATAACTATTAATACACACTGTACATGAAATATACAAACACATTTGTAAATCTTGAATTTGTTTACAATGTAACACAATGTAATTACATAGTAACATTACATTACATCTGACATCTGTACTGTGTATATGACTGTAACACAAATACTTTACATGAAATATACAAACCACATTTACAATACTATCATAGATGCAATTACAATGTTATTGCATAGCACTTATAATGTTATTACAATATTAAAAATATAATTACAACGTTAATGCATAGTAAATACAATGTTATGACAATATAAATACAATGCTATTACATACTAATTACGATGTTATAACAATGTAATTACTATGTTGATACATAGTAATTATAATGTAATGACAATGTAATTAAATGTTTGTAGATACATAAGTACTGCATATATTTATGTATAAATACACAATACATGATATTCACAAAGAAGCATTTACGTTTATAAATATCTTGGACATAATTACAATGTAATATCAATGTATTTACAATGTAACGACACAGTATTTGCATACAAGACAAAAGTTTGTAAATACATATTAAATCTCAGATGTAATTACAATGTTAATACATCCATAATAAAAGTTTGTAATTACATCTGATGTGTACTGTATATATATATATATATATATATATATATATATATATATATATACAACTATAACACAAATACTGTACATGAAATATACAAAACCCATTTACAATACTACCCTTGATGTAATTACAATGATATTACATAGCAATTATAATGTTCTTACAATGTTATAACAATGTCATTACATAATAATTACACGTTGTAACAATATAAGTACATTGTTAATACATAGTATTTATAATGTAATGACAATTGTAATTACACAAGATAAAAGTTTGTAATTACATCTGACATGTGTACTCTGTATATGTATACAACTATAACACAAATACTGGATATAAAATATACAAAACAAATATACTATCAAAAATACTATAGATGTAATTACAATGTTTTTGCATAGCAATTATAATGTTCTTACAATATTAACAATATTTAAAAAATAATTACAATGTTATTACTATGTTATAACAATATAATTACAATATTATAACATAACAATTACAATGTTACAACATGAAATTACAGAGTTATAAAAAAGTAACTATAATGTAATGACAATGTAATTACATCCAAATTAAACGTTTGTAATTGCATATGTACTGCATATATTTACATATAAATACACAAATGCTGTACGAGAAATATACAAAGAAACATTTATGTTCAAAAATATTATCTTGAACTTAATTACATTCTAATAGCAATGTATTTGCAATTTACAATTTAATTGCACAAGATTAAAGTTTGTAATTACATCTGACATGTGTGTATATGTGTACAACTATAACACAAATACTGTACATGAAATATACAAAACACACAATACTATCATAAATGTAATCACAATGTTATAACAATGTAAATACAGTGTTATAACTATATAATTACATTGTCATTACACAGCAATTATGTTACACTGTTATAACAATATAATAACAATGTTATTACATAGCACTTTTAATGTAGATATTGCAATTACATCCAAAATAAGTTATTAATTACATATGTACTGATTATATTTACGTATAAATTTGCAAATACTGCATATGAAATATACAAAGAAACATTTACGTTCATAAATATTATCTTGGACGTAAATACAATGTAATAGCAATGTATTTGCAATGTGACGACACAGTATTTGCACACAAGATAAAAGTTTGTAATTATATCTGACATGTACTGTGTTTATGTATACAACAATAACACAAATACTGTACATGAAATATACAAAACACATTTACAATACTGTCATAGATGTTATGACAATGTTTTAATGTAACTACAATGTTAAAATATAGTAATTACACTGTTATAACAATATAACTACAATGTTATTACATAGCATATACAATGCTATTACAATATCGTAACAGTGTATTTACAATGTTACAGCTTAGTGATTACACTGTTATATCAATTTAATTACAATGTTATTACATAGTTATTGTAATGTAATTTAAAAATAAGTTTGTAATTACATATCTACTAAGTATAGTTGCGTATAAATACACAAATACTGTACATGAAATATATAGAGAAACATTTAAGTTTATAAATATTATCTTGGACGTAATAACAATGTAATAGCAATGTGACTACAATGTAACAACACAGTAATTGCATCCAAGATAAAAGTTTGTAATTACATCTGACGTGTACTGTGTATATGTATACATCTATAACAAATACTGAACATGAAATGTACATAATACATTTACAGTCCTATCTTAGATGTAATTACATTGTTATATCAATGTAAATACAATGTTATAACAATGTAATTACAATGTTTTTACACAGCAATTATGTTATTACAATGTTATGGCATTGTTATAAAAATGCAATTACAATGTTGCTACACAGTAATTGCACTGTTATAACAATATAAATGCAATGTTTTTACATAGTAATTATAATATAATGACAATGTAATTACATTCAAAGTAAAAGTTAGTAATTACATATGTACTGAGTATATTTACGTGTTTACAATTAACCCTCTACTGGACATATCTTGATGGTACATAATAAAAATGATTCTACATCAATTCTTGGTTCTTTTGGGAACATTTTATCGTTATTTTTGTTTTTGGTAACTACATATTACATACATGTGTTCTTTGCTTATTTAAGTATATAACTAAATCCTCACTGTACATGTTTGTAAACATGTTTGTAAATCTTGAATTTGTTTACAATGTATTCACAATGTAATTACAATGTAATGACATAGTATTTACATCCAAGGTAAAAGTTTGTAGGTACATATGACGTGTGTACTGTGTTTATGTATATAACTATACCACAGATACTGTATTTATAACATGGTAATTACAATGTCATTACATCCAAAATAAAAGTTTGAAATTACATATCGTTGTCTTAGAATTATATGGTTCTATCTGCTTTCTAAATGATCTTGAGATTTTAAGCTTCAAAGATTTGAATTCCATAAAGCAAACAATATATGCATAACTGTTCTCTTTTAAACATTAACATGACAGAATGTACTCTCAATGTAAATTATAAAAATTCTTTTACATTTGCAAATTGGGGTTAAAAATAACAGGGCAAATGCAGATTTACAAGGTTACAATGAATTACAAGGTTCTATCTGCCAGATCATTAATTGAAGCCTTACTTTTCAAGAAATACAACCAGTCTGCTTTTTAATTTTGTTAAAAAAATGAAAATTGGTGTTGTAACAATATGTTTATGTTTGAGAAAGTAAAACTTTTGCTTTCTTTCATGTTTATTTAATGTTTTAATGTTTTTGTCCTGTTTAAAATTTAGCATATAAAACTGTGCTAAATATTTTGTTTAGTGCAGCTGTTAATTGTATGTAATTAACATGAATTCTATACTTTATATGAATTACTGAATTATATTTATTGAATTATATGTCCCATGAATTAATTTAAGTATTTGCCCTTCAAGGCAAATGTAAAGACTTTAACAGACAATGAGCAAATTAAAATTAGTTTAATAAACACTGAAAAAGTTGCACTGACTATATATACACAAATACAATTATTTCACATTTAATATATTATATTTTTAATAACTGTTTCTTTTTCAACAATGTAAAATTCAACATTTCATCTTAATGTCAAAAAATGCTTCTAAATCATCACATTTACACACATCTTTTTACATCTATTCAGGTTTCTACCCTATTTTATGTGGTGCGGCATTATTTAGTTGACTCTGATTTTGTGTTTCTTTCTGGTCTTTCCCACTGTCAACTGAGCAGTCCAGCGGAATGAATCAAAGAAAGCTGACCCGCGCATTTGAAATGCTGATTAACTCAAAGAGAGATATCTACATAGAAGGTATGTGGTAGGGTTCCATAATACTGGAATTTGAAACCAGTTGATACTGAAATTTTAAAAACGTCCCTGTATCTGTGGTCATTCTGCTTTTACTGAATCTTTTGCTTTTGTTACCAAAATCTAAATACAGAGAGCCACTAAATATGAAAAACATAAAAAATGTTTAGAACATCATGCAATGTCTGCAGAAGTCCTTTTTGGTGGAGACAAGCAGACATTATCACTGTTTGCACTGTCAGTCCCGCTTGTAGCCAAGGTAGGAAATACACAGAACCACACACACACACACACACACACACTCACACACACAAATTAACGTTATGAAAAAAAAAAAAACCTTTATGTACAGTTGGTGGTTCTCTTCTGTTATTTGGTATGATTGCACTCATATCAGAAGCGAACCGGACCAGGTTAGCACGAAGTTTAGAAGACATAGTTTAAACTAGCTAAACGTACCATACTCTGACGTAAAATGAATCTGGGTGTGGACCAAAAGTGCTAGTGTGAAAGCACCCTAAAAACGCCCATTACCCGCTAATATTTGTGCGCTGTTGTGCACGTTCTTAAACAGTGCTGATTTGCTATTGTGTTCGCATGCTCAACAGAAATGTCTGTGATTGGCCGTGAAGGTCATCAGTTTACTGAACTCACCGTTGTTTACTGAGTGTAAACACAGATACAGGAACACTGGAGCTTTTAAAAGCCGCTATTCATCAGTGGATCACTCCTATGTCAGATTATAGAGAAACCAACTGATCTACATGATTTTGAAACGCTCCAGTGTCCCTGTATCTGTGGTAATAAATAAAAACGGGCGCAACAGGGCTCAAATGTTAGCAGGAGATGGACGTTTTTAAAATTTCAGTATCAACTGGCTTCAAATTCCAGTATTATGGAACCCTACCACACACCTTCTATGTAGATATCAAAGACCAATTTACTATATTGTATCAATGCATTCTATGGCACCTTTAAAAGTTTCAAATATAATAATAAAAAAAAATTAAATTATATATTTAAATGATGTAACACTCAAAGTAACTCATTATTAAACCTGCCATCTATTTGGTAAAATGTTGATCTATAATATTTTTATTAGTCTTACCTCTTGCTCAGAAACTAGCAGATTCTTGTCTTTGCCTTTTCCAGCCTGACTACGAGGAGCTTTATTATCTGGGTGAAAAACAAAAAACACTGCATATAAAATCAGTTTTTCAATCCAAATAAACTATGTCAAAGGAGTTTATTTACCTTTCTTGGCCACCTTTGCCTCCTCTTTTTTTGCTGCCGGACTTTGTGCTGGTTTCTCCTCCTTCTTGGGATTGTCCTACATACAAAAGATTAAAATCAGACCTTTTCGTGTAAGAAAACATACAACATTGAGGAAACAATATATAATCTACCCTTTTTTTGGTGGTGTGTTTTGCACTCTTGCTGATTTGATCCAGTGAAGAGTTGCTAGGGACAGAAAGGGCCGGCTCATGTGAGTCTGCAAGACTAACCAGAGACGACTGGACCATGTTTGATTGGTCGCCTTTAATTAAAAGCTTCCTCCTCTCAACGATCTCTTCATGAGTCAGAGCAAATGGGCCAAGAACCTAAAGCAAAACAGATGCAGACGTTTCACAGTCTAATTTACCCACATAATATGTAGTAATTATTAGAAGAAAACTAATTTTTACCTCAGCCAAACGAGCCGCTCCATTATCTCCTATGTGATTGTAGGATAATGACAAAGATAGCAGGGACCGATTTAAACGCAGACCCTTTAGAATGAGGACAATAATGAAATACACTTCATTTGAAATATGTGCAATCTTGACATTATTAGAAATGCCAGATGGACAGATTTCAATCCTACATACCTGAGCGATATGAAGGGCACCTGCATCACCGATCCTATTATAGGCCAGGTTAAGTGACCGGAGGTTTTTGTTGGCAGAGTGTGGATTGGAGAGAGCTGAGCCAATCAGACGAGCTCCTTCCTCTCCTATACGATTGTTTCGTAGTGATAACTCCGTCAGCCTGACATGAACATTATTTAAAAAAAAACTGAGTGAATTAGCTACAAATAATGCATTTTGTCACTATGAGAGAGATTCATTCATTTTCCTTCAGCTTAGTCCCTTATTTATCAGGGGTCGCCACAGCGAAATGAACCACAAACTATTCCAGCATGTGTTTTATGCTGCGGATGCCTTTCCAGCCGCAACTCAGTACTGAGAAACACTCCTACACACTCATTTACACACACTCTTTTACACGACCAATTTAGCTCATACAATTCACTTATAGCTCATGAGATTGAACTGTGAGGGAAACCAGAGCACCCGGTGGAAACTCAAGCCAACACAGGGAGAACATGTAAACTCACAGAAACACCAACTAGCCCAGCCAGGACTCGAACCAGCAACCTTTTTGCTGTGAGGCGACAGTGCTAACCCCCGAGCCACCATGCCACATATTATGAGAGAGACATAGTATATCATACCGAAACATTTAAGTAAATGTGTGGGTCCCTACTTAAAGCAATAGTTCACTCAAAAAATGTACTATGTCATAACTTACTCTGAATTTCCTGCTCCTGTTGAACACAATATATCATGAAGAATGTTGAAAATTAGTAGCCATTGACTTCCATACTATTTTTTCCTACTATGCATGTCAAGGCTACTGGTTTCCAATATTCTTCAAATTATTTTCATTGTGGAGCAATTAAAGATTTTGGGTGAACTATCACTTTAACTATATATTGGGGACATATTTATAAACTAAATCTCAGTAAACAGAGAGGATTTATTAGTATCAATTTAAATTTCGGGTCTGTCTTTTTTGTTCAGTGTTTTATGCTCATCAAGTCAACATTTATGTGATGAATTTTGGAGAGAAGACACTTCAATGACCAGTTTATGGCAACGTCTCCTCTTGTAATGCCAGTGTTCATAGATTATCTGGCTTGTTTCATATGAAAACAAGCATCTGCATCTGTAAAGGTATCAACCAAATGGCCTACAAGAACTCATAGGTGTGACCCTATGGTGGGGAGGGGGGGATCCTTTGATGTAACTGGTATGAAGTACTTTCTCACAGACAGATATCTGGGTTAAGATCTTTGAAGGATGACGAATTACATTCCTGCTGAAGAACTGTACCTTCATTAAACTCTTCTTCCCACTAAAAATTTGGTCAGCAAACTTCTAAATAACAGATTATACCATAAACACCAAGTGTATGTGTGTGTGTGTAAAAAATGCGAATGACTCACATGCTGTCCTCCCCTAAGAGTAAATGATAACTCTGCTCAGGGAGTGGGTTGCCTTCCAAAACCACTTTCCTAGCAAGAAAAAAGTCGACACTTGAGTTTTCCATGATCTATTATCATTTTTCAGCATCTATTTAGAGAATTTTCTGAAAAGATCATTTGCCTCTGTTATAAAGCACAAGTAGCTGAAACTAGCACAACTCACTAATGTACATAAGTTATAAGTATAGAATATATGTATTCATTAATTTAAGATTTAGAATTACAAATTACATTTATATTTTATCTCTGTCAGCCCCTTTTGTCAAGTATAATTGTAGGTTGGTCTAAATTTCATTATACTCTGGGGTCTTAAAGATAGCTTACTCTTTCTTGGTAAAATAAACCCCTCTACCACTTGAATTGAAAATATTGTCATTTAAAAAGGAATCTAATTATTTTTTTTAAATAATTATTGACTGATTAATTGGATTGAGTATGGTTAATTTGCAAGCATTTCAGATGTGTGTGTTTGTGTGTGCATGAAAACAGAAGGAAACAGACCACATTAATATTCACAACCCTTCCAAAAATGGTCAAATCAGACATTTCTATTCCATTCATAAGAACTTTGGTCAGCTAACTGATTTTAAATACAACTTACATTCACATTGTTATAGAACTGAATTCATAGTTAAATAAACAATTAATTATGGGTAACCTAAAATACAGTTTGACTGTTCTCACCTGAGATTTGAGCACAGAGACACAGTGTTTTTCATGGATGTGAAAGTGCCATCTGTTAGACCTATACGCCACATGCTGCAAAGCATCACCATTCATTAAAATGGACATAATATACGTACACAAACACAACACACAACTCAAAATATAAAAGCTTACCGCAAGCACAGTAAATTACTGAGAGACGGCAATATCTTGCTCAGCACCTGAAGCATCAGTTCATCCACCGTCCATCCTGTCAAATATAATGAGCAAAAATGATACAGCTCCAACCTATTGTTTACGCAGAAAAAAAACACCAGCCATACCAGATATCTTGACTTCCTTTACGTTGTTGTGCTCTTCGTTCTCCAGCTCTATCTGAAGGCAGCGCCCAGGGGACCATTTTGTCATTCTGCTTTCTAAGGAAAACAGATTAATCATTATTCACTCCACACTGTAAAAAACAAAGTACCAGTTGTTCAGCACACTGTACTTTTTCTGTCATATATACTAAGAATTGTGAATAAGAATTGATTACATAAAAATATATGTTATGTCAACAATATTGGCTAAAATGTTTTGTCTACATGTTTAACTGAGTTTTCTGGACAAACATTTTTGTGTTGAACAGGAATGTTAATATTTAAATAATTTGCGCATACGTGACGTGACGATCGAAAACTAAGCTTGTTTATCAGTTGCTTGACAGAGGGGTGACACAGTGGCGCAGTTGGTAGCACAGGTCGCCTCACAGCAAGAACGTCGCTGGTTTGAGACTCGCCTGGGTCAGTTGGCATCCCTGTGTTCATGTGGGTTTCCTCTGGGTTCAAAGACATGAGGTACAGGTGTCTGAGTGAGAATGGGTGTTTGCCAGTACTGGGTTGCAGCTGGAAGAGCATTTGCTGTGTAAAACATATGCTGAATAAGTTGGCGGTTCATTGCACTGTGGTGACCCCTGATGAATAAACGGACTAAGCCAAAGGGAAATGAATGATTGAATGGATGAAGTAGAATGTTTGTGTTAATTTTGTGTTAAGGATGATATGCTAACTAGAACTAATTACTTATTTTGCAAATTTGAAAAAAATCATCCACTAAACAGATAAAAATCTATTGACTCAAAAGCAGTAACTGTTGCTTCAGTTGATGTGACAAGAATATCTTTATTAGTAAAATACAATAATCAACATTGCATAAATAAACAAAATTATGGTAGCTTAACAAAAAATGTTACTGAAAAAACTCAAAAGAAGAACTCAAAGTTCTTACTGCATCAAGATGCCTTATTTTTTATGTTTTCTCTATTTTTTACAGTGCATGTCAGCTGTTTTTATTGGGTAATCTTTTTGTGTTTAGATGTTTTGAGACACAATATATAGTTATAAGGCAGTATAATTGTAAAAATATAATTATATTGCCAAATATGAACATTTCCTCACCATTTACTCACTCAAGTGGTTCTAAACTTATGAATATCTTACTTCTGTTGAACACAAAACAATATTTTAAACATTTTGTCATCCATAATAGAGGCACGGCTGCTCAGTTATTACCACTGTTGCCACACAGCAAGAAGGTCACCGGTTCGAGTGCCGCCTGGGCCAGTTGGCACTTTTGTGTGGAGTTAGTATATTTTGCCCATGTTGGCGTGGGTTTCTTCCAGGTGCCCCGGTTTTCCAGCTATAGGTGAATTTTATAAACTAAATTACCTGTAGTGTGTGTGTGAATGAGTGTATGGGTGTTTTAAGGGCATTCGCTGCATAAAACATATGTTGGAATAGTTGGTGGTTTTTTCCGCTGTGGTGGCGACCTCTGAAATAGAGACTGAGCCGAAGGAATATGAATGAATGTCATCCATAATAGGAACTAAAAAATACTAAGTGAGCCAATGGCTGTTTTTCCCATCTTGCTTTGTGTTCACTAACAGAAGATTCATTTTTATCTGAACTAACGTTTTAATAACAGGGTTTACCCAGAATCCTTGGCCGCTTCACCTTGACGGAAGGAATCTCTTTCACTCCCATGAGCTTACAGAGTTCGGGGAATTCCAGCTGTAGATGTCCTGAACACTGGTAGTCATCTAGCGTAGTTTATAAAACCAACAAAACATTGATAATTAGTAGTGTTTACATATTTTGGGGGGGGGGGGGGGGGGGGCAAAATACAACATATTAAATTCGTGACAATTGTTTCATAATAAAAAAAAACAATGAAGAGCTGTTAGATATTTGAATCTCCAAAATGGATGCGCAGTCGACAAATCTGCAACACAAGTGTCATGAAGAATTAAACCAGTTCTAAAGGGTAATGGGGGCCCAGCCAAAAACAAGCAGCTAATAAGGTGCCTGGTATTTAATTCAAAGTGTATTTTGCGTATTTAAACCTGACACGAACATCTAGTGAGTCTGTTTAGTTTATACAGCAACATACCTGCAGTTTTTGGTTTAGGTTCCTCTTCAATTGCAGAATCCACCTTGTCCACTTTTGAGGGCTTCTCAGCTCGCTTTTTCATCTTTTATGTGGGGAGCTATTTTAGTATGGTTTAAGTTCACTTTAGTTTTAAAATTAAAACCAAATAAAAATCAAATAAAATGACAATACTCGATTTAATGTAAAGAAACCGCTCATTCAGCTCGAACTGTTTCATCAGCTCAGGTTGTATTTTGTTGCCATGTCAACAGCAGGTTGCTTGAAATCCCTGAAATACAACGGTTAATTTTGGCGCCATCTAACGGATGGGGGCAAACAACGCATAAAAATAGACTTTTTCAATTAAAATTATAGCGTATTTTTCTTTTCGTCACCAAAATATGTAAATATTACAGAGATACAAATATGTAAATATTGAAATAAACTATATAGTTTTAAACCGGCTTTCATCATAATCTGCTGAATTCACCTCAGTCACTCACACACAATAATGCATAAACATATATCTTTGCTCACCGTCTACACATGTATGGGTTTTTTATTACAATCACGTTGTTCTGAAACTAAATGTAAGACATAGAGGAACTCAGAAGAGTGCCCCCTAGTCACATACATTGGTGTAAGACAGGGGTATCCAAACTTTTTGGGCCGAGGGCCAGATGCAAAAAAAATTTTTTATATAAAAAATTTTACATACATCACACAGACACGCATATATATATATATATATATATATATATATATATATATATATATATATATATATATATATATAAATACAGTTGAAGTCAGAATTATTAGCCCCCCTAAATTATTAGCCCCCGTTTATTTTTTCCCCAATTTCTGTTTAACGGAGAGAAGATTTTTTTCCACACATTTCTATACATATTAGTTTTAGTAACTTATTTCTAATAACTGATTTATTTTATCTTTGCCATGATGACAGTAAATAATATTTGACTAGATATTTTTAAGACACTTCTATACAGCTTAAAGTGACATTTAAAGGCTTAACTAGGTTAATCAAGTTAACTAGTCAAGTTAAGGTAATTAGGCAAGTTATTTTATAACAATGGTTTGTTCTGAAGACTTAAGGGGCTAATAATTTTGACCTTAAAATGGTTCATAAAAAAATTTAAACCGCTTTTTATTCTAGCCGAAATAAAACAAAAGTCTTTCTCCAAAAGAAAAAATATTATCAGACATACTGTAAAAATGTCCTTGCTCTGTTAAACATCATTTGGGAAATATTTAAAAAAGAAGAAATAAATCAATGAGGGGCTAATAATTCTGACTTCAACTGTGTGTAGATAAATAGAAAGATAGATAGATAGATAGATAGATAGATAGATAGATAGATAGATAGATAGATAGATAGATAGATAGATAGATAGATAGATAGATAGATAGATAGATAGATAGATAGATAGACAGACAGACAGACAGACAGACAGACAGATAGATAGATCATAACAAGAACTGCTGCTTAATTGAAGGCATGTAATAGGGACACCCGGTGGTTATTTATTGAATCACGTTCATTTTTGTATAGCGGGCCAGATTCTATTGATATTTATAAAAAGCATCGCGGGCCGCCACAAAACAGATTGCGGGCCGCAGATGGCCCGCGGGCCGTAGTTTAGACACGCCTGGTGTAAGATAAATATGCTCTTATTTTACAGAAAACACCTCCCAATTTTACAATGCATATAGGATATGTCATATCTTAAGGTTTTATTTGCGTTACGGTCTTTTTGGTCTATGTTCTTTCTGAAGGTTTCATTTTATTCCACGGGTGGGAGTAAAGTATTTTTAAATCTTGTTTTGAACAAAACAAAGTTTCTCTGTCTTATAAATGACAAGGTCATATTAATAATATTGTCATTATTGTTATCAGGTAGATATTTAAATGATAATTTAAAATTACTCAAAAAAAAAAAAACATCAGTTTTACCAATAACCAGTTTTACCAGTTTTACCAATAATCAGTTTTACCAAACATCAGTTTTACCAATAACCATGAACAATGTTTTATTTAGTTTTTTTTCTGTTATTGTATTCTTTAATTCCCAGCATAAAAACACGAGATCAGAAAATCACTATATATCAACTTATGCAAATGAATTCTTATTTATATACTCTTCCTAACCTCATAACTAGCAATTATGGCTGCAAAATATAAACTTTAGGACAAATAAAAACACAATTCAGGTGTTAAAGAAAGAGTTTATTTTATTTAGTTTAACCTGCAAAATCGTCTGAAAACAATTAACGATCTGAAAGACAAACTTATGGAAAGAAAAAAAAAAAACAAAAAGCCATGATAATGCGCGCTCATGATAAACCGCTGTGCTCTTGACTGTTGCACTGACTTGACCACAGTGCAACACGCTGTTAAAATAAGTCTACATTGTTCAATAACCCTGCTAAAAGCAAAAGAGGACGTCACAACATTCCAGCAAACAGGCATACAGTTACCATATTGTCTATTTTAAACTATAATAAACTACAGTTGAAATCTCTAGTTTAAAATAGACAATGAGTGGGCCCACGCTGCCCCCACCCATCATAACCCTGGCAGCAGTTCCTATTACTGGCCTTCCGTGTATGTCTGAGGGTCCTCTGCGCCCCGTGTAGTACCCTGCTTAGCGTGCACGGGCCGCCTCGCCCCAGGGAACGCATGAGCAAACCGGGTGCCAGTCCGTGCCGGCAAAGAGTTTAGAATGATCTAGAAAGATGGTGATTCTATGCTGTAGCAGGCCCGGATTAAGAATTCAGAGGCCTCTGGGCACAATGTCTTGTAAGCCCCCTACCCGGTCGCACCCCTATAGTTAAATAAAAAAATAAGAATAACATAATATTTTTAAAATAAAATTAACCTATAATGTATTGCCTGCATTTTTAAGTAAATTATATATAGTACATAAATTTCAAGTCTACAAAGATTTAACACATTTTTAAAGCATTTAAAGAGCACTTTGAAAAACAAAATACTAAAACTACTAGTGAAAATTATTGGATTTGAATAAACTTGTTCAAGTTCACTGAAGCAGTACAAACAAACTATATTTAAGGGTATTTTTAATGTATAACTTTTACACACTTATAATGCATATGATTTGGATATAACACCTCTCCAATCCAGTTCTATGAGTCGTCTTTAATACACACACTTATTAATGATTTCTACTTGTCTTCCTCGTGATAAAGAGTATAGGCAAATCTGGAAAAAGAAAATGAGTTCATCAGAAGCCGGATTCGAACCAGGTTCATGATCGCATCTACACAAGTTGCCATTCTCTTTACGAGCTACACCACTTACGCTGCCGTGTGTTGCGCTCTTCAGTTATGTTGTCTGTCAATAAGACGGTGATGGGCGGGAATCAACCAATTAGCTTTTTCCTACGAGGTGTGCGATATTTGCATTTAGCCAAAATAGACACTCCAAAATCGTCATCCCCAAACCCTCCACCCACCTCCTCTGGGGCCTGTGCCCATAATGCCCATTGGTTAATCTGTCCCTGGGCCCGAGTGAAGCTTCACGAAGCGGACTTTGTGAGATTGGAGTGGCTCCACTCGTACCGTCTGTATTGAACTCACCTTGGTCAAGTACAAACAGGAACACGAGAATTGATGAGCTTCATATGAGAATGCAGATCAAACGTTGAGAATGTTTAGAACGCGATGTCACTGGCTGAAAAATGACATCAATTTCCTTAAAAGTGCTGAAGAGTTAACACATACTCACACACACGCATATGTTATATGTATTTTTTTTTCTCAACAGCAAGTAATCTATTTGCTTAAGTCCAGCAGAATAGATAGAAACCTGATAGAAACTATTAAAGGAACCCAAATAAACAGTCAAAATTACTGATTTGAGCTTGCACATATTAGTCATTCCAATGGTTGTCAAAAATACGTACATTTTGCTGCCTTTTCTTCAGTTTTTCAGCCAGCCTGTATGAGGAAAAACATTTGGAACTTTTTAATTAATCAATTATAAACAACATAAAACAAACATTTTGATGTTCTAATGGCGATTCCTCTTGCCAATTTCTATGTAGAAGAATCACTTCCTGCCCTCCATCTAAATTTTAAACATCATCAATCAAATTATCTAAAAACAACCCATTAATTGCAGATTATTTTGGTAATATAAAAAAAAACAATTACTCATTTTTAAAAATACACATAGATGTATATACACAAAAAAGTGTATTTAAAGGATAAAAATATACTTTTACATTTGAATTTGTATAAAAATATAAAAACATGAACATGGGATTTCTACACCAGCATTAGTCCTGATAATAACTTCTAAAATGTGTTAAGACGAAGGATTTTAACCCTTTAAATAAAAAATTGTTTATATAATTCATAAATAGATGACGGTGCTGACAAATTAATTCAAATTAATACAGCAAAATTAGGGATCTTTCCTAAATTGATTAACAAAAATGCAAATGAATACATAATGTCATTCTAGGTTACGTCACGGTGGCAACAGCATGACAGTAAGAAGGTTGCTGGTTTGAGTCCTGGCTGGGCCAGTTGGCATATCTGTGTGGAGTTTGCATGTGCTCCCTGTGTTGGCGTGGGTTTCCCCCACAGTCCAAAGACATGCAATATAAGTGAATTAAATAAGCTGAATTGGCCGTAGTGTATGTGTAAATGCAAGATTGTATGGATGTTTCCCAGTGTTGAGTTATGGCTGGAAGGGCATCTGCTGTTTAAAACATATGCTGGATAAGTTGACGGTTCATTCCGCTGTGGCGACCCCTGATTAATAAAGGGACTACACCGAAAAGAAAATAAATGAACTGCATTAACATCAGTATGTGAAATCTTCAGTTCTGCTGATAATTAAAATGGAAGTAATTCAATTACAATGTATATATTTAGCAAGTGTCGAGTCAAGTGTTTGTAGTTCAAATGATGGTAGACAATGTCACTGAGCTACGCAATAGTTAAAATCCACTTTATTTGAAGATGTATTGACCGTCCATACAATTAAAATACGTTTTGTCTGTATACCTGGAGTAATAATGGTTATGACCTAGTAAAGAGCGGCATCACAGATTCTCTGCTAGATGTATGAGCAACAAGCAAGTATATTCACAATAATGTAGTGCTTTTTATTAAAAAACAAACAAACAAAACAAATAGAATATAAAACGAAGAAAAAAAAAGTAAAAACCAACAGCATTTTCATGACTTTATAATTACAAACTTTGAACCAGAGTGGAAGAAGTTTCGACAAACTGTACACAACATCACAAAATGCCTGCCAGTCTGTCCATATACAATGCTTGCATCTTATTTTGTGATTGTCTAAAAAGAACTAAACAGATCACACGAAAAACACACAAATACAAGAAATACAAGCATTATATTTATGACCGCTATCACAAAAAAAAACAGAACAATCTTTTTTCGTTCGAAAAAACAAAAAGGATTTAAAAACGACAACAAAATTTAAAAAAAAAAGGAGATTAAGAACATGATATCGGCTTGACAGCTTCTTTTTTTCCTGCCAAAATATCACTTTACATTTTTATGTTGGTTTGTTTTTTTAGTGTTCAACACTTTGCAGCAAAAAACGAGGAACATTATATCTATTTCTCCTCGAAAACGTAATAATAATAATTATAATAATGTTAATATTAATTATTACAGTGACAGGTGCCAGGTTTGGGGTCACTGCGATGTCCCCTTCAAAACAAAAAAAAAAACATCCATTCTCCCTCTTCGCTCGATTCATGTTTTGGGGTAACAAGACGGTTTCAGAAATTCGAAAAATTTGTCGCGATTATTAATCATGATGTCTCATTCACTTCTCGTAAAGTTACAAATCGCATAATAATAATGATAATAATAATATAACAATAATAATAATACATATAGGGCTGAATCCTGTACAATACAATACACAAAATCCATTATCAAGATATTGCTTTTGGAGACATCTCTCACATTTTTCCGTCTGTATATATACATAGCTTGGCACTATACAACGCTCATTCCGTTCGTTTGTCAGTTTTGTCTATTTAAGGGATCTGAAATTATAGCTGACGCATTAAGGGCAGAAAATCTCATTGTGATTTTTGTTATAAACATTCTCCATGGCATCCTGAAAGGCCGTTAAAATAAGAAACGAAAAGCCGAAAATGAAAAACATCGACCCAAAAACCTCCCACCCTCCCTCACAAGCCACTCACAAAAAATATGACGTCACATGATACGATAAATCCTTGTGAATTCATGAATTAAACTGTTAATTAACTGCTGTCGAGCCCTTAAGTTCTTTCCTCAATCATATTTATATTATCCGAATGGGCTCTTTTTCTGTCACACACACACACACACGCGCACACTCAACAAACACCGTAAATAATCTCACACACTACCAAAAAACAAAAAACGTTCAAGATAATGGCATTCTAAGGCGTTATATAAAGCCAGCGCGCCTCCACTGCTAGATGTTTGTTTTGTTTTATTTTTCGAGCTGGTGAATTTAAATACTTTTCGTTTTTTTTTTTTTTTAAAGGGGGCGGGGCTGGCAGCCACTCTAACCAATCACAATGCCCACGATAACAGAAGCGAAACATTCCAGCCCAGTCCTGAAGTCCCGAGCTCACAAATATGAACCGTCGTGCTCCATTCCTAACGTAATTACAGTATAACCAATAAAAAAGAAGAAGGTAATATACTTATTTGTTTTGCTTTATCGTACAGCATTGATCAATACTGCGTTGAGTGTTAGTGTGTCTCATCCGTACATCTCGAATGATGTCCGTGTTGTTAAAAGTGCAGTTAGCCAACGTTCTTTCTCAGGTCTCTCTTTCTTCCCAGTCTAGGGGGCAGCGTGTGTGTGTGCGCTACACTGCACCTCCTCCTATGTTCTTTGTTTTAAGTCAATCCCGCTTTAGACCACAAGGTGGCGCTGGTCTCCCTTGTTGGTTTTGTTTTTTTCATTTGCAGCTGCAAGAAGGCTGAACGTAGTACCGTGCCTTCCTTTACACAACTTGGGAGAGGCTTGCCCAGTGAATTCGAAGTTCACTTATGATTCGTTCGATCAATTTAGTTCCTATGCGTGTACTTTTGAAGGTCGACGCCTCTCGGATTGCATGTCCTCAGTACACGAAGCTTGGGCTGGTCTCTCTCGGAGTTTCTTCATGACCGCAAAATATAAATATGACCGTGTCTTCCTAGATGTCCACTATTCTCTTGCTCCTCTGCAATGGTGCCGGGCAGAGTGTGTTGATGTACGTTACTTTCTGCAAATGAATTCGCTCAGTCCAAGCGTCCGTCTGCGAAGGCGACGACCCGAGCCTTCCTCAAGAAGATACGTCACATCTATCGCTGCACGGGAAACAGAGATAATGGAGGTTTGGGTTAGATTTGTTGCAGTGTATGGATAAAAGAGAAGCCTTTTAATATAAATGGTGCTTACGATGTTAGAATTATGTTTGTGATTAATTTTTTATAATTTAAATAATTTTTTTTCTTCACAATTTTCTAAAAATGGTTTACATTCTGAAAACTTACCATGGTTTTACTACAAAGAAAAAACTACAAATAAAACAACATGTTTTTGGTGGTTAAACCATAGTGACCACAAATCAGCTCATTTTCTGAGAGTGTGATTCAACGTGGTTACACCGATTTCAATTCAGCAAACTATTTTTTAAAAGAGTATTAATTAATCTAAAAAGTAACTTGAGTTACATTTTTTAAAAAATATAATAAGTAATAATGTATAAATAATAAAATTAGTAATGCGTTACTTTACTCGTTACTTAGAATTACAGTATAAAATAAAAATAAAATTAATTTTGTAATATTAATTACAAAAAAAGTCTTACACATTTATTGTCTGTTTTTATCTTATATATATATAAATATATATATATATATATATATATATATATATATATATATATAGCTTTATTAGATTTTAGAAACATAATAATTTATTTTATGTTTAAGCAGTAATTTAATTAGGCTAGAAAAAAAGACGTGACTTAAAAGGAAGTTTACTCAAAAATAGAAATTCTGCCACAATTTACTCATCCTACATTCATTTCCTTCTTTTGAACAGAAAACAAGACATTTTGAAGAAAACATACAGCCACTGACATCAACAGTATGTTTTTTCCTATTATGAATATCAGCGGTTGCTTTTCTCTAACATTCTTCAAATTATTTTTTGAATTTTGTGTTTAACAAATGATAGCAGTCATAAAAGATTAAAACTACTTGTGTGTGAGTAAATGATTAGGATATTGTCATTTTTGGGTGAACTATCTCTCAACCCTTGTGTACTGTTCAAATTGACTACCCTTTCATTATGTTCGGGCTGTTTTTGCCCCATTGACTTCTATTATAACCACATTTTTTTTCATTGCAAAACCATGACAGCATATAATCATGCATTCCTGATTCTTGCACAGGGCTCGAAATTAACTTTTTTACTTGGTAGCACCGGTGCTCCCAACTTCAAAAATTTAGGAGCACCAGAAAAAATTTAGGAGCACCAGAAAAAAATTAGGAGCACCCACCAAAAATGATCGAGCACTGCTGCAAATTGTATTTTAAGGGACTTATTGTATTTTAAAACAACATCAATTAGGACTAACAAAAACCAGAAACAACTATAACTAATGCTGAGATGACATTGATATTTGTCTGCAATAATTCCAAAATGAATGTCGAATTATAAAATATTAAGGATGATGAAAATGACAATAATAGTAACAATGAATTACATTTCTCACCATCATGCTGCCTTAAATGTGCTTGAATGAATTATGAAAAATAAATGTATAGTTTGCATCAATTAAAAATGAAGCATTGCAGTAAGATATTTATTTTGTACTGCTATTTATATATGCATGTCAGTTTAATAAATAATATTTCTATTACAAAACAAACAAAAGATTATAATAATAATAAATAATAATTAAATTCAAGGCTGAAAGCTGCAAAACAGTCATCAGTAACTAAATAAAAAATAATAATATACACCTCAAGGAAGAATAGAAAAAAGAAAGTAAGTAAAGTCTCACTTCTATCACTCTTTAAAAAGTTTTGGTTTCAGTTTGTGTCAATTTAAATGTTCAGTCTGAGATGATCTTCATGTTTCTGTGTTAGTGGAAAAGCTGGCGAGTCAGCCGGCCAAATATATGAGCAGGTAGAGCAGGATTTTTGCGATGACCACCGGTGCAATACCGCTGTTTGTTATGAGCCGCGCATTTTCAGTGTAAACTTAGTAAAGGCGAGCTTCTTTGGCGATGATATGTACAGTATTAGATTTGACTTTTAGCGGACATTTGCGCTGAACACGCAGTGAATGCAACGCATGAGATTCGGGCGCCTTCTCCGAAAACCCGTACTTGATTGATCTCAGCTGCCCGAACAATATTCACCACGTCATGATCGATCTCATCTGCGCCTCAACTTTAGGTGGGGTTTGCAAACCTGTGTGCTTTAAGTTTTCACTCTTCAGCCGTTTGCATTTCCCGTGGTCATAAAAGCTTCTCTGTCATCTGACAGCGGAATACCTTGCGTGATTGACGGCTTATAAAAACCAATATAGAGGCAAGGAAGAGCAATTCAGCACGTTTTTAGAAAAAATCTAAACAGGTCGCACTACAACCATTATCTGCAGTCGCACTAATGCTCCCAGATATATTATGAGGTCGCATAGATTAATTTTCGGGCGCATATGCGACCAAAATGGTCGCAATTTCGAGCCCTGTTGCAGGTTTTCCCAGTTGGGAAGAAGTAAAATGTGTCATTTTACTGAAAATGTGTCAATCTTGCTGTTGATCATCAGTTGGCAGCATTAACCCTGCAGATAGGCCTGTGCAAAAAAAAAGTTTCTGGCTTTTATATGGAGTTAAATAGCAGATTATGTTTTTATTTTCTCAAACATATCGAGGTAAATGTGCGAAGACCTCTTTTTGCACTGTAGCTGATGATAAACAGTAAAAATCACAAATTTAACCTCTTACCAACCTGATTATATGGTGTCATGGATTTGCAATCAATACATTTCATTATAATGAAAGTCAATGGGGCAAAAACAGCCCCGAACACAACGAAAGGATAGTTAATTTGCCCAGAGTTTATTGTTAAGTATTTTAAAAAACCAAAACATTTTCCCAAAATATGCATTAAAATAAGATTTCTCACCAAAAATCGTTCCATTTGCTGAAGCACAGTGAACGTTATGGACAAATTAAGCCATTAAAATCACCCCAGAGTGAATAAAAGCAAGTTTACAAAAGGACTCAAATAATGGCGACCTCACCGTTCTTAGTGGGCGCGCGGTGCAGCAGGTCGAGCAGGATCTTGTTGAGCCGCTCTCTCTGCGCTTCTCTCCTGCCCAGAATGGCGGGATGAAGAGGAGAAGAGGAGATGGAGGAGGAGCACTGTGCGTCTATGGGCTCCTGCGCTCCTGCTTTCTCTCTGCATCCCTCCTCCTCCTCCTCCTCCTGCATCTCTCTCCTCCTCTCTCTGTCCTCTTCCTCCTCCGCCTCATCCTCCTCTCCGGCCGTCCTGCTCTCCAGTGGCGAGGATCTCTGAGGTCTCGGAGTGCTGGATCCCTCTTGAGCGGCCTCCGCGTCTCCTTCTGCTCCTCGTCCTCCGTCCTCGTCTCCTTCTCTAGGGAAGCTGGAGGACAGACGCTCGCAGGACGTGCTGGAGGATGATGGTTCTTCATCTTTGGGCCGCTCGCTCTTCCAAGCAGAGCGTCCGCCGTTCCTCTTGTAGTTATCTGGAACATAGTGAGGCTGCGGGGAGACAGAGAAATAGACTTTTTCAAATTATTTATATTAAAATTGTATTAATATTGACCATTTTCACATTTCTGTTTATTCATTAGTGAAAGTCGTCATAGTTGGGTAAACTGAGCGTGCATTCACACCTGTGAATCGATTCAATTGTTCCGAAACAGGGATTAAAATTGTTACATCGTTGCTCTTTGCTCTTGGTGCGGATCGCTTTCACACTGCACTTTTCGCACTGAGTCCTGCTCAGTTGTCAGAAGAGGTGGTGGTTTGGTGGTGTTTGACAAGGTGCGCTCGACATGTCTGAAGAGCGAGGAAAGATGCGGTGGGGAGGGGTGAGAAGGGTGCACGACGTAGCCTATTAGAGGACCGGAAGTGAGACGCGAGATTACCGGGAGATTATCATTCGTTTGCGGGCATCCGGAGACTCGCGAACCTTCCTGCCCTGCTTATAATCTCTCTCTTTATATAGCCGTAAGCCTATTACATATCCATAATACACTGTGATGTAACCGCGCTCAGATCGTATCGCTTTCTCACTCCAGAGTTTGTTTCGATCGAGTCGAGACCACCTCACTCAAGCGATCTCGGAGCGATTGGTTTGGCGCGGATCCGAGAGCGATTGGCGGTTTCACATATGCCAAATGAACCGCGCTAACTGGGCAAACGAGACAGAATACTCAAACAAAAGTGTAGGTGTGAAAGCACCATTAGAGCGCAGTGAATAGGAGAGTATGACAAATAATTTTTTGTAACCCTCTTGCTGAAATAAAAGATAAACTCCATGATGGTGTTATCAAGACTTTCAAATAAAGAAAAATAAATTTGAGAGACTGATAACGACAGCCAGAATAACATCAAATTTACTGTCCTGCCCCCATAGACGCTGCATTAGGACGCAAGCAACTCGCAGTGGCAAAGCAATAAGTGACCAGGTTGGTGTGCCGAGCGACGCAACAAAGTTGAGAATCATCAAGAGCGACTTTCTTGAGCGACAGCCGATATGAGCACCAGTACAGCTCACATGATCTTTTCTCAGCTCACTCAGAGGCCGGTTGATTTCATGCTGTATAGACCTACACACAGAGCTGGAGTGAGACTCTTTTTTTAGCCCTGGAGTTTCAGGCCTTAGACCGGCCCACCTCAGTTCACCACTGACTATATTGAAATAACATCATTTTCCAATTCATTTCTAATGAAACTATCACGTCTTTTTCAAAGACACAGCTGCTTTAGAACTTCAAATGTTTTTCATAAATATGAGAACATTAAAGGGTAGCTAAATCTCCAACACTATTCTTTAAAACAGGGGTTCCCAAACTTTTCAGCCCGCGACCCCCAAACTGAGAATGCCAGTGACTCGTGACCCCCAATATTCTCTGAGGTGGTGGTTATAAATACAGAAACCTTGTATGCAATGACGCACACACACCAATAGGCCCAAGTCTATTCTTTGTTTTTTTTAATGTATGTCAGTGCTGTTAATGGGCTAGAAAGTTTAACCTGGTATTACAAAATCTGCTGCATCTGACAGTATTGATGTGTCTTTAGTATAATGTAATTACCCGAGAAGTTGCAATCCAATAGAACTAGTAACTATAAGCTACTATAGTAACTATATAGTTTATAGTAACTATAAACGACTATTTTTTTCTCATCAGTAGGTTATTGATAAAATACAGTAAGTCTTAAGGTTTAATAAAAATTAATTGATTTTTGAAAATCACCAGGCAACCCCCCTTCATTGTCCCGCGACCCCTCGGGGGGTCCCGACCCCCACTTTGAGAACCTCTGCTTTAAAACATCACAATGTTCTCTTCTGCGATATCTGAATATACAGTTGAAGTCAGAATTATTAGCCCCCGTGTTTATTTTTTTCCCCTATTTCTGTTTAACGCAGAAAAGATTTCTTCAACACATTTATAAACATAATAGTTTTAATAACTCGTATGTTTATTTGGGATTCTACTCACAGAGAAGTCCCTCTTGGGCGTCAGTCTCTTGGGGAAGTGGTTGAACGCATAGGGCTTGGTGCACACTGGGTAACGGTTGCGGTGGATCTTGTAGAACAGGTGTGCGGATTTATCCAGCCGGTAGTCGCAGATGTAAACGTCCTGCTCCTTTACCCCTTTTGGACGACCTGAATCCATTAGAAAGAGCAGCAGGAATTAGCATGCAAAGCATATGGGGAGTTTCAGCATGTAACACCTGCTTCTTGAATCTTATGTGAAAGTTGTGTATGTGTGAAGTCTCACCCTTGCAGTATGTGTAGAGGTCCAGCACGCAGCAGGTGCCCACCACGGCCTCCAGCGGGATGATCTCATACAGAGGCACTCGAAACAGCTCGTTGTGGTAGAAGCGGCGGGAAGGGGAGTGATGCGTCTCATGAGGACGGAAGTAATGATGACCAAATGCAAACCTCTCACCTCTGCAGACATGGAGAAAAGCAAGATCAAACTTTCAGCATTCTGTTAGTGCGCTTTGATACCTGCCTCCTTTAGTTTGGATGAATCACAATAGAGTCAGTTTTTTAGTGCTTGGTTCGGTTCGGTTCGTTTGGGCAGGTCCAAACAACTGAACTGAGACCTGCTTTAAGAGATTGTCACAATACGTTTTCAAAAGAACACTGGAGCGGTTTATTTGTGGCAGGACTGTGATCTCAACTCAAACCTAACTGCAAAAAAGTACTGCGCATTTTTGGACTAAACCAGCTCCTGTAGTTAGCAGCAGTGTGTGTTATTAGATGAGGGGAAGTATTTGTTTGCATTGCTTTAGAGCAGTGTTTCTCAACCACGTTCCTGAAGGACCACCAACACTGCATGTTTTGGATGTCTGTCCCATTGCAGGTCTTTCAGGTTCTACTAATGAGCTAATGATCTGAATCAGGTGTGTTTGGTTAAGGAGACATAAAAATGTGCAGAGCTGGTGGTCCTTCAGAAACGTGGTTGAGAAACACTGCTAGCAACAGCTCCATAGATCCTAAAGTAACTTGCGATGCGCCTTCACCGATTACGATGCATTTTAAAACAGTTTTCAAGCTGCATCCTCTAAATGTTAAGAATAGTTTGTCTGAAGTGATGCATACTAACTATATAAGTGAAGTGCGCCTTGTCAAGTATAATTTTAACCATACTTGAAATTGGTCTTCTGCTTTTGACCCATCTTAGTGCACATACACATTTTGAGTGAGGAGTGAGAGCACACACACAGTGAACATACACCCAGAGACTGCCCGGGGAGCAATTAGGGGTTAGGCTGCTGCTCAAGGGCACCTCAGGTGGGTATTGAAGATGTAGAGAGTGCAGTTTATTCAATTCCTGCCAGCACCGGGAACCTTTCGATTGCAACTCCATAACCACTAGGCCACAACTGCCCGTAATGATGATAAAAATTTTGTTCAAATCTAAACTAAATATTCATGACAAAATGTGTTAGACAAAATGTTTCTCTAGAGTCAGTAAGGATGTCAGCATTTGTTTGTGAATGAAGTCTGGACCTGAAGCACAAAACGTGAAACACTGTGAGTGTGTGTGAATCTCACTTTTCATTCTTCCAGAGTTTCTCGATACGGAAGATGTCCAGTTTGTCTCTGTTGATGTGAGACAGGAGGCGGTATGACTGACGCACCGGCTGACCTTCTGTTGTGCGTCTGCTGTCCCGCATGAGGTACACACAATCGCCTGCAACACACACGTGCAAACATACATTAATACACATGCACGTAACTATCAGAACACATTTGAACCAAAATTGTACAACAAATACTATATTTATTTACAATTCTTCATTGGTATTATTTGATTAAAGATTGCAGCAACAGAATTTTTTTTATTAAACAGTATTTATTGCTTTTTTATTGCAATATTTTTAAATGCAACTTTAAAAAAAATTTTTTTAGCATAATTAAATCAGACTTCAGTACTATGATCCTTCAGAAATCACTCTGATAGCTGACTGAGTGAAGGCTGGTTTATACTTCTACGTTGAGTGATCGGAGTGACCCAGGCCACTTGCCTTGCGCGTTGTCGTGCATTTATACTTCTGCATGCTGTTTGCGTTGCTCTGCAATAACACTTTCAAAACACTAGCTGGCAGTAGGTTTTTATGTTCCTCTGTGTCGAGTTTCTCCACTGATGTTGTGTTTTTTCTGAATGCAACATTACTGTACAAGTGGCTCAAACTCGCTCATTCAGAGACAGGAACCGGCTGATGTGCAGCAACATTAATTATAAGGTAAACAAAACAAAAGTTTCCATCAGGAACTCCTTCACGAGACTCCACACTTGTAAACAGTCGCTCAATCGGACTTGTGGCTCTCAGCGCTGCCCACACTCGTCACCGCTACCAAGCCGACCAATCATAGAGCTTGCACTATGCATTGTGACGTGTAGTTACATTTTTTTAAGGTGCGTGTCAGCGTCGGCGTAAGCCACGTTGAGTGCTTTGCGACCACACAAAAGCTGCAGCTTACCATACGTGTGTGCTTGACGCAGAATTATAGATCAGCCTTAAGGTTGGGTATCGTTAAAAGTTTTTCTATACAATCCACGCCAACATATGGTGCAGTAGCACGTCAGGGCATCCCGAGTTCAAATCCCGGCTTGAGGGACATTTCCCAACCCTACTTCGCTTCCCATCTCATTACTGTCCTGTCTCAAAAGGCCAAAAATAAATCTTTATAAAAAAGTTTTTCAATATGATATCAACATCATTACTTTGCATTCAATACCACTATCTGCACTATACTTACAATTTTGTAAACTTAGTTTTAACAAGATGACATAAATAAAGTTTTCTTTGTGTCAAGCTCTGAAAACAAAAACTAAATGTAACAAAACAATAAATCAGTCTAAATAAGGTCAAATAGATTCCCTTAGCAGTTCTTCCTAAAAAAACATGTCTTTTTTTCAGGAGACAGACAAGCTTTCCATCACAGATCACTTTAATGAATGATTTTTTTTATGTAACAATGTATCAACAAAAGTATCAAACAAAATATCCAGCTCTAATTATCACTGTTGAAACAGAACAGTACTGATTAATATTTCTCTAAAAACATATTTTATGTACTTTTTGTTAAAATAAAAAAATAACCGAATTTATTTGAAATGGAGGTCTTTTGCAACATTAAAAACATATTTACTGTCACTTTTGATCAATTGCTCCATAAAAGTATGAATTTATTTACTCCAAACTGGTGTGGATTTAAATTCACAAACACACAAAAACACATACCCTGATGCAACAGTAAGTCATCGCGAAGCAGGCATATGTAATAGATGAATCCTGATTGGGCATAGCTGGGTTGAGGCACCATTGGAACCTCCTGTTGAAGCACGAAATGCATTAGAGACAAAAAGGACAAAAAAAAAAAAAAACAGCTTTCAAAAGTTTCCCAACTTCCTGAGATCTTAATCTTGAAGTGACCTTTACAATGTTGTGATAAGAGACCATATGGCCGCTCTAAAAACAGTGAGAGAGGAAAAAGAATCGTAAGGTTACACAGACTGAAAGGTCACATACTCTGTCCACTGGACGAGGGTCACACTGTTCACAGAGATAATGCTCCACATCCGCCTCCAGACGCATACAATCACAGTGCTGCCACACCTGACAGACAGAAATAGACACAAACAACATATAAATATGAATTTATTTAATAGTTTTACTTCTCGTTAGCTGTATGCTAATTCATTGCACATTTATTTAGGTATATTTATTGTCTGTTATGATGTGCTAACAAAGTGTGAGCTGACATTCAACAAACGAGACGTTTTTCAGTATTCAAACCCAAGCGCTTTTCACTGGCGTCAAGCTGAAGAGTATGCAAAATCACTTGTTTGACGTTAGATGGCGCTGCACAAATTTAAGCTTCTGACACCAGCTTTTAACACAGAAGAAGAGGAGGAGAGAAAGCTCACACGCTTGTTGTTAAAGTTACTGCTGACTCGAACAAGCATGGATGGTTCAAGCAGCAGCTCCAGCTCTAGCGATGAAGAAATGATTAGTGTTCACAAGAACAATAAGCAGCTTCATGTTCATATTGCCTCTGGGCATCTTCTTCAATGTGCGCTCGCATTGACAGTTTTGCGCTTAACCACCTCCAAGTGCCGTTTACTGTAACTTTAGCAGCTCCGTGCACGTGAACAAAAGTGGCGATCTGATTGGTGGAGAAGGTTTTACCCCGACGCGTCAAAACAAAAAAACGAGCATGAGGCGTTTTTTTTTTTAAATGATGCTTTTCTGCGTTGTTGTGCACAATCACATTGACGCCCTTTATTTATTCACAAGGGGTTAAACGTTGACAGAAAACGCAAGCAAAAAACGTCTCGGTGTGCATGGGCCTTTAGCCTGTGTTGTTAAAACAAAACTTTACATAAAGCAAAACAAAAAGTATTTTCTGCAAAAAAAAAAAACAAAGATTAAAATTAAATCAAACACTAATAATAGGTGGATAAATAAAATTAAATTAAATATTGCACTGAAAAATACACTCATTGGCCATTTTATTAGGTACAAGTGCTCGTTAACGCAAATTTCTAATCAGCCAATCACATGACAGCAACTCAATGTATTTAGACATCTGCTGCAGTTCAAACCGAGCATCAGTATGGGGAAGAAAGGGGATTTAAGTGACTTTAAACGTGGCATGGTTGTTGGTGCCAGAAGGGCTGGTCTGAGTATTTCAGAAACTTATCTACTAGGATTTTCATCGCACAACCATCTCTAGGGTCTACAGAGAATGGTCAGAAAAAGAGAAAATATCCAGTGAGCGGCAGTTCTGTGGGTGCAAATGCCTTGTTCATGCCAGAGGTCAGAGGAGAATGGCCAGACTGGTTCCAGCTGTTAGAAAGGCAACAGTAACTTTAATAAACACTCATTACAACCGAAGTACGCAGAAAAGCATCTCTGAACGCACAACACGTCCAACCTTGAGACAGATGGGCTACAGCAGCAGAAGACCACACTGGGTATCACTCCTGTCAGCTAAGAACAGTGAACTGAGGCTACAATTCACACAGGCTCACCAAAACTGGACAATAAAAGATTGTTAAAACATTGCCTGGTCTGATGAGTCTCAATTTCTGCTGTGACATTTGGATGGCAGGGTCAGAATTTGGCATCATCAACATGAAAGCATGGATCCATCTTGCAATGTATCAATAGTCCAGGCTGGTGGTGGTGGTGGTGTAATGGGGTGGTGGATTTTTTCCATACTTTGGGACCATTAGCACCAATTGAGCATCGTGTCAATGCAACAGCCTACCTGAGTATCGCTGCTGACCATGTCAGTCCCTTTATGACCACAGTGTGCCCATCGTCTAAATGCAGGGGTGACCAACCCTGTTCCTGGAGATCTACCTTCCTGCAGATTTCAGTTGCAAACCATATCAAACACACCTGCCTGTAATTATCAAGTGCTGTTCAGGTCCTAATTAATTGGCTCAGGTGTGTTTGATCAGGGTTGGATCTGAACTTTGCTGGAAGGTAGATCTCCAGGAACCAGGTTGAGCACCCCTGGCCTAATGGCTACTTCCAGCAGAATAACACGCCATGTCATAAAGCCTGAATCCTCTCAGACTAGTTCCTTGAACATGACAAGGAGTTCGCTGTACTCAAATGGCCTCCACAGTCACCAGATCTCAATCCAATAGAGCACCTTTGGGATGTGTTGGAACGGGAGATTCGCACCATGGATGTGCAGCCGAAAAACCTGCAGCAACTGCGTGATGCTATCATGTAACTGCGTGATGCTATCATGTCCATCTGGACCAAAATCTCTGAGGACTATTTCCAGTACCTTGTTGAATCTATGCCACAAAGGATTAAGACAGTTCTGAGGGCAAAGCAGGGTCTAACCAGATGTACTTAATAAAGTGGCTGGAGAGTGTAAATCTGCATGGACATAGAGTGTGCTAAAACTAGTGTGGTAATACTAAAGTGTTTATTAAAATAAAAATAAATAAATATATATAAATAAATAAATAAACTACACATAAAACTAAAATATTTGTAGTAATATTAGGTTGTAATATTATACAATTTTTTTTTTAATCTGGCTTCATACATACCATACCAGTAAAAAGCTATAGATTTACCTACAAAGACTACAGACTTTCTTTTACAATTGTAGGTATCATGATCATATCAATCATGCAATACACACAGTATGGAATGAGTTGGACAGCACTAATATTTAGTAATTCATTCAAATCCCTGATCTTAGCACATACCATGCACTTCTCGCACTGAATCATGAGTCCCTCATCCTTGTACATGCCACAGATGCAGCGGATCACATCATCATCCTTATCATGGCTGCCCCCTCCGTCATGGTGATGGTGGTGGGCGTGGTCTCTCTCCAGCGAATCAGAGCTGTCCGCTTCACTTGCCGTCTCACCCACAATCTCATCGATCTGAACAGCAGCCTCATGACGGGCACCATAATAAGCCTTCCTCAGCCGGCACACGTCACGGCCCACAGCAGACTTACGCCCATAGTACTTCTGAAGGAGGAAAAACAGAAGAGAGGTTAGGAAAGGTCCTGTTTTTACTCTAGATTTTTCAAATTTAACTCTAACCTGAGTAGTGGCACTGACCTCAGCATTGCGAAACACTTTGAGCATGTCCGCATCAAACGCCTCATCGGTTTTGTAGTGTCCGCTGAGGATCTGCTTATCTATGGTGCTGAGATCTAGAGGATCGGTGACCTTCTCATAGTATTGTGTGTTCCTGTAGACAGGCATCAAGAGGTATTTAAGGAAAGTTGTGAAGTGGCCAAGTACGATGACCCATACTCTGAATTTCTGCTATGTATTTCACATCCAAGTTTGCATTTACTGCTAGGAACACACACCTGGAGCAGTAGACACACAATGACCATGTCTCTTTAGATTCTTTGACTGCACCAAATATCCAAACAGTATATATTGTATAATAAAGTCGCCTTAGTATGTCATTTTAAATGTTTTTAATTTAGCTTTAAGCTGCCTTTTCACTGCACACAACAGACTGGAAGTCATTCATTTCCAATGGAAAGTTGTCTGGGAGCTGGGTAGAGTTCTGATGATCTCAGTATGTCCCATTTGAGCTACGGATGTGTTCAAATATTTGAACTTCTGCGACTAGACTGCTCGACTGGATGTGATGTATTCCAGTGTTGTTCAATTAGGTCTGTGTGCACGAGATGAGAATTATAATTCTCGTTTTTTTTGTTGTTCTTATTTTTTGAGCAGAAAAAAGTCTATATAAAAAAAAATATTTCTATTCATAAATGAGTAATAAAAAAATTGTATTTGTAAATGCAGTCTCCATATTCCCTCCAAAGCTAGCATAAGCTACATAAAGTAGGCTACATTTTGGTAACTAAACACCTGACAGCCCGACAGTCTTGGCTATTTTTCTCCATGCTTAACTTTTTTCTGCTGGTCTCTCTATATAACTTTAGAGTTTTGTCATGTAAAATCAGATTTTTGGACACCGCGAGAATCAGCTTCTTTAAATGATCAAGTATGAAGTATCAAGCGCGAGTGATTTACATGTTAAGACACGAATAAGACATCCTGCGATTCATGCGAATGAGGCTGCGCAAATTACGTGATTCGCAGGAGTTGACACGTTTCGAACGAATTGTTCCAGTTGGAAACTCTGAACGTCAGCAGATATTTAGACCACATTAACCAATTATTAGCTTGCTCTTGTAAGGGACTGATTACGACGTAGTGCCTTTTGTTGGTGTCCTGAGGAAAAATCCTCTTGCCAACACCGGACAACAGCTCATCAAACTGGGCTTGGTTCAGTCTGAAGCACATATGAGCTGACATATGAGCGATCCGCTGATATATCGTGGCTTTAAAATGCTACAGTCTTGTGATCTTTGAAACTTTCACAAATCCCTATATTACAAATTATGTGACAAATCACACCCAATATAGCATATCGGGGGAAAAAAGTATATATATATATATATATATATATATATATATATATATATATATATATGTATATATATACAGTGTGCTTAAAAACGGATTTAATTCTCACCTCTTCCTAGAAGGCAGGTTAAGCAGCGGAGCAGCAAGAGGCTGACCAGATGAATCTTCAAAGAACAAGAACGCAATAGATTATATTAGTATTGAGGTCAGTGTAAATGAATGTGCATCAAGATGACACTCAAATTAGAATAAACCTTATAGATGAAGTCAAAATAAAAGAATCACATAGCTCACTAACTGGATTTTGCCAAACTAGATCACTTAAAAAGAGATTTCCATCAAAAATAACTAATGAGTGTCAGCATTTAGCAATAAGCTTACATCTTACAGCAGTCTACTCAACCAAACTGCTGTTGTGAAATGGATGTTCTTGTTTTGTGTGATGAAAATGATTATGCAGCCTTTAAATTCACTGCCAACAATAGGATTAATAACAAAAACTGCATGTTTTGCGGGTTCATGATGTTTGTGTGAATGAATAAGTGTCTGTTTACCCTTGTAGCTAGTGATCATATCGCAGATCTCTTTGAAAATGTGTGCCAGACGTGCGGTGCGTGTCACTTCAGTGTTCTCCTCGGCTGCCGCAAGTCTGCGTGTGCGTACAGAGCGGGACGTCTGCAGCGCTGAGAACTGAGTCAGAAATACATCTGGAAAAACAGAAACACATAACCGGTCAATTTTAAAGCAGGTCTACAACATAACACTCATTTGATTATCGATTAATCTAACAATTATTTGAACAATTAATCGATTAATCATTGATAATGTCAGGGACACCTCAGTAGGTTTTGAATGATTATTCAATTAATTTCTATAAATCTTTTTTTTTTTATATATAATTTTTTATTTGTAGTAGCAATAAACACAGTACAATGATTCCACTTAAGAGAAAACATTTCCCACTGCTTAACATTTTTCTTTTTCACAAACTCTAAAGTAACAGAACATAAAAAAATAAAAAAACATAAAAAAATAAATAAATAAAGGTTTCATCAAATACAATATATGAAAATAACAGTAAAATGGTAACATAAATAATATCAATACTAAATTTCCATAGGTCAGAGAGGGTCAAATCTTTATTTATTCATTCAACTTTAGGTTATTATCAACTGTGAATTACTAATTTAAAAAGAGGATTAAGAGGGGGAGTGCAATGGGTCGTAAATTGAAAAAATGTTTGTTATGTGGATGGGAATTAGATAGTAATAGTTTTATATTTCTATGAAGATTGGATGGAGCAATCTAACGTAATCAGTCCACTTGGACCAGATGTTTCTAAATGTATTAATTTGGAGTCGAAGGGAGAATGTAATTTTTTCCATCACATAGATATTATATACTATCTCTAGCCATTCTTGGGTTGTTGGGGATTCAGGAAGTAACCAGTGTCTTGTAATTGCTTTTTTGGCTGCGATTATTAAAATATCAAGTAAGTATTTATCAGATTTACATATTTGGATATCAGAGCTTCCAAAATAAATAACTATAAATTGAAAGGGTAGTGTAATATTAAGTATGTTTTCTAAATTTCTATAAATCTTATTGTCTATTCCAGTGGTTCTCAAACTGTGTTATGTGTACCACTAGTGGTACACAGGCTTCCTTCTAGTGATACACCGAGGAACAATATGTCATATGTACATGCAACATATCAAAAATGGTTTCTATATGAATATGATGACATACAGCCTATATTTATGAGGTCCAAGCAACATTTCCAGGTTTTGATGAATAGGTTACTACAGGTTAACACTTTACATTTAAGTGCAGGAGTTTTCTATTTTACTTTTTAACAACAGTAGCCTACCATTTTTAACAAACTTTTAAAAGCACATTTTTATTTAAACGTTGACATTTTATTTTGTTTGTTTGTTTTTTACATATAAGCACAGTACAGTATTAATGTTCAAACTATTTATAATGTTTAAAGTGGCTGATAATAATAAATATTATTAATAATAGAAGTTAATCTGCCATGTTTTTAAACTGTGCAGAGGTGTAGCTGCTTTACTGAGCCTACTATGCTATTGTATTTCAATACTGCTCATTATGGTGGTACTTTTTTCTGAGGTGGTACTTGATGAAAAAAAGTGGTTTGAGAACCACTGATCTATCCCACAGGGGTTAGAAAATTGTCTTTAGACATTAGCCCCTTTCACACATACACACCTTTCAGGAAAATTACCGGCAATTTCTTGGAAAGGTTGTATGTGTGAACAGGTCCTTTTTGAAAATACCGGTAAATTCGTTCTGGCTATTTTCCGGAAAGAGAAGTTGTAACATTACCGGTAATTTGCCGGAATGCTGCGCTGTGTGAACGCAAAAGGAAGATTGCCGGAATTAGCGCGTGCACGTCTAGAACATGCTGACGTGAGACTTCTGCTTTAGCCAATCAGAACAGTCAGACGCGTTCACGTCCGAGCGGCTTATGAGAATAAAAACCTTTGAATATTTTTCCAGACACATTTAGTTGCTAGAAATTAGTCAGATAACATTTATATGTTCATCTTAATGCCAACTGTGTAAATAATTATCGATAAGATGCTTATGATAAGCCGCTGTTTGTTTACCTTCAAGCTTTGCGTGTGCCCATAAACAGTCTATGAGCGCCAGCACACACACATATCATGTACATCTCGACATGCGAAAGTGTTTCTCTATATGTTTTCATCGAAGTTGTTCACAATACTGATCCATCCAGTTTGTGATGTAGTCAAATGTTTACAAATACAAGCACAGCCGTTTAGAGCTCATTTCTGGTTATTGATGTCAGAATTTACCGGTATTTTGGAATGGATGTGTGAATGCTCTTTTCCGGAAAAATTCCGTAACGTCCTCGCCGGTGTGAACAGCGTTTTTTTTAATTTACCGGTAAAGTCGTTCCGGAAATTTTCCATATATTTACCGGTATCACTGTGTGAAAGGGGCTATTGGCTCACACACAACTACAAAAAAAAAAAAATCATATTTAAAAAAAAAAACAATGGTAGTGGAATAATATCTTCTTGTACTTAGGAACTTTATACTGTCTACCAGAGAGAAGTAACTTAAAGTAACCATGTAAAGGATGGGAAGAATTTCCCACAATAGCGGTGGTAAGTAGTGTGTTAACACTAAAAACTCTAAAAATAATAAGTGCAGTGTAATTACCCGGATGATGCACACATTCAGCCGGTAAAATGAAGTGTGTAATGATGGACACGCACTCAACAACCGCAGGTTTGCTCACGTAGCGGAAGGGGCGGAGCTATCAGGCGCACATATTGGATTACTTTATTTTGGATGGTCAAAGTAAAATTCTCCTTCGAGAGTGATTATAGCGCCTCCCGATGGTGAATGCGGTTATACTCACTGTGGGTATTTGATAGTTGGGTCATTTATTACACTGATTTGGCAACCGTCAAAATTCATCAGGTAAACGGGTTGAATTTCCGCTTAGTAAAAAAAAAACATTAGTGCTCCATTTGGGACGACACTACATGCATATACTATACTGTTGAGTGTGTAAGTGCACAATTACATAGTGCATAGTGTATAGTGTGCCATTTGAGCTAATGTGTTTCCTTGTACTGCAATGGCATTCGTGATAGCTAAATAACACTCTAGCGCCACAGCACTGTATCAGTCAGACTTACACCGAGTCACTCAATGAAACGACTGCTAGAATGTTGGTCTACAATTTTTTATTGTTAACATCGTTGATAATGTCTCTTTGTCGACTGAATGTTTTAGCCTTACTTGGAAGTTTTATCTGTAGCCCGTGGATATACAGCGTATGACAATCTTAAGATCAACTTGAGGAATCTTTATCGCTTGTGTAAGACTTGTTGTCCACTCTCACCTGATTTGATGTTTCCATCATCCCGGATGACTCCTCCCCAGCGGGTGTACAGAGACAGACCGCTGTTCTCCCTCTCCCGCTCTCCCTCACGCTTCAGAAGCTCCTGTTTCTCCCGCATCTTCTCCCAATTCCGCAGCAGAAAGACCCGATGTTTCAGCACAAAGTTCCTGAAACAAACAAATTCAGGAGATAGTGTTAAAATATGTTTGTATTCAACTTATATGATTAAACAATGGGCTCTATGCACAGCTAGTGTCTTTCAGCCATGAACTTCCGGTTAACAGTTAATGTGACTATTTTTTTAATTTTATAAGGTTCCTTTTACATCATCAGTGTTGTATTGTATTTATAATACATTCGGTTAAACAGGCTTAAGCATTTGTTTTGTTGTTCAAGTATAAAACAAGATGAAAGACCGTGTAACCACAAGCGCTGTCAGGATCAGCAGGCAAGTGCAGAAACTCCATTGAAAATACTGGGGTAAAATGAACTTTTTTCTTATTTTAAAGACATGGCAGGGGAAATAGAATTTAATACGGTGATACTTGTCCGGTTTGAGATCCCCCCTTATATCATATATCAATCAGGCAGTGAAAAATCACAGATTTTTATAGAAATCAGACCTTAAATGTGGCAATTTTATAATTGAAAGACAGTTCACCGTAAACGCTGAGGCTGACTAGCTGAAATTAAACGTCTGTGTGCATATACCTCATTAAAGAACATAATACTAGATGCCACACACGCCCAAATATGAAGGGATCCTTTTCTTAAAGTTAAAAGATTTATAAATAATGTCTGTATAAAGATCCAAATTATACTTTAATAATTTTAAATTAAAAATGGGTCTACATAAGTTACATTATGAATGTTTTTCCACTCCTTACATCACTGTATTTACTAATGTACACATTTACTTATTTATTTTAATCAAAATGTTATTCATTTGATTCTAAATTGTATTTATTTGGTTGATATCTAAAGGGTATATGCAGAAGTATTAGAAGGACTTTTAATTTTGCAGTAACCTGGGTCAAGCGCTTCCGGGGAACTGTATGCAATTACAAAATCGCCACGTTTAAGGTCTTTTTTCTTTAAAAATCCGATCCACTCCACTGCCTGATTGATATACAATATAAAGTGGGTCTCAGATTGTACAAGAATCACTGCATTAAATTACATTTTCCTCAACCATGTCTTTAAAATCTAAAAATTTACTTCAGTATTTTCAGTGGAGTTTTTGCGCTCGCCTGCTGATCCTGACAGGCACATGCATGCAAACGGCTTTTCATCTCGGTTTACGCTTGAAGTCCGTTTAACTGATTGTATTTTAATTACATTACAAAATCGATGCTGTAAAAGGAACCATAAAAACTTTTTTAAAAATCACATTAACCGTTCATCGGAAGTTTACTGCTATGGGAGGAAACACTAGCTGTGCATACACCCTATTTGTTTTATTTATATCAAATTCTGCACAAATAATAGATCAGAATATTTATTTATGATTAAATAAATATTTATCATTAATGATATCAACATATTTAATATTCATTTTTGTATTTATAATTATTAATTACTTTAAAATTTTACTTAAAGTAAAGATTTTTTACTTAAATTAAAAATTAGACCAATATTTTAGTATTTAAATTAATTACTGTTTTTTCAATGCACTCCCAGTGGACCCCAAATTGCAAACCTCTTCTTTACTTGAACATAAAGAATTCTAACACTATTATAAACCTGCCTTCCCACTACTCTGCTGTAATGCTACAGTATTGTAAATGTTGTTGCTACAGAGTTGGTAAGGCATTCTGTCATTATAAGAAAAAGTATGAATATTTAATGAAAACTGGACTAGAAAAGTGTTCAAATTTGATCAACTTTAAAACCAGACACTTATTAAAATTGTATTTTGCATAACATGTCTTTATTGCATTATACAAGGTTTTACAATAAATCAAACCCCAATACCCAAAACTTACCTCAGACAGGTTTAGCAAAAAATAAAAATGAAATAATAATCATTATAATAAAAAAATCCAATCAAACACTCCACAACTTCAGACTTCCAAAGCTTCTTCCATAGCTCCATTTTTCACAGAATTACATTTACATATGTGAGCTTACAAGAGCCAAACATGTTATTAGATTTCTTAACCAAAGTATGAAATTATATATTTTTAAAAGTTAATGAGATCCTACCTCTCTCTGTTTGACATGGGCTTCATTAAAAGGTGCTGGTAAAACTTGCTGCTGTCACTGGACTCTTCCTCCTTCCAACAGCAAAATAATAATACAGCATTAGAAAATGCACTTGTAGCTACTGCAGCCAACAATAGTGCATTTCAACTGAATGAACTGTCTCATACCCGCTTCTTCAGTGAGTGTTTGGACTTGCGTTTCTCTTTCAATCTTCCAAGTCTCCGGGCTCCGCCTCCAGATCCGGCCCCTTTAGCAGGCAGCCCATTGATTCGCTTGCTCTTGCCGCCAATGATGCCTCGGCAACCCTCTGAGCCACACTTGCAGACTTGCTGCATAGCAACAAGAGCAGAAAAACATTGTCATTTGGCAAGCATGAAAAAATATGCTGGACATCTAATAGAGGTTCAGTCCGGCAACTAGCACAAACAAGAACATCAACATTTTAAATATATAAAAAAGAACTGCAAAATGTATTTTAGCCTTATTAATGTGAAATAAATTAGAAATAGAATTTTAGCAACAGCTTAAAAAATAAAATATTATAGTGTATATAAAATAGTATTTGAAAACCCAACCATTTAAAGGATTAGTTCCCTTCCTAAATGAAAATTTCCTGATAATTTACTCGCTCAATTACCATTATTACCAAATGTTAATTAAGATTAAAAATGTATTAATTTTTAAGAATACGTGCAGGAGGTTTTCCCAATATAGTGGACTTCTACTGTGTTCAGAAGTTTAAACTACTAAACTGCAGTTTCAATGGAGCTTATACGACTAAATAGTTTTTTTTTAAATACTTTTAAATCGCAAAGCAATTGCATTAACCAGCTTTAGTGGTTAAAATGTTAATTTATTCCCTCTTTAAGGAAAATGTCACTTTATTTAAAAGTACAATTCATTTAGAGCCCTTTTAAACTACAATTTTGGTTATTTAAAAAAATCTACTTCAATAAACTCCTAATTTGCTGTTTATTAATAGTTATTAAAGGTTCAAGACACCCTGTAGTATTTATTGTTGTTGAGATTTTAACAGATTTGTGTGTGTTAAGCTTCATTTAAGACAACGTTAGCACCTGTAAGCTTTAACTGTGGGGAAAAATGGATAATTTTTAGCTTTTGTGAGCTAATTTCATCTTCCGGGTTTAAAATCATTATTAGGGTGAGATCAAAATCGGCGATGTAGCACTAGTGGAGTGATGACTGATGCGTTAGTTCTTTATTATTATTCATGGCTGACTTTTCTTATGCTACAAGACCCTGCTTAAATATTCATGACTGCATGTGCATTCTGATGACAGACTAAGATGGATAGACTACAGACCAACCATAACACGCAGTATTTAGCCGTTCATGAAGACTTGCATATTTGTTTCCATGATCCATAGAGTTTGTTGCAGGGCTTTTCCTGCGATTCTGTCAGGGCCGATACAGCCAACCTGTTTGTGTGCACCAAGCATTTTTGTCAGGAAAGCTGTAAGAGAATTGGAAAGTGGCGGACGTTGTCTTTTATCAGTTGAGTTTGTTACCATTCAGACAAACCTCTGTGCTGCTGTGTTCGCACATGTTTAAAATCCTCAAGATTACCGGCAGGGCTTGTGGTTGGAATAGATAGGTCAAAAAACCTGCTGCACTGCTATCCACACTGTCTGCGTTCAGACCCGGTGATTCAAGAGGAGAGAAATCCTCCTCATTTATAGTGTTTATATAAACATGATTATCTTTATAATGTTATAACAAATTGTGGTTATATGAAATTTCAAACAGCCTATTGTATATGTAATGCCATTAAATTACTTACTGTTTACTTCTTTGCATTCTAACTCTGTAAACTATAAAATCATGGGTCTCCTTGCGTTTTGTATTGAATTTTTTTTATTATCTTGAGCAGGTGAGCCAACTGACAAATCCCTTCTTTTTCCCCTGCACTGCCGGCCACGGCCCACTCCTGCCTCTGCTCGCAGAGCTCCACACGAAAGCATTTTTTTTTAAAATTCAGAGGTAGACTTGAACTGAAAGAAGGGGGGTTTCATAACCCTTTAAGAAGGTAGAGATCATGAGGAATATGTCGTTTGTAAGCACTAATAAACAGTCAATATCTTATTATAGGCAGATAATAAGCTCCTAGTTAATAGTAAAAATTTGTACTTAAACTAACAAGTTACCAAAATGACTTAACCTTTCCTTAGGTAACAATCTGATTCCTTGGCTAAGATCATTTAGAGCTATTTTAAACTGCATTGAAACCACAGTTCAGAAGACCAAACCACTAAGCAACATTAAAAAAAGAAAGTCCTTTAAAGTCTGCATGAACTTGAAGTTGCTGAGATTTATTTCAGTAGTGTTGATGCATTTCCAACTGAAACGGAATATTGAGTAGGGGGTGGGGCTTTTTATACACATCATTCGCTTAGAGCAAACTATCATTAAATATTAATATACAATTGCTATGGAAGCCTTCATGTTAACAGAATAACAGAAGAACCGTCACTCCAAATGCAGAAGATAATGAGGAGAATTTCATTGAAGATAACTAAAACAAAAACAAACTAAATGAAATTAAATTATTAACCTTAAGAATACTGTGAGCTGGCAAAATAAACACAGTGAATTTTGATTTCAGGCAGACTTTTTCCTCAAAATAAAAAAAGAAAAGATCTTCGAATCGCAAAGAAATGAGTAAAGTATCAGGAAATGCTCATTCTTGAAGTGAGCTAATCCTTTAATGGATGAAACAGTCATGTGGCAATGAGTGTTTAAATCAGCACTGCCGATCTGGACGAATGAAAAACAAGCGTTCCCTATTAAACACAGCTGCGTGTGTATGTGTATGTACATGCTCCACACAGGCATGTTCCTGACATGTGGGATACGGGTGGCCGACGTACTTGTTCCTCTGTGTTGAAGGAGTGGAAGTTGTAGTCATATGTCAGTTCCGTTCCGCTGTTGATGTCTTTTAGAGCAAACAGGCCAATTCGGTACACTCCGTTCACCGACCTGAGAGGAAAACAGGCAGATTCGTGACTCACCGTTCTACGGCAGTTAAATAGAGCTGTATAATATATCAATTTAGGATCAATACAGTGACGCAAACATTTGTGATAGTCATTATTTTATTGTATTTATCTACTCTTGTAGTTTATTATATTTTAAGCGCATGCAATCCTATACAAAATTACCCCAAACATTCTAAAATAATGAATTCTTTATGATTAGAGCAAACCTGAGGAAATTATTTTCATATTTTAACATACAGGGGTTGGACAATGAAACTGAAACATTGACCAATTTAGTGTTGGAGGTTTCATGGCTAAATTTGACCAGCCTAGAGGCCAATCTTCATTGATTGCACATTCCAATAGTAAGAGCAGAGTGTGAAGGTTTAATTAGCATACTTATATGTGCACCTTAACTCTCCTGTTTCCACCAAAACTGTTCATTGGGAGTTCCGTGGGGTAATTATACAAGGCCAGGCTGCTATAATCAAACCTTTAGTCACTCGTGTCAATGTAACATGTCAGTTTCAATGGTGCCATTAGCAAAAATCTTAAACTGAGGACAATGTGAAACATGTATTGTTCTCCGATGAGTCCACGTTCACCGTCTTTCCCACATTTAGTAGAGTTATGGTGTGGAAAACTCCCAAAGAAGCATACTACCCAGACAGTTGCATGCCCAGAGTAAAGAATGAGCGTGGATCAGTGATGGTTTGGGCTGCAGTATCATGGCATTCCCCATGTCCAATACTTTTGCTAGATAGGCGCGTCACTGCCAAAAACTACCAAACCATTCTGGAGGACTGTGTGCACAAAATGATTCAAACATTGTAGCCTGAAGGTGGTGCTATGCATCAGAATGATAACGCATCAATACACACAGCAAGACTGATGACAGAGTGGTTCGATAAGCATGAAAGTGAAGTTAAATATCTCCCATGGCCTGCACAGTCACCAGAACTAAATATTATTGAGTCACTTTGGGGTGTTTTGGAGGAGCAAGTCGTGAAATGTTTTCCACCAAGAGCATCACATAGTGACCTAGCCACTATTCTGCAAGAAGAATAGCTCAAAATCCCTCTGGCCACTGTAAATAACTTATATCTGTCATTCTCAAGACAAAATGACGCTGTAGTGGCATCATCTACTATAAAAAAGTCCCTTATTATTGTGGTCTAAAAACCATTTGTTTCAGTTTCATTGTTCCAGCCCTATACATCACAGAAACCAATACAGACACCACAGACACCAGTATTTTCCACATATCATGCATCACTACAGTTGAGCTTTTAAAGTATAAAATGTTTTGTTACTGATCCAGTTGTGTTCTTTAATATGTTTGTGAAAAACAAGAATCATTTGTATGACCGTTTAATGGAGCTTTAATTATAGCTTATATTTATTTGATGTAGATTTTTTTTAACACAATCTTAACTATTATCTTAATTATATGCGTGCTTATTTAATAAATGTATTTATATTTTTCTGTGTTACCACATTAAAAGCCTTCTCTGTTTAGCCTTTTGTAGCTATATTGAGTCTTGAGCGTCAAGCCTCGAAATAAAATGAACTCAAGCCATCATCACGTCAGCCAAAATCAGAGCTTTGGACTTGATACTGAGCAACTAGGCTGAGTTTGCATTATGCAATAAGTTGGAATGAGGCCATTTTGGCACAGATGTGTGTGTGTGTGTGTGTCTGTGTGTGCTAACAGCTAACCACTGGGCAGCACAGCTGTGTCCCCCACCCTAAAACACAAGCTTCAGATAATCGCTCTTGTGTGACAAGATGGATGATCTGCCACCATCCAGCCTACAAGCACAGGATTTAATGCGTGTATGTGTGCACGAAAGAGAAAACAGTGCAAAAGATGAAAGAGATAACATTTTCTCTGCAGACTGTGTGAGCTCCAACACACAACTTGTGAGTGTTAACCTAGATCCTGCGTTCACGATCCTTTTGCTAATATACAACCCTTCATAGTTTAACAAATTAATGTTTGACAAACCTTTTTAAAGGAATAGCTCAACCAAAAATTTACATTTACTTACCATTTATTCCAAACTTATATTCAACTGTATAGCCATTTTTCACCAGAAAAATCACTTTGGGTACATTATCAAAAGCAGAAATGTGTTTAGGTGTATACACTACCTGACAAAAGCCTTGTCGGCTATCCAAGTTTAGGAACAACTAACAATAACTTTGGTTGATCCTTTGGTATCAGAAGTGGCTCATATGAAAGGCAAAGGCCTCTAGATTATGTTAATTTTACCAAAATAAAATATGATCATGCCTTGATTTTTAGTTATTTCATTAAGACAGTAAGGTCTGACTTTGCTTAGATAAAAGTCTTGTCACTCAACTGAAATAATGTCCAGTATAGAATATAAAGTCATGGTGCAGTGGAGAAAGAATTAATATTGTGTGTGACTCCCATGAGCTTGGATGAGCATCCATACATCTCTGCAATCACTCAAATAGCTTAGTCATCTGGAATGGCAAAGTAAGTGTTCTTGCAGTTCATCAAGATTCTTTGGATTCATCTTCAATGCCTCCACCTTCATCGTACCCCAGACATGCTTAATAATGTTCATGTCTGGTGTCTGGGTTGGCCAATCCTGGAGCACCTTGACCTTCTTTGCTTTCAGGAACTTTGATGTGGAGGCTGAAGAATGAGAAGGAGCACTTTTCCAGATGAAGAATTTGCCCCCTGCTGTGATTTACAAAGTAATTTGCAGCACAAATGTCTTGATACCTCAGGCTGTCAATGTTGCCATCCACTCTGCAGATCTCTCGCACAACCCCATACTGATCGCAACCCCAAACCATGATTTTTCCTTCACCAAACTTGACTGATTTCTGTGAGAATTTTGGGTCAATGCAGGTTCCAATAGGTCTTCTGCAGTGTTTGTGATGGTTGGGATGCAGTTCCAGTGGGAAGGCTTTTGTCAGGTAGCGTAGTATCATCTGTACAATTCCTGAATTGTATTGTAAAACTGTGCAGCTAATTTTGCACAAAATGTAATATCTACACGTATGTATGAAGTTTTTCAAAGAACAGATCTTTACTTTAATTAAGTATAAAAGTTTCTTTTCTTTGTTGAACACAAAATAATATCATTTAAAATATGATGGAAAACTAATAGACATTGACATCCACAGTAGGAAAATGATTACAGGTTTATCTTTTTATGTTCAACCGAAGAACGAAATTCATGTTTGGAGGAATTTAAGGGGTGATGAAAGAAAATAGAACTTTTATATTTAGATTAAGCTATCCCTTGAACACCTTCTGTACACTTTCGAAATGACTATGACTTGTTAGTAATACAGCAATTTCTAAAGAATACAGTCATTGCTTGCTCAGTGTTGGTGGTTGTCCACATACCTGGTGACTCAGCATACAAAAATGACCATTGGGTTTCTGAACTCATCAAAAGCTGATGGGATTTTATTGAGTGACTCATCCATGGTCTCATTTTTACTCACCATTTCTGCATCTCACAGTTGGGCTCGCAGCTGTGGTTGACAAAGCGAGCCTCGTTGCCCATGCGGTAGCTATCGATGACCATGCCGCTGTCCAGATTCAGGCAGTAGTGGCCGCTGTGAGAGAAGTACTGCTCCATCATGCGACTCCTAAACACACACACACACACACACACACACACACACACACACAAAAACACATGATACAATTCTAGAAAACTGTTAACAATCAAGGTATTCATATAATCAAACCGGCATAATATGTGAAAAGCGTGAACATGCTGAATGACAGAGGATTGTGAGTATTTGTACAGTGGATGTCCCACAAATTGCTAGTCTGAGTTTTGCTTTAGGTAATGTGTAAAAGGTAAAAAATAATTCACATTTATAATTCCTCCTTTTTTCTGAAAACTGCAACATTTAAAGGATTTGTTGGGAGTGAGGGGAACTAAAAATACATGTCAACAATGTCTGTAAATATTACGTTTTGTGGCCAATTTGCAATAATTTCAGTAAAAAATGTGACTTACACACCAATCTGCTTTTTATTTTCCCCCAACATTGGAATTTTGACTTGGTGCAACCTACAGTCAGACGCAATGTATTTTCTGGAAAATATGACAAAATCAGTTGATCATTTGATATGAAATATGATATAATAATATGAAACATTTCATGGAATTATTGTACCTGTTTAATATTTATAATTCTTAATGGATTCTCTTTTTAATTTAAAAAAATAAATTTTATATTTGTTTAAATGCCATATCAGCATCATCGGCTACATTCAATATATAATTTACAATCATAACTGTTTCTTAAAAAAATACATTGTACCAACACATACAAATAACAACACTGATAAAAAGTCATAATAGATCTTTCAATTAGATCAGTGATAAATAGTCCAAAAGTCCTCCAGAATAAACATTTTAAACATTTCCCTAAATAAAAACCTTCTCTTATTTAATTAAAAAAAGTACACTACCTGACAAAAAGTCTTGTCGCCTATCCAAGTTTTAGGAACAACTAATAATAACTTGACTTTTAGTTGATCATTTGGTTTCAGAAGTGGCTTATATGAAAGGCAAAGACCTCTAGATTACGATAATTTTACCAAAATAAAATATGATCATGCCTTGATTTTAAATTATTTAATTAGGACAGTAAGGTCTGACTTTGCTGAAATAATGTACAATATAGAATATAAAGTCATGGTGCAGTGGAGAAAGAATTAATATTGTGTATGACTCCCATAAACATGGAGGACTGCATCCATACATCTCTGCAATCACTCAAATAGCTTAGAGCAGGAGTCAACAAATCTCGTTCCTGGAGGGCCGGTAGAGTTCATCAAGATTCTTTGGATTCATCTTCAATGCCTCCTCCATCATCTTACCCCAGACATACTCAATAATGTTCATGTCAGGTGACTGGGCTGGCCATTCCTGGAGCACCTTGACCTTCTTTCCTTTCAGATCTTTGATGTGGAGGCTGAAGTATGAGAAGGAGCGCTATCCTGCTGAAGAATTTGCCCCCTGCTGTGATTTACAAAGTAATTTGCAGCACAAATGTCTTGATACCTCAGGCTGTTGATGTTACCATCCACTCTGCAGATCTCTTGCATGCCCCATACTGAATGCAACCCCAAACCATGATTTTTCCTTCACCAAACGTGACTGATTTCTGTGAGAATCTTGGGTCCATGTGGGTTCCAATAAGTCTTCTGCAGTATTTGGGATGATTGGGATGCAGTTCAACAGAGGATTCATCTGAATACTCTATCTCATGCCACTTTTCCAAATTATCAACTAGAAGTCAACTTATTTCTTGTTTCTCTTACAACTGAGATCGATGACAAGACTTTTGTCAGGTAAAGTACATTCCATTAAAATACGTTTTATAGTCTAAATATTTTTACACAAGCTACAAACAGGTTTTTCTTCCCCTTTCAATAAATATAACTGAGCAAGTCTTGTGTGGCCGAATGTACAACCAGGTCATGTCCATTTTAAAAAGATTTATTTCCAGCAATATTCATTCTGCATCTTATATTCATGAATTCTTTCTAATAAATATTTGGGGGAATTAACCTTTTTTGTACTAATACACTAATGCAACCTAATTCTACCGTGTTTAGATGCTTCTTTTTTGTCTCATTTTGCATAGTTTTAATCAATGACAATAATGGTTGTCATTTAATAGTCTTCTAGTTTTGAAATGTCCATGATCTCCACCTAGTCATATTACACATTATATAATAACCTGACTGTTTATAATAATAGAGTTGTTGTTATGATGTAATAACAACAACTAGTTTCAAGGAACAAGAACACTGTTCAATTATTAATTTAAACAAAATACTGAAATAGAAGAGAGTACATTTTATTTAAATAATTTTTTTACATTTTTATCATAATGTTTGGCAAAATTGACATCATTTGATCATCAATAAGACCATCATAGACAACAACATTATTATTGTAACTTGTTCCATAGTTCTATTTAAGACCAGTACATTTTTTAAGGCCAAAATGTTGATTTGTCAATTCAAAACAGATACCCAGAACATGCATTCTATGTGGAGAAAAGTCTTGAGAACTGGGACTGGCCTAGAAACATGCTGGTGGAAAAGTGTTATTACTAGTTTAAAGCCAAAATTTGTCTAACCTGAACTCTTGTTCGCTGACCACCTCTCCCAAGTACTCGATGATAAATTGGCCGGCACGAAGGGGCTGCTTGGTCCGGATGCCCCAGCCCTTTCCCTCAGCTCGGAAGCGCTCGAGGCACTGAACCCACTCATGCTTCTGGATCCGCTGGTTATCGCACTGATCGGAACACGGACACGTACTTGGAGAGCACTCGGCATAAATCATCCTGAGACAGACACACATGAGACCAATGTGATCTACTTGGTTGAGGTAAAACTGCACTCAAGGGTAAGCACAGGAGAAGGAAACATACTAAGACACACAAAGCCAGTGTTTTTTTGCCTTATTATAAAAACTAAATTCTGTAAACATAGAATGTTAGTAATGACTAAATCCAACCTAAATAATGTAATATACATTACCAGACCAGTATGTGGTGCTCCAAGGCCCCGATCAACCAATACTGAGTTCGAAATTGCTTACTTCAATACTATATAGTACGCTAAAAACAGTATGCGAGCCGAGTAGTATATCTGAATTGATAGTATTCGAAAAATGAGAGTACCCGGATGATTCACTACTTCCGATGAGATTCTGAAGTTTGCATCTTATGAAAGCTACGCTATCCCATTATGCTATGCAAGAGAATTCGTGAATAGGAGTAAAGCGATGCAACTGACGCAGATGGGTCATGTAATCAAAACAAAATCGCGGATGTAGAGAATGAGTTCCATTCATACTACTCCCATTCATGCTATATACAACATACTTTTCCAACAGTCGAGTATTAAATTTGAATTAAAATGTACCAAATGAATAGTAGGCGATTTCGGACGCAGACAAAGTGTTTTTGCTGTGATAAGCACCATTATTTGTTTTCTAAGCATCTGCCTTATGTTTTTGACACACTCTAAGCACATACAACTAAAAAAAATCCACTGACGTCACACTCTCCAGCATCAAAATCATTGATACAGTGGTTGCCAGCAACATTAAAAAGTGCAGTGCACTGCTCTTTTCTAAAGTGAAGGAAAAGATAGTGACTGCGCCTCACTTTTTCAGAACTGATAAATGGATTAATTTTGCCATAAATATACCCAAAGCAACTTAAATGCCAGACCAGTATGCCGTGCTTTTATTCTGCGACAAAGATACACAAGCAATAGAGAAGCCTTCTGCATATGCATAAATTTAATAGAAGATTTTATCTACTCTAGGACCCAGTTAAAACAATTGTTTTTAATACCAGATCCACATGGATAAAATGCCAATGAGATACTTAATGATGGCGTATATATTTAAACACATCTCCTTGTGGACAAGGCCTAAAATCCAAAATGAAGATCTTTGATAATGTCACCTGTTTAGACAATCATCTTGACAGCCCTTTTCACTAGAGTCGTCAGGCAACCTGCAGTTACAGGTAGTGGCTTCATAGCCAGAAAGAGGCTTCACATCCACATAGACATCTAAGAGGAGAAATATAAACACAGCACTCTTGAACATCTGCAAGCATATTTATGCATTAATGAGGTGCGAAAAACAAGAGCAGCAAAGTCAAGAAGGAATCATCAACTCCCGGCTCTGTCAAATCAAAATATATTTATGGAAACACATGCATATTGTGCACTGCTGACTTCTTAGGCAATAGTCATAAATAGTGAAAATATCCTTACTGGATCTGATCTTCTTGTAGAGAGGCACGTCAGGTCTCTTGTAGAGCTATAAAACAAAAATCCACCTTTTAGTATGAAGTTTTAAGCAATAACAGGCATTAAACTATTATTATAATTTTAGAATCAGCTTGATTTTGAAAACTGAATTTGTGTTTATTTTAAACCCTTTTGTCAAATATTTGCATCAATAACAAGCAATACATTTTTAAAACTTATCGGCAGAACAAGAACATTTTTTAGCCCATCACTGAGTCTATTTATTTACATGTGTAAATATAAGTTATTATATTCATTTCAGTCATGTTAATAACTAATGTCCAAATATTTTGAGGTGGAATGGTATTGCCTCGCAGCAAGAAGGTCGCTGGTTCTACGCGTATTCACATGGGTTTCCTCTAGGTCAGTGGTTCTCAAACTTTTTTCATCAAGTACCACCTCAGAAAAAAATTGTCTCTCCAAGTACCACTAAAATGAGCAGTATTGAAATACCAACAGAATCTCACGGCAATTCGTAACTTTTTCATTTAGTGGCTAATTCGTATGAATTCGTACGATCTAATTCGTACAATTTAGTACGATTTGCTTATCCCCCAATGACGGTTGGGGTTAGGGGTGGGGTCAGGTGCCACACTTCCTTTTTAAAATCGTACCATTTCGTACGACTGAACTCGTACGTATTCGTATGAATTAGCCACTAAACTGGCAAAACGTAAAATACTTACGTTTTCTCGTGAGATCAGGCTGGAAATACAGTAGCGTTGTAGGCTCAGTAAAGCGGCTACAACTCTGCTCAGTTAAAAAACGTGGCAGATTACCTCAGGAATATAGGCTATATGTCATATATAGCATATTATATACATCATTTTTGATAAATTTTGAAATATATGTAGCATGTACATGACATATTTCATTCCTCCGCGTACCACTAGAAGGAAGCCCGTGTACCACTACCACTGCTCTAGGTGCTCCGGTTTCCCCCACAGTCAAAACTCATGCGCTACAGGTGACTTGAATAAACTTAATTGACTGTTGTGTATGTGTGTGAATGAGTGTGTATGGATGTTTCCCACTACTGGGTTGCAGCTGGAAGGGCATATGCTGCATAAAACATACGCTGGAATAGTTGGCAGTTCATTCTGATGTGGTGACCCCTGATAACCAGGGACAAAGCCGAAGAAGAATGAATGAATGAAATGTTTTGATTTATTTCCAATACAATCTGTTAAGTAATATTTCCTGTGCTTTATTGTTATATTATATGGGAGACTTTTCTGTTTAACAAACAAATGGATCTAATTTTAAATAGATCTTTAACTTATTAATTTTAAAGTCATTATTTTTTATTGATTTTTTTTTAGGTTTTTAGTTACACTACACCCCAAAACATTCTGCATACATCTGCATATTTGTTTTTTAACTTCTGCTCAGTAACAGCAAGAAATGTCTGCAGATTCTGTTGTCTGCCCCTTTTAATGGTGTAAGAAACATTAACTTAATCAGGGTATATGCAGGAATCCTAAAGATAATTTCACTACCTTTTGAGACCTAATCAAAATAAAAGACCTCATCGCCACTTCAAGTTGTAACCAGTATCAAACCTTTAACTTAATAAACAGTTGTTAATAAACAGTTGTAGTTAAATAAATCAATGAAAGAAAAAAAAAATTATAATAAAAATAAATAAATAAATAAATCAATAGAGCACAACCATGCAACACTCAGATAAGCTCATTACACGGTTGTTTTCAGCGAGAGGCTTCAGCCACTGTTTAAACTTGTCTTTCTCCAACCAGGAGTAGGCAATCTTATTTTCCCGTTTTGCCGTCTGTTTTGTTCTATGGTTTTGCTACATGTGAAGAGTGTCACATGATCTTCCCGCGTTTGTTCTAAATGACATGACATCACCTGGATGGAAGAGCTTGGCCGGACACATCTCGGCCCGAACTAATGGAGCCCGCCGTTGTTAATATTAGGAGGAAAATTAATATATTTATACTTTTTTGAAGTCAAACACTTTGGAAAACACTTGAATAAAATGTAAGACCTCATAAAGACGCGATTAAGACATTTTAAAACTTTTTAAGAGCATTAATAATCTTATAATTGATTTATTAAGTTTATTACTTTTTAAGACCCCGCGGACAATCTATTAATGCAATGTATTCTTTGAAAAAAGAAAAAAAAGTGTTTGTAATATTTGTTTGTGGAAAGCAAGACAAAAACACTGCTCAATAAAACGATTTTAAAGTGAAAACCATGACAATGACAAAAGCAGTTGCCAACTCAGGTAAAGATGTGGTTGTAAGTGGCTACCTGATCATGTTTCCAAAGCCACAGGATGTCGTAAGGCAGCTGGAAATCAATGCGTTTCTGTCTCAAGTATTTCCCTGGACAAACACCGAAGACAAATTGCAGTTATTAATTCAATCTCTTTGTCCTTTAACTTCAGGCTGCGCCATTCCAGTATTGAATCAACTAATCACCTCATAACTCATAAACCATAACTAATCAGCCTGATTGCCCATGAGGCCTTACATAATGAACTGGCTGGGAACGACACTGCACACTCAAATCAAGTTTTATTTGTTGAAACGATAGTGCTTTAAAATACCAATTCACACCACACCAGCAAACACTTTGTGGGGGTTTTTCCCCTGTTAGTATCTGGTTTTCACCAACTGAACATGCTGAATCAACTCTTGCTGGGTTGCAGAATTTCTGAGAAATCAGGTGGAGTGATCTGCTAGTCTTCCATGTTTGTTAGAGTCTGTTGATGTGGTGTGCATAGGCCTTATTGCTGAAACAAGATCGTAACTCCAACTCTCAAGCAAACTGCAAACAGATATTGGGCTAAATTTAGGCAGGTTAAAATTTGTAGAAACTCACCAACATGAATGGGAGCAGGAAGAAGGCCATAGTCATGTTCACCTGGAGTGTATTCTAGCTTCTCTTTCTTTAACTGTAGCAGCTGACTGCGAGGACTGAAGGGGAAATGGAGAGAGGTTACATTTATTTACCAAAGATATAAAGATTAGATAACAAGACAAGCCTACTGAACATGCTAATTCTTACTCATCAGTCTTGTACACATCAGAGTAAAGTCCCGCCTTTTGAAACTTCTTTTTGGGTGGTCTAGCAACTCTCTTCTCACGTTGGCTGGTCACTGATGGGTTTGGGGTTGGTTCCGAAGTAGCAGGGCCTGGGCGCTCAGGGGAGCCATCAGGTTTTCCCTCCAGTGCACTGCAAAATTTATTATTAGAAGAAGAAGTTTGTGGCCATAAAATCAATTGACTTAGATTATAATCTTTTTCCTAGCAACCTAGAGTCAGACATTGTAGATCAGACTTGTTCTGCATACCTGCGAAAACAGTGCACTTCTTCCTGGGTCAACCATTGCCTGCTTCCTTCTGTTCTAACTCTCGACATTACATCGTCTTCTCTAGCAGCTGACTGTTGTTCTTGTTCTTCGTCTTCTTCTTCTTCTTCGTCCTCCACCTGTCTTTCTTCCTCCGCATCCTCCTCTTCTTCATCACCTCCTTCAGTCTCCCTTTCCCAGTGCTTCCGCTTGCGTCCCTTTTTGCGCTGGTTCTGTACGACAGCCTCAATGGCATCAACTACAGTATCTGCCTCCCAGAGTGCAGTTGCTCGGTGCCTTTCAGGTAATGGGTGGTTGTCTTGTTCGGAAGTCTGTGGTGGGGGTGTTGCAGGAGGTGAGGGCAGCGGGTTCTTGCGGGGACGTCCTGGACCCCGTTTTTTCACCATGTTGTTCCCTGTACGTGCTTGCCTTTGGAGCTTCTTTGCACGGAGGATCTTGTTGACATGAAGCAGGTTGTTTTTGGGAGGGGGCCGGTGGGAGAGATGTGAAGGTGGGGAATCAAGGCAGCATGCAGGCTGGGAGGAGCATGTGGATGGACTAGCTTGGCGGCTGGAGGGCCGGAGTGGTGCAGTGTTTCCAGGCTGGTCTAGAGTGCAGTGCGGCAGGCAAGAGGCAGCGTGCGAGAGGGATAGAGGAGGGTGGTGGTGATGGTGGTGCCGATGATGGAGACCCTCAGAAACATCAGGAACACTGGATTGGCCAACTCTGTTCTGCAAGCTAGATACATTCCCTATAAGATTAAAACAAGAGAGTTGAAGTGCAGAAATATTATTCACAATTCCACAATTTAGAAGAGCAACAAAAAAATGATGTGACGTCAACCAATATACCACCAACCCTGTTTGGATAATCAAGTTGTCAAAAGGCAAACTTATCTCCATTTTAATATTTACAGAGACAATTCTAATGGAAACAATGAGCAACATAATTCCATTCAAAAATAAAGGTTAGACCTTTATAGAGAGCAAGATGCACTAACACTTGAGTATCTCTTCTAAACCAACTATAATCCAATTTTTCTCCATATCACCTAATGGTCAAATTCTGATGTAGCAGAAAATAATCATCTCACAGACTCAGCAAAAAGCAGCTACATGCATTCATTTGTGCAGAGCCTCATTAACTCTGTTCCCTCTATCCCTCATTATCTGTTTAATTAACTTACTCTCAGTCTAACTCACTTTCAACACAGTCTAGTCTATTATTTTCGATTCATCTTATCTATTCATCAGTCATGCTCTTCCTTTCACATCTTTATTTTTTTTTTTTTACAATTACACTTTGGAAGACGAGTTGCATGTCTTGAGCACTTATTTCAGCTTTGCTGAAATCACATAATAATGCCTGCCTTGAAAGCACCAATTACTATATTTGGGTTCCAATTCATCAACTAACTCTTCCTTTCAATCACATCTTATTCATGACCTTGGTCTTATTCTTATTTTTTCCCAGGTCCCATTTTCCTCCCGCACTTAATCCTCCTCCTTTACTCGTTTTCATCAGTTGCTTGCTCTTGCTGCTACAATGAATTAATGGTGCAGTCAATGGCCGTTGGATGACCTTATGTCTTGAGCTCTAATCCTGGATTACATTCTACACTTTGCTGTCTCACTAGGGACCCTCTATGCACAAGCACATATACACAAACACACTGTCAATCCATCTTGAGAGTCTGCATTGTTATGAAAACTGCTCCATTACACCTGGTTCAGTAATGTTACATTTGAACCAGTTTGTGCATGAGTAAGGATAAGGGCGTTTAGCCATAAAATGCTTGAATATGCAAGGTACCTATGTGGAAATTCCCTGCAGCTAGAGTGCAAAGGAAATTATATTCCAACTAGCCATTAGGAATTATGTTTTTTGGGACTTTTAAAGACAAGCTGCAGCTCTGACCATTCTTGCATCAACCTCTTTAGGTTAAAAGAAGTCATTTAAAGCAAAAAACTGTAAAACTATAAAAATCAATATGAAACGCTGACAGGAAGTACTAATCATTCAATTGTGACATGCATTAAAGCAAGAAAACACAAATAGATTTTAAGCAAAAAACCATGGAAGACATCAAGGTAAAATAATTTTTGGAGAGTGACTACATTTACTGCATTAATTCTGCAACCTTTGCAATATCAAATTAACTAGTTCACCAGATAAGGCTCAAGTACAGATTTGCATTTGTTCATTTGACAATGTAAAAAAAAGCTGATTTTCTCACCAATTTCTCTTTTCTCTGAAGATGTTGAACGATCCCTTCTAACCGTCCTGTCCAACCGTGAGAGACTGGGACTCTCTAATGGTCCACCTTTTTTGCTGCGACTTCCTTTGAGGGAGGTCCTTGATAGTGCAGATGCAAACAGGTTTGTGTGATGGCTGATCTCTGGCTCTTCAATGGGGGAAGCAGCATCTTCCTCATCACTCTCTGAGCAATCCACTGGATTTTGCACATGTCCTTCAGAGAATGCACCAGACCCCGAAAAAGACTGGTTTCTAGAGAGCTTGGAGTAATCAGTATCAGAACTTCCCATTCTGAACCAGGAGTCAACAGGATGATGTCCCCGACTTGCAGTGCCCAAAGACAGTCGTGAGGGCCCAAGACAAGACATAGAGGCCTCTTTTCGCTTGTACCGTTCTGCAGAGGATGTGGAGGAAGAGGAAGGGGAGTTGGCAGAAGCTGACTGTTTGTTAGTTCGGGAGTCAGCAGAGCCATCTCGTCCAAACCGGCAGTGCTGCAGGGACTCTACGCTCCCTCTCTCCCCTCTTCCGGCCCCCAAGCCCTCACCTCCAACACCTCTGCCTCCTATACCACCTAAAACTCCACCACCATCATCACCCTCCTCTTCTCCACAGCGATCACGGTGTTTGTGCCTATGCTTGTGTTTGTGGTGCCAGCCAAATGACAGCTCAGATGACATGGCAGGATAGAGCATGGATGAACGACCACCACCTAAATACTCTTGCCTAAGTAGCTTATGTTTCTTCTTGTGAAATTTGGAGGGGTTAAGAAGCAGGTGGGATGGGTGATGATGATGCACATAAGAAGGGGGTGGAGGTGGAGGAAAAGATGGTGAATGAACATGGTGGGATGGGCCAGAGTGGGGAGCCTGGTGATGAGGATGGGGGTACAGGGCACTTGGTGGGGTATAACCACGATAGTAACCAAGTCCCAGTGGGGTAGAAGAGTATGGGACACCATAAGAAGGGTGATAGAAACCTCCACTTGAGAGGGGAAAGCCTAAACCAGGTACAAAAGGTACTTCTGATATGGATTCCCGAAGCTTAGGTGGTCGACCTCTTTTCTTTTTAAGATCTGGCTTACGAACGTAATGAAGTGAATCACATGGGTAGGCTGGGTGGGGTGAATAATACCCACTAAAATTTATCCTGAATATTGTGGGTAATAGATCTCTATGCAGATAGTGATGGGGTGGTGGATTGGTTCCGCCTCCAAGGCTGCTGCTAGGTCTGGTACTTCCCAAGCCAGACCCACGGCCAGGACCAGCCCCGGCACCCAAACCTATGCTGCTGCCCAAACGAAGTGTAGGTGTTCGATGAGAAATTCGTATATCACTAAGCTGCACACATATCTCATCTAAATCAGCCAAAAAATCTGGGTCTTGTCTGCGGGACCGTAGCTGCAGGTACTTCTTCTTGCGTTTACGCTTTTGCCTTTTTAGTTTGTCATAGCTAGGGCAGCCATGCCCACGACGCTTGCACTTATGCTTGTGTTTCTCTTTATGTCCAACCAAAGCAGAAGATGGGGCAGCAGGGTGCGATCTTCTTGGGTCAGGTGATGCTCTCACTCCAAGAGGTGAGGGTGTAGGTGAGGGACGTTCTAGAAGAACTGAAGATGAGTGCCTCCTCCGACCTCTCGAAGAAAGTCCAATTCCCGTTCCAATACCTGGACCTATGACTCCAGGCATTAAGAGTCCACCTGCCATACCCTGTGAGACCCCCACACCAGGTAAGCCATTGGCACTTCCAGCTTTTTCCCCACGGTCAGAGGTGCTATTATTGTCTGTTCCAATGCCACTGTCACTGGGTACAGTCTCTTCACTGTGTGATTCACTCACTGGAGAAGGTGTGGCTTCTTTCAGCTCACTCAGTGGAGCTGGAGACGTTGGCAATAGTGGCCTTGGAGGAGAAAATTTTCGATAATGATAGTGCTGCCGGTAATGGTGGTGGTGATGATGGTAACCCCGGCAAGAGGACTTCTTCTGAGATGGGTGTGCAGTGGATGTTGCAGCACTTGCTACAGATCGAGCAGAGGGGGCTGAAAAAGTAGGCGGTGGAAATGAGAATGAGTGGTGGACCTGATGAGAATGACTGCAGTGTGGGTGAGATGAGAAATGCACTGAGCCAGGCTCTACAAAGCTAGCATCACTAATGGGGCTTTGGCCCCCACTTGACTGTGATAGTGATGGGGAAGGAAACACCTCAGATGGAGGCAACTGGTGTGGTTGGTTTTGTAAAGCCTGCACCTGGTGATGATGAGGGGATGAAGTGTTTGGTGATAAGAAAGGCTCAGGAGGGGGTGTGGGGGCACCTGGGGAAGGATTAGTTGATGTTTTTGGCTTACGACCCCTTCTTTTACCCATATATATTGTCCCCTTTTTGCTTACATTAATCTGGGGCCCTAATTTGCCACCAAATGTAGCAGCAAGTGATGTCAGGGACTGTGGTTTTGTAGCAACCGGAGACCCTGTTGGCCCACTGCTTCTTGAGCATTCCTGCTCCTCTGCTGGTTTTGGCCCAAGCAGTATTTGGCTGAGGAGCCTCTTCCGTTTTACTGTCTTCATTTTATTGATTTTGCCTATGATCGTCTTCATAATGAGCTGCCCATTACCCTTATTACGAAAAGGTTTTTCCCCAACTGATGCTTCCCCTGACTCAGGAGCAAGAGTCGGAGGCTGGGTTTCTTGAGGAAGAGTTGGAGGTGAGCGCTTGGGTCGCCCTCGCTTTCTTGCCATCATTTTAGGTGGATTAAAATCCACTTCAGGGTGCAAAACAGGGGGGTCCTGCTCTTCCTTAGACTTGAGCAGACTGGAGAAGGATTTTGAAGGTGCCAACTTGTTTGGGGTGCAGCCATGTGCTGGTGCATCTAATCGAGGCATTTTGGTCTTTGGACGTCCTCTCTTCTTGGGCGAAGAATCGAAAATATCAGAATCCTCTGGGGATGTGTAACTGTCACTGAGAGGCTGCTCCACAGACTCCCGAATAGGGGATGAGAAAGAAAGCCCTGAGGGCATTGGTGTGGGGATTTGCTGATGGTTAGAAGGAGACTCATGTAAAGACTTGTGGGTGCGACTCACTGCCTTCGTCCAGCGAGGTCGTCGTCCTCGTCGCTTCTTAAGAGGTTTTGAATCCTGCTCAGATGGTGATGCAGGAGAAATAGCCCCGGTGTCATCGCATAGTGGTGGTGGGCTCCTGCTGGCACCAGAAGGGTATGAAGGAGAAATAGTGCATTTGGTGGACTCAGCAGGACTTGGTACCCCACTAACGCGACTTTCCTGATTGGGACTACGTTTGACTGGGCTTGAGCTCTTACCCCTGTCATTTCGAGGAGCTGATAAAGAACACCTTTCTTTTGCATCCTGCTTCCCAGTTATAGCTGGAGTGATACCTTTACTTAAATCTCTTGGACTGTCTGTGTCCTTTTCCCGGTCACGTTCTTTGTCTTTCTCACTAAAATCCTCTATTCGAGAGGGGCTTGCTTTAGGGCGTGAGGTTAGAGAGCCTGGCAAACCTATGTTACAGCTTGTACTTCCTATTCTCTCTACGGAGGATGAAGAAGAAAATGGAGGTGAAGCAGCTGCGGATGAAGAATGAGATGGGCAATGCCCAAGACGAGACTGAGATTTCATTCCATCTGTGTTGTTAATGTCAGTGCTTTCATTTGTGGATGTTGTTGTCGTCAAGCGACTGCTGTTTTGAGACAGTGCTGAACTAGTGGTGGTGGTGGTTGTGCTGCTGCTACCGGAGACCCCTTTTGAAAGTCCATCTGATTCCTCTTTTTTAGAAGTTCCAGAAAATTTCTCAAGGATACTGTCTTTGTTTTTAGACCCATATGGGCGACCAGGGGGCCGTGATACAGGTGGTGGTTGGGCGAGGTGAACCGCCCTGGAATAGGTGTTTCTATTAGCCATTGCCCGTTCAGGGCGCTGCAGATTAGAAATTAACGGAGGTGAGCTACTGTGTGCTGGAGCTGGCGATACCTTTCGGGCTTTTGGCTTAGGGCACTTTGAAGGTGGGCATGTAGCTATGAGCTGAGCAAGTTTTTCAGTTACTGTAGGGGTACCCCAAGAAGAAATCCCTCTTTCTTGTTCCTTCTGCCCCTCCAAAAAATTGCATTGAGGCGTTTTTAAGATTCCATCTATTTTAGGGTCCTGTTGCGAAGTGGCAGCTGGGGGCACTGCTGGTGGAGATGGGGCAGGGGCAGAGTTTGTTTGTGGAACATGGTTTTTCTTTCCAGAGGAGTGTGATTTACTTTCTGTCGTGGGGCGATGGAGATTAAGAGGTTTCTCTGATGAAGCAACAGATTTTACGTCAGCCTTTCCCTCTGATTTGCAGGCAAGTTTTGGAGGACCCTATAAGAACATAAAAAAATCAATAAATCACAGTAACATTGATCAAACATTTCATTCAGAATATTGTGCACATTCATAAATTTCATGTTAATAAATTCAAGTTGACAAATTGATTTTCAAATCATCATTACATTTTATCCTTTAAAAATGTATTATAACAAAAAACAACTAAGAAATGTAGAAGAAGGAAGGGAAGATACATGTGAAATAAATGAGGGGGAGAAATAAATAGAAATGAAGGACAGAGACATTGTGACAGAGTTAGAACACATAAATACAAAATCTAAGAGTAAACAACAGAATGGATATGACAAGACAACAATAGTTACAAAAAAAAAACAAGGGGAAAAGAATGCGTTTAAATGCTTGACTGAAAGACAAAAGAGTGAAAAAGAAAATGTGACAAGATTTACAAAGCTTGTTTATCTGTTCCGATCATACCGCTGTAGGTTTATTGTACTGGATGCTTGTTTTGTCATTTCAACTTGTCTCATTATAAAATAAGCATTTTTTAGACATCTAAGACATGCAGCATGAGATGTTAAACAGCCTTACCCTTTTTGCTGGAGCATTTCCATTCACTGGAGTGACAGTGTTGATGGAAGCAGGAGGAAGAGAGGGTGAGGGAGTAGAAGCAGCAGGAGCAGCAGCTGACTGAGATGCTCCTCGGTTGACAGAGGGCTTTTTCTCCCCTTCCTTTCCATTACTTGTGCTAGTAGAGTTGCTGTTCGCATCACTGGCTCCAGCCCCACGATTAGCACGTCCTCCGCCTCTACCTCCACTATGCCTTACAGTGGCACGGAAGGCTGGTCGGCAGACATAGTTCTCCAGGATCTTAGGAGGTTTCTTCATGCGTTTGGCCTGCAGGCCTATTTTGAGCTTAACGTTACCCTCAGAGTAGCTGGTCTCCTTGACCGAAAACTGCGTGGGTTGTTGCGGCTGGTCACCAGTCCCACTTTCAGCACCACTAGCTTCATTCTGTGCCCCATCTCTTAGTTTCTCCCGTTTCTTTTTCTCTTCTTCATCGTCCTTCTTTCCTCCTACACCTTCTTTTTCACGTTCTGCTGGGGGGGCATTGGCAGGGAGTGGGGGCGGCGTAGAAGGCCCCCCCTGTGTCCTCTGATCCATTGGTGATTTGGGGAACAAGGGGGGCTTGAGTGGGACAGGATGTTCTCACTCGCACGTATAGGTAGATACTGGAGGTCTTGTAGATATCAGGTTTGAAGAATAGAGTGAAATTGAGGGGAAGGGGAAGGGGGATTAAAGCAGAGGTTGGAAAAAGATATCCTTGTTGGGTTGAAGCAGTGTCTTCCCTTTCCAAATGCCAAGCCCTCTCACCTTCAAACTGCAGAGATAAAAATGGAAAGGGCGTTACGACCAAAACACAAATTAGCCACACTTTCAAGACAGCCTTAACCTCGGTTTTAATTATTAACACAGAATGGCTTTACAAACATGGACCACTACCACCACAAATACAACTTTAAAGGTGCATACTATGTCCAAGCTGAATTATTCAAAGTCACTGACATATCCAAACAATACTATGACTTCTGAATATGAATGATTTGGTACAATACACTACATAGCCATAAGAAGCTGACTTGGACTTCTAACAGTATTCAAATACTTAACTTGCCAGAGTATGTTTATATTTTCATCAGGTCTGGAGATAAGATTTTCATGTGCTAGGCTTTTATGTGCCAATTTTGATAGTTATCAGATTTTTGTTATATGTAAACACAATGTTTCATTTTAAGAAGGTGTGTTAACTACCTGTACTGTACTGTTTTGTTGTGTTTCATTTGGGGAATTTAGCTCTGTTCCTATATAAAACATTTTGGCAAAACATCACTTAAAAATAGGTTAATTAAGGATATGAAATATTTACAGAATGTTTAATATTTGTATTATTTTTATTTTCACACAGTACTATCAATTATCAGGACAGACGGATCAGTTATTCTTTTCAAAGGATTCCAAGCAGTAAAGTTTGCAAACAATAAACAAACCCTTTTTACAAGCCTGTGTAAGACCGTTTCTAATAAACTGACCAGGATTTTAAAAGCCAGAGAACATAAACTTTTTAGGAATCTACAAAATAACTACTGGGGGGCTTAACAAAAGTAACCTTACGCCTTACACACCTCCAAAACAAAAGGCCACTGAGTAATTTAGTACCATGCTGGCCACAGGTGCTTTCTAAGGGTCAAGTCATTGAGAGGCGAGTCCGAGTGGTGACCTTAGCATAAAGGGTCCTCAGGGAGACAGAGGATCCGGTCACCTTTTCGAGCCCTTTTATGACTGCCAGTCAGAAAAGCACAGCGAGTGAATGAAAGACTGAGGAAAAAAATAGGAAAAGAGAGGACAGAAGTGGACAGTTTCTTTAACCCCGTTGAGAGCAAAGGTTTAAATATTACACAAGTCTATTAACAACGCCTAGGTCATTGGAACGCTACATGTATGGTTACGGCTGTTTAGCGCTTGGCACAAGAAAAAGCTCGGAGAACCATTTTACGCAGTGTTGTTTCATTAGTGGTGGTCTTTTATATTGAGAGAGTCGTTTTCTGTGAAATCACTACAACTATAAACTGCGCTCCAGAACTTGGAGTCCTGCCTTCCTTCTCTCTACTCCAACTTCTCTGTTTACTATAATTACTCACCCCATTTCATTTAAACACGCCCTTTCTCTTCCATTCGCCCCTTCCCGTTTCACACACCGCAATCCAAAAATCACACCTCTCTTGTTCTCTGCCCGACCTACCCTTTCACCTTGTTCTGTCACTCTTTTCAGCCTCTCACTCATTTAGGCTCCCTCCAACACTCACTTGGAAATCTAACAGTACAGCGGTCAAACTAGAGCCGTTGTGCTACTACTAATCGAAAACACATTTCCCCAGCGCTCCCTCCCTCCGTCCTTTTTCCCTGGTTCGTCCCTCCCTTAGTGACAATCATTCCCCTATTTCCTCAGTGCTCTAGGTCGTACTCCGCTCCTTGTTACTGTGCTATTCCTTCTTAAATTCCTCCTCTCTTCGCGGAGATGCCAAAAATAAAACGCTACCTTGTATTGTAAAATGGCTGCAGTAAAAGTTTGAGGGAAAGCATGAAAATAACTGCACCAAGACTGTTGTTACTAATAATCCAACACATTTATGTTTACATTTTTGCATCTGATGCAATAGGAATCCAACCAATGCTGTTTGACCTACAGAAGCAAAACATTAAGCAACCAAAAAACCCTTTATACTACAGTTGTTATGAAATATTACACAATTGCTGTAATATTTTACCACATTTAATAACAATGTGCTGCAGTAAAAGATGATATATCAAGTATGTTTAATTAGTTATATTATCGTCAGTTGTTTATGGAAGATGGAAACATGAACCCTGTCAAATGATGTGTGTCCAGATAAAGCAACTTTCCCTAGTGTAACATCAAAGCGAATACATCAACAAACAAAAATGAAGCTCTTAAGTCATCACATTTTCAGCTTCCTCCTTCATTCACGCTCTTTCAGCACCTGTCATTCCCGGCTCTTTAATCTGTGCTTGCTTTGGCAGCGTAGATATAATATACTAACTCTGTGGATTTAGACAGCTTTTCCTCTACTATGGAATTACATGCGCTCGTTTCTTCTACGCGCCCTGAAAGCCACAACTCCCTGCCAGCCAAAACACACTGCAGGACAAATTGGGACGCAGGGAAGAAAGTTGTAGTTTAAGAGATTTAGTAAGCCTGAAACTTTGGCTAGCTGCAGCTAGAGACTTAAAGCAAGCAATTAGCATCTCCTCTCATGTCCCACTCATCCTTTTAAATGTGTTTATACTTTGTTTCCCTTTCTTCTACCCATCTTTTAAGCTGCAATATCAAATCCTATTAACGTAGGGATGAAACATCAATATTGAAAAGCATTTGCATGTCAAAATGTTCATCTTGCTTTTAAACGCAGTTTTACTTTTGGTACTTTATGTCAAGCCCAGGATTTAAATTATGTGGTCAAATCATATTAAAAGAAGGAATAAAATGCTATCGGTGACAGATCTATTATGAAACACATCTAAAGGCTATTTTATACTGTGTCAGTATATTTATGCGTCACGCGTATGGTCCGGCGCAGCCTACGAGTGGTCACACAGCCCTCACTGTGGCTGATGTCGATGCACCTCACAAAAAATTTAGCTATACGTCGCAAAGACGCATAGAGCATGCTATGTGATTGGTCGGCTTGGTACCAGTGACAAGTGTGGGCGGTGCTGAGAGCTGCGAAGTAGCTCCCGATGGAAACTTTTGTTTTGTGTTTACCTTATGATTAAAGTTGTTGCACATCCACCAGTTCCTGTCTCTGAATAAGCGAGTTTTAGCTACTTGTAGCGTTCATAAAAAAACAAAATACCCGCGAAGAAACTCAATACAGAGGAACATAACATAACCTACTGCCAGCTAGCGTTTCGGAAGTGTTATTGCAGAGCAACACAAACAGCAAGCAGAAGTATAAATGCACGACTATGTGCAAGGCAGGCACTGTGGGTCACACTGATCACTCGATGCAGAAGTATAAACCAGCCTTAAGTGTTAATCCGCTTGTTAAGTATAAGGTCATGCGAAGCGGCTTCGGGTCCAAGCGCTCTATCAAACTGTATGGGGAGACTCAACAAATGGTAATAATAAACATTTACAAAGCGATGCAATACTTTCGAAAATCACAATCACAATATATATATATATATATATATATATATATATATATTGGTATCTGTGATGCAGCAAATCCAGAGAATGTCGTGTACACCATGAATTTATATAAAAGTCCCATTAATGTGTGATATGAATGAAAGTGATCATAAACTAATAATTTCTCAATTAAAATGAGTAGCGACAAGGACCAGGAAACAGTATTCCAAACGTCATGACTTAACAAGCGGATACAAATCTTATTTTCTACTCCCCTAGAGTTAAACAGTTGAGTTTTATCATTCAGACAATTTCTGGGTCTGGGAGGAGTATTTTAAATAAGCGTAGCATAGATGATTAAATCAAATAAACCATTAGCATCTCGCAAAAAAAAATTACCAAAGACATTTTTATTTTTCTAATAAAAGCTCTCGACTCTTCAGTAGTTAAATCTTGCACTAAGACTGACGGAAAATTAAAAGTTGCTATTTTCTACGTTGAAATGGCTAAGAACTACACTCTCATTCTGGCATAATAATCAAAGAACTTTGCTGCTGTACCATGGCTGCAGCAGAAGCAATAGTATTGTACTGTAAAGCTGCACGATATTGAAAAAATATTTGATATTCTGTGATATATATATTGCAATGTGAATACAATTCCACCAGATGACTTGAATATCTCTATTAGGAAATAGCTGATCATTTTAGATTGATTGGGATGATTCTGTAGGTGAGCGCATCTGCATATAATTTAATAAACAATCTGTTAATACAATAAAGAAACAGATACAATTGAAATAAACAGTGATTTGCCATTTTCCGAGTCTAACAGAATTCAAGTACAGAATAATGAAGACAATACTATCAAATTAATCATTAAAGATATAAATAGTTCAATTTCCTACACCTGAATGTTTTTTAAATCCTTATACAGTGACAGGCCTCAAAAACATGTAAATAATCAATTATAATACAAAATTAACATTGCATATTCTGTGATGTGACTTTTGCGAATCAAATGATCACATTGCGATATCAATGCTGAAACAATATATTATGCAGCCCTATTACACAGCACCTGAAAATAGTCCCCACCCATCAAACAATTTTGTGTTAAATAGATGCCTCATACACAGCTTGGCTAACACAAGGCTAAACTTGGCCTGTCAGTACAAATCGAATCTAACAATCTAATCGTCTAAGAATAGCCCAAAACTAGTCATCAAATAGACATATTAGACAGACTAGTGTAGTCAATTATATCTGTTTATTTGATGATTAGTCTTGTTTTGGCTTATTCTTAGACGTCTATTAGACTTTCCCTGACAGCCCAAATTTAGCCTCATTTTAGCCAAGACAACTTTGTTTAGATGTCTATTAGACGTCTATTTGACATCTTTTAAAAACAAAAAATGCTTGCTGGGCAGTTAGTTAACTTCGAATGTGACCAATGGTCACCATTTAGTTCGGTTTCACAAACAGGGCTTAGCTTAAGCTAGGTCTTGCCTTCAGTATTAGGTAATTAAGCTGCTTTTATAAGAATTACATTAAAAAACATTACTAGTGTGTATCTTGACACTATTCTAGGGCACTGGTGAATTTTATGTTTATTTCACTGCAAGTTATTTTTGGTTAAGACTGATACATGCAATTTATTCTAGGCCTAGCCTTATCCCTATACATATCCCTGAAACCAGTGAAATTGTTTTATATTAAATTGAACAATCAGAAAAAGCAGATACATACACTCTCTCCAAAAAGACATCAGTGAAGTAGTGGACAGAATAAAACAGCAGTTATAGTCTAGTTGTGATCTGATGAAGCCAAACAAATCTTAATTCCAGGTTTATACTAGACTAAAATATGGAAAAGAAGATAATTGTATAAAACAGAAAGGTTTATATGGACAAAATTGAACCAATTTTTTTTAAAGTGGCAAAAGATGATGGTGGGTGACATAAGAAATAGCTCTGCCAAAAAATGTATATTATATAGTAAAGATTTAAAGCACACATAAATTCATTAGCTTAGTTTCTATTTCAGAGGCCGCCACTGCGGAATAAACCAGCAACTATTCCAGCATATGTTTTACGCAGCAGATGCCTCTCCAGCTGCAACCCAATATTGGGAAAAGCAAACATAACATAAATATAGGCTACATCATATTCACACAACACAAAAACAACTATGCTAACCTAACTACAATCATTTCCACTGTATTCTGTATTCTTAGTATACTACAATCGTCTTCAATATTCATCGGTCCTTTAGCAGAGATATCTATCTTGACTTATCACACATCTTGCCCTATAACAAGACATTGTTATTTATTCTACATTTGAGATGTAACTATGTAACTGAGATGTAACTAATGTAGCAACCACAACATGTAATATATTTAAGCACTCCTTGCTTTCAAAAATACATTATCCTGCCAACTGCATGTGCAAATAAATGTGACCTTTTCCTAGAGCATGAGACATATTTGGGAAGACTTCTAACCCAAAAAAACTTTATTTTAGTGGATGTATGAGGTCATTTTAAGTTTAACGGATAGTTCACCCAAAACTGAAAATTCCGTCATAATTTCTTTAATCTTCCCTTGTCATCTGAATGTTCCTGGATTAATGTCTATGTTGATCCTGGAACAACGTTCTAATCAGCCAATCAGAATTAAGGGATACGTCTACCATTTATGTTAAATTTAGGCTTACATTTAGTAAGCATTTACTAAATTTAGTAAGTATTTGCATTTCTACATAACAGTTATACAACTATTATTTGCCTCTGATTTTGAAAATATTTCGTACTAGGCAAAATCATGAGGTGCAAGTTTTCTTTTTCTGCTGAACACAAAATAAGATAATTCGGGAAAGGTTTAAAATTTTTAATTATTATCTTTCACAGTAGGAAAACAAAACAAATACTATGGAAATAGTTGCAAGTTTGCAGCAAATTTCAAAATATTTTCATTTGTGCTCAACAGAAAAAAGATACTCAAACAGCTGTGTGACAAGTGAAGGCACGTTATGATTTTGCCAAGTACAATATGATCCTGGATTAACATCTATGTTGATCTTCAAACATCAATTTTTATATTTTTTGATATTTATTTACTTAAGATATTTTGGGAAAGGTTTGAAATGTTTAATCATGTTTTATCTTTCACAATAGGAAAATAAACATTATAGAAGTAGTAGCAAGTTTGCAGCATATTTCAAAATATCTTCATTTGTGTTCAACAGAAAGAGAAAACTCATAAAGGATTGAAACCACTTAAGGGTGAGTACATTTTCATTTATGAGAGAACTATTCATTTAATCACATCAACTGTGAACATGTTTCAGTACCTTTTGACAACCAACTGTTTGTTACTTATTTAGGACAATAAAACTTGTATATGTGCGATTTAAACAATAAAGTAACTAGGTTTCTTAATTATCTGCCAAAACAATATGCGAAGATCTGCAGAAATTCGATAGATTTCCCAATTACTAAAGGTCACCTATTTTATTTTTAAGATGTTAGATAAGCTTTTCTCTAAAGTCTCTAAAGCAGTGGTCACCAAACTTGTTCCTGGAGGGCCGGTGTCCTGCAGATTTTAGCTCCAACTCTGATCAAACACACCTGAACAAGCTAATCAAGGTCTTACTAGGTATACTTGAAACATCCAGGCAGGTGTGTTGAGGCAAGTTGGAGCTAAACCCTGCAGGCCCTCCAGGACCAAGATTGGTGACCCCCGCTCTAAAGTTTCAGCTCAAAATACAGATCAGATTATTTATTATAGCCTACATTTTGGTGTCTGAGCACAGTGTAGCTGCTTTTGTCGCCTGTGGCTTTAAATGCAAATGAGCTACTTCTCCCTGCCCACCGCTTCCACGTGCGTGTCTGCTTCTCATCATGCGCTACGTCAGATAAATAGCAGTCAGTGACAGAGACATGGATGAAGCTGAAATACAGTTGATTAGTCAAAAATACCACTTTTTTTATGTATTTGAGGTGGAATTTATTCAAGCCTTTCTGAAATGATGAGACTCACACACACAAACACACATATTAGCGTTTACTATGCGGCTGTCGTGATTATAGAGGTTAAGAATTACATGCCAATTTTACTGTCTTTATTACAAATCTGCTCTATTTTAAAAACAGACAGACTTAATAAAATCACAGAAAATTGTAACATATATTAGACATGGGCCGGTATAAGATTCTGACGGTATGATAACCTCCCTGCTAAAAAATCCAGCTTAAACCAGCCTAGGCTGGTTGGCTGGTTTTAGCTGGTCGACCAGGCTGGTTTTAGAGGGGTTTTGGCGGAGTGCTATAAACCCAACAAGTCTCTTTTTTATTTACTGACGTTAAATTCGGAGCCAAATCCCAGTGATTTTGATGCCCACTGCAACGTGATGTAGGAGTCCGGTTTTCCCCGCCCACCAAATTGATTGACAGACGCCATGTATCGATAATAACATGTACACACGTCCACAGAATTTTTTTTTTGCTTGACTAGCCTGGTTTAAGCTGGACATAGCTGGACATAGCTGGTTTTGGCTGGGCTCCCAACCTGGCTAGGCTGGTCAAGCTGGTTTTAGCTGGATTTAGCTGGTCATTTTCCAGCCTGACCAGCTAAAACCAGGCTGGAAATGGCTGGAAACCAGCCTGGAAGTGGCCAAAACCCCTCTAAAACCAGCCTGATTGACCAGCTAAAACCAGCCAACCAGCCTAGGCTGGTTTAAGCTGGATTTTTCAGCAGGGCTTGAATAAAAATATCACGGTTTCATGGTATTGTGATTACTGCTCTATAATATAAAAATATTTTTTCAATGTCTGGGTAAAAAACAAAGACGTTGTTCCACTTTGAACACAATACATTTTATTTTGAGAAATATTTTAAATATTTTGGAGAAGTAAACATGTCAGGCTAAATAATTCAAATGAATCATTGACTTCTGCTGTCTTCATTTGTTTCAAAAACACTGTTTTTTTTACAATTTAAAATGGCATTTTTGGATATATTTTCTGCTGGAGATACTGTTGTCCTAAAAAAAAAAAAAAAAAAAAATGTAAATAAAAAATCTTACACATACCCTAGGATTGGTAGAAAATTTCGACGATTATAAAACCTTGACTTTTCCAAACCGCGTTATAGCTTGAAAACGGTTATCATCTCATGCCTAACAAATGTTTTAATCAGTTTTTTTTGCAAAAAAAAATGTTCTGTGGACGTGTGTACATGTTATTATCGATACATGGCGTCTGTCAATCAATTTGGTGGGCGGGGAAAACCGGACTCCTACATCACGTTGCAGTGGGCATCAAAATCACTGGGATTTGGCTCCGAATTTAACGTCAGTAAATAAAAAAGAGACTTGTTGGGTTTATAGCACTCCAATATGACTGTCAACACTATACATACACACAGTTCTGTCCAAAAAACTTCCAAAAGTTGACTTTCATCATTGGTGCACTTTAATCTATGTTACGCCTCGCAACTTTGCATCAAATAGAAACACAAAGCACCACAAAACAAAACTAAACTGGCTAACGTAATGTTGCCGGCAAAAGCATTGGGATCTGCTATTAATCTGCACTTATATTTCAAATCTTCCCCGACCACAAATAAATGCCTGAAATCACTGCTATCCACTCAAACAGCTCTCAGTCAGCGGGAAGCTTCTGGTTTCCTTGACAGCGGAGTCAGAGGTCAAAGGTTGCTCAAGGGCTCCAGACACCACTTTCTACACTTTCCTCCACTTCTCAGACATCTGCTCCAATGGGGAAAAACTATAACCAGGCAAAGGCGCGCGCAATTTGCACGTGCAATGAACCCTATTGTGAACGAGGTTAACTGAGGATGATCTACTGGCAGGTGCCACTGAAGGTTCGTTTCTATGAATTAAGCCTTTTTTATGAACACTTAAGGCTCGCTGATCATAACTTCTGAATGAATGAACACCGTAACACTTTCCAAGCCGCATTACGTTTAGCAATAACAAACAAACAAAGCGTTACGCGCATGTCATGCATCAAAATACTGCGTTTTCCCTTTCTAGTTCGAACAAATGTACTCAAAGAATACACAAACATCTAGATTACAGAGCATTTATAGCACATTTGAAGTCTAAATGCAGAATAAAGTATGAAGAACTTACCTTAGCGAGCTAGAACGGCGTTCACATAATTTGCGGTCAAAATCCTCCCAGCATGGTCGCTCGGATATTTATCTTGAAATTGCTGATGTACCCAAAAAAAGCAAGAGGGAAAAAGGCGTCACGTTTCTCGTAAGAACATTCCAACCAATGTATGACATAACAAAACATTAGCCTAACGTTAGTCTGTTGATCCAGTCACCCCGCAAGTAACGATATTTATCTACGTGAGGCGCACTGGTCACGGTTTATGATCCTAATATAACGTTAGCTAGCATAGCTCGTTAGCGAAGAGCATATATATTGAGCTCAACCTCAGGACACTACTAAATATGTCCAAACCCAGTCTGTGTGAAACAATAATAGCAAGTGAAAGGGTTACTACAGCGGGACGTCAAAATACCTTGCTGCCATTGCAATTTTGAAAGACACATGTCTGGAGCAAGGTAAGTTGGTTTTGCTCAACATCGAGGCTGTAACCACACGTACACAACGTCAACGGCCATCCAATTCACGTCTATGTGTTGTTTACAACCCTCTATACGAGTGAATTCACACCCGCTAATCACTACTATCAACCCCACACTCTTAACGAAACGACTGAGCTGTCCTGTCAAGACACATTTGCTGGCATTGCTAGCAAAACCCCCGCGATTTGTCCATACGAGTAATGTAACGAAGCAACCGCTGCTGGTGCGAAGGGAATGAGTAAACCGTCCCCTTCTCCATCAGGCCTTCAGTAAAAAATAACAAAAAATGAGCATAAATATCCTCGGAAGGACCAAAAGAAGCGGAATGCAAAAATCTAACGCTCTCCGGGATGAGCCCTGCACGGGTTATTAAAAACACGAACTGTCAACAAAATGGCGGCTGCTGCGTTGAATCAACAGAGGGACCCGAAATGGATCTCTCCCTCAAATTCTTCCACCTCTCCCCTGTCTCGTGTGCGTCGCTCGTTACCCGTGATAATCCGATATGTCGCCCGAAATTCTCTCCGGGTCCGAGTTAGTGAAGCTCTGGCTCGTCGGAACGGGCCTCTCTCGTCAATCGGGCCTCCATGTCTGCTTAGCCCGTATCGTTTCTGTCAGTACAGCACGGGCATTCTCACAGGCGGAGCGGGAGGAGGAGGAGGAGTGGACGGCCAGGAGGGAGGGAGGAGAGGGCAGTTGTCGACTCGACGGCTGTTAGGCACTTTCTCCTAGAAATTCACTTACACACTTTTGACTAAATCTAGGGAGTAATGTTTTTTATTATGGTCCATGATATAAATATACAACGAACGAGCACACACTCTGTAACGTTACCTAATTCTGAAAAATGTTGGTTCGTTAAAAGAAAATGTAGGCTATGACTCCTCAAAAGGGGGCTCGTGTTGTCGCACGCTCGTGGCAGTGTTTACCCACAGTGAAATATCGAGACTCCCGTGGGAATCGTAGCCGTGAGGCGGGTTGTGTAACCGTGTGAGTGAGCAGAATCATTAGGAGAGGAGCTGAATATGTTTTAAATTAATGATTCACTTTAAAGCCCCCTGAAATCATTTTAAGTTTTTGTTTCAGATTATCTGTAAGATTGTGAGCTCCAAAAAGGAGTCAAAAATCACATTTGGAAGATAGAAAAGTCAGATTTTAAAATTGCAGTTTATCACTTTCACTTTTTTATGACATCACGATGCACTTCATCTTCTCATCAGATTATCTGACCATCAAATGCCCTTCAGTGAAGCATTCCCACTCCCCGAAACAATTGGTCATTTATTCGCATGTAATTAAGCATTTATACCAAGGTTTGCTATAACAATTATACCAAGGTTTGTCTAAACACTTGGATTTATGAAGAATTTTCATGGAAAGTTGATCTAAACTCCTTAACGTTTAATATCTAATTAGCAGTGCTTCTCAAATGTGTGTTTTAAGTTAATCATTTACTTTAAATCCCCCTAAAAAAAATTTAATTGTTTATTTTCGGTAATCTATAAGATTGTGAGCTCCAAAAGGAAGTCAAACTTTACATTTGGAAGATGTGAGCATTTCACTGTTTTTTTGACATCACCACACACACATCTTCTCATCATCTCAAATGCTCCTCAGGATACGAAGCATCCCGCCCCCCACTAGACACAGCTGGAATTGGTCATCTATTCACATGGAATTAAGCATTCATACCAAGGGTTTGACTGAACACTTGCATATATGAGAAAATGTAATGGAGTGTTGATCTGAACTGCCCACTGTTTATCATCAAATTAACTATGTGTTGTTTTTGTTTTTTGTTTTTTTATCGAATCTGTGTTTTGGATTAATCTTTCAGTTTAAAGTTCCCCTGAAATCATTTTGAAGGGGTTTGTATCTTAAGGTTATCTATAAGAGTGTGACCTCCAAAACGACATTTCGAAGATACAAGTAAGCATTCACAAAATCAGTTTATCCCTTTCACTTTATTATGACTCAATCTTCTCATCAGATTTTCTGACCATCAAATGCTCTTCAGTGGAGCAATCCCACTCCCCATAACAATTGGTCATTTATTCACATGTAAATAAGCATTTATACCAAGGTTTGCTTTACTAATTATTCCAAGCTTTGCCTAAACACTTGGATATATGAGGAAATGTAATGGAAAGTTGATCTAAACTCCACTTTTATTATTTAAATAATCGTGTTTCTCAAGTCTGTGTTCTAAGTTAATAATTCACTTTAAATCCCCCTGAAATTTTTTATTTATTTTATATTTTAGGTCATCTATAAGATTGTGAGCTCCAAGTCAAAATTAACATTTGGAAGATGTGAGCATTAAAAAATACAGTGTGTCACTCTCAGTTTTTTATGACATCACACACACATCTTCTCATCAGGTTTTCTGACCAATCCAATGCTTTTCAGGATGCGAATCATCCCGTCCTCCACAAGACACAGCTGCAATTGGTCATTTATTCACATGGAATTAAGCATTTATACCATGGGTTTGCCTGAACACCTGCATACATGAGAAAATGTAATGGAGTGCTGCAGTAACAGTGCAGGGAGCAAACCCAAAAAGCCAGGATGTTGAAACGTTCTGTGTGCATATTCAATAACTTTTCTATGCCCCAAGGTAGAAAATGTCTTTTACACACGCCTACACAGTCAGCATACAGGTAAGTAGGATTTCAACTCCGGAATGGTGCATAGTGGGCTATACAGCCTAGAGGGATGAACAACTCAGTGTAAATATGGTCTGGATTCACATTAATGTCACAGAAACTGCTACAATACACGTATGATCTACTCTAGTCCACACAAATTACAATTATATACAAACGTCAGCACAGACCTCAAAGCTTATTTGAACCTATTTGGAGTTCTGAATGCTTTATTTTAAGGTGGAGACACAGATACAGAAGTATTACTGTAGACTGTTGCTGCCAAGATGCACTTTTGCTGGCAAACCCTGTGATATAAACAAAACACTATTGGCTATTTTTTTAAAGGGGAGGGGCTACTCAAAATATCCCTCATGTCTCTGGTAAAATAAAAAAGCATACCATGCTGGCAATATATCAATCTGTAATAGAACTAAAGAACAACAGTTCAAACTTTTACATCGTCTCCAAATTACCCCATCACTAGACATAAGTTAAATCCAAATTATTCTCCATTCTCTTTAAAATGCAAAGTTGAAGAAGGTAATTTTATACATTGTATTTGGACACATATTAAAGGCTATTGGGCACAGATTTGTTGGAGATTAAGTCTTATATTTAATACAAGATGAGACTTTGATTTTCTTAATTTTTTGTTAGGTCTAACTGATAATAATTTAAAGAGTGCAAGTAACAAGAAGTTGTTTAACTTTCTTACCTATGCTGCACGTAAATGTATTTTTCTCAAATGGATATCTAATAAAGCACCAACAGTATCAGAATGGCATATTTGATCTTATGTCATTGGAATACTTTACTCACTGGTCAAGGGGAAAAGGGGACACTTTTTATCAGATCTGGACTCCGTTCCTTGAATATATAGGTCCTAGGATTTAAGGTATATTTTTGCAAAACCTTAGATCACCATAAACCTTGGTTAATTTATGCACTTTTCTATTTTTATTATTACTCTGTATTTTTATGTCTTCTTTTTGATTTTGATTTTCATTATGTGCTGTGATGTTGAGAAATTTGTAAGTTGTAAGCTGTGGTCATTGTTCTGTTCTATTTTGTTTTGTTAAAATAAAGGCAAAAAAAAGCATACCATACATACCATATGTACAGTAAAATCAAATTATTTGAGATTTTCCACATAATGAATAAAAGGTTGCCACACCTTAAAATATATCCCCTCCTCCCCTCTTAATGAAAACCTAAATTTTTCCAAATAAAGACAAAACATAGTTTCTCTAATCCACTGAGCATGAGTGGGAGGACGAGAATCCTTCCATTGCACATTTTTATTCTTTAGGTGAACAGTCCGTGCAGCTTAATTCACTGAAATTATTATTATTTTTTTTACATTTCTTCAATCAATGTCTGACCAATTGCTTACAATGCCCCTCTTTTAAGATCTCAAAACTCAGGGCTTCTGGTAGTACACAGAATAGCAAAGTCCACTAAAAGAGGTCGAGCCTTCTCACATATGGCTTATAAACTCTGGAATAGCCTTGGTGATGATATCCGAGCCTCAGACACACTCTCGCAGTTCAAAACTAGATTAAAGACTGATAAAGCAAATGCATCACATAACTGTAGGATGCGTGAATGTGCTCCCGTAGGTGAGTGGGCTTGACAATCCACCTGAAGGACATACACCAATCCTCTCTATATACACCAGGCACTTTGTTCAAAATACTTCTATGTTTTATATGTTTGTTTATTTAGCACCTATTTTAATTTATACCACTTAATTTTCACATTGACATTAATATATCTTGTTCAAACACATTATCAACAGCAGCAGCTACGCTAATTATTTTCTTTGCTGTCTTTTTCCACCTGGAATGCCCATCCTGAGGCCTCTAAAGATTGTGCTGCTTCACTTAATCCAAGACTTAGATTAGATTTAGAGGACAACACATACACTTAATACACAAATACACTTTATTGAACATAGACATCCTCTATATACTGTAACTGCAGATTGACTGTGTTTATATATAGTAACGTTTAACTGTTTAAAGCTATTAATAATTTGTTACTAGTTAATTAAAGATAGTAGTAACTAACATCTCTGATTTGAATGTAATCCAATAGGGTGCACATTTTGTAAAGCTGCTTTGAAACAATAATTGCAAAAAGCGCTATGCAAATAAAATTGAACTGAACTACCATTTGAGAATGATGTGCAACAAGAAAGCCCCGCCCCCTACTTAATATTCCATTTCAGTTGTTAGTACATCTACTTACTGATGTAAACGTCTCAGCAACTTTCAGATCATGCAGACTTTGAGGCCTGTTCTGCCAATAATAACAGTAAAATGATCATTCTGTAAGAATAGGGAAGTCAACACCAAAGCAGTAAAAGCACATTCACGCCATGAACCACAACTTTATTAGCACTCCAACCAAGTGTGATAATATTCACGTCATTTGTAAGCCTGCACAGTTAATTCAATGGTAGCCCTAAATGAAAGAGTGCTTCGGTTTCCCCCACAGTCCAAAGACAAGCGGTACAGGTGAATTAAATAAATAAACTGGCCGTAGCGTATGTGGGTATGGATGTTTCCCAGTACTGGGTTGCAGCTGAAAGGGCATCCGCTGTGTAAAACATATGCTGGATAAGTTGGCTGTTCAATCCGCTGTGGAGACCCCTGATGAATAAAGGGACTAAGCTGAAGGAAAATGAATGAATGGATCCCAGGATTTTTTTACAGTGCAACTTTGACAAAACTATTTTTGCAGTT